CCTTATAAGCATAATAGCATAAATATTAAAAATTATTATTAAAATTAATTAAAGCATTTAAATTATATAATTCTTTTTTAAGATTATTTTATTTTATTTTCGCTATAATAATGCATTAAAATATTATATTTATATCTTTAAGCAATATTAAAGATTATAATAAAAAAAAATAAAGTTTTAGCTTATTAAGCTTGCCTTTTTAAAAAAAATTAAGGGTTAATAAAGTACTTAAAACCTTTATAATTTATAAGTATTATAAATAAGCAAAATATATTTTAAAGTATAAATAATTATACCTTTAAGGCCTTAATTATTATTAATAGCATTTTATTATAAATAATATAATTTCATTATATTAAAGAAAGCTTTATAAAATAATAAGTAATTAAGTAAAAAGCCCCCCCTTTTTAAATTAATAAGTATATATTAAGGGCTGTTTTTAAGTAATTTACCTTTATTATTATACTTAAGTTTAAATTTTATTTAATTAAAATTAATGCCTTTATAAATACTGCCTTAAGGTAATAAAAAGCTATATCCTCCTTACTTTTTTATTAAAAAGAAATCCCCTTAATAATAAAATAAAAAAGAAAGTTAATAACCTTAAAAAAGTTCTTAATAAAGTTATAATAAAAATTTGCAAACCTTATAAAGCTTTAAATATTATAAATTATTTATAGCACCTTTTATTTTTAAATTATCTTAACCTTTTTTAAATTTACTTAAATATTTACTTTTATTATAATAATAAAGCTTAAATACTTTACTTTCTTTATTATAAATTTATATTTATCCTAATTTAAATTTAATTTAATATTTTATAAGTAGCATAAAACCTTTTATACCTTCCTTATATAATTCCTTTTTAAGCTTAAGGAAAATATTAATATATTATTTAAATATATTATTATATAATCTTTTAAGATATTAGCTAAAATTAAGTTAATATATTATTAAAATATAATAAGTATATTAAATAAATTAAAGGGGTAAATTAATTATTTAAATAACTTAAACTAAGTTTAAAATATTATTAAATGCTTTTATTTCTTTATTATTTATATTTAATAAAAGGCTATATAAATATTTAGCTTTATAAATCATTAAATATTAAAAAGGAAGCATAATATCTCCTTAATAAAAAAAAAGAAGTAATAATTTTGCTAAGTTATCTTATTTAAGGCATAGTAGTTTATATAAAATCGCTACCTTTTATTTACTTTATATATTAAAAAGATTAAGGCCACTATAAGCAAGGAGCTAGCTCTTATTTAGCCCTTATTATAAAGTTTTATAATTTATTTTTATAACTTAAATAGCTAATTTTAAAGCATATTATATAATAAGCTTTATAATAATATTAATATAAACTTATTTTTTATTAATAATAAATAAATATAATAATTAAATTAATCTTAATATAATAAAAAAGTAAAAGTTTATTTTTTATTAAAGAGGTTAATAAAGTCTTATATCTTCTTTAATAAGGGCTTAACCTTATATTACTTTATATTATTATTATTTTTTTTTAAAAAGCTATAACTTAAAGAATTTATATAACCTTATTTAAGCTTATTTTTATTAAGGTAATATTTATTATTTTATTATAAAATAAGTAGTTTATTTATACTTTTATAATTATTTTAAAGATTAATTAAGCTAAACTATTTATATTTTATTAACCTTTCTTTTTTATAATTATTTCTTAAGCTGCATTAATTATTATATAATTATAAATTAAGTTTAGCAAAACGTTATAATAATATAATTAAGATAAGCTTAATAAAAAAGAATAAGTTATATTTAAAACTATATAAGCTAAAATAAGGATTTATTATATATTAATATTTAAAGAAAGCTATATTATATATATAATATATTAGCTTTATAATAAGTTAATAATTATCCTTAAATTTTTTAAAATAAATAAAGTTATTAACTTTAATTTTACTTTTTATATTTATTATTTACTTATAATAATATAATAATTATACTTATTATTTATTTAAGTAATAATAATATATTTATAATTTATAATAATAAAGATTAAGAAAAAAGGCTTATTTAATTTATTTTATATTTATTAATATTATTTTTATATAAATTAAGTTTATAAAAAAGGTTTATGCTTTTAAATAAAACTTTATTTAAAAATTAATTTTTTTTCTTAAGGCTAATAAGGTTTTCTTTATAAGGTATAATTAACTTTATAATTTAAACTTAAGTTAATATAATTATAAAAAAAAGTTTGCAATTCATTATAAAATATCCTTATTAACTATAATATAAGCATATTTTATATTCTTGCTAAGCCTTTCTTTTAAACTTAAAAATTTAAAGTACCTTAGCTTAATTATTAGCTAGCTAAGAGGAAAAAGCGCCTTAATGCTCTTATAGCCCCTTATTCCTAATGCCTTAGCCCCTTATTATACTTATTATAGCTATATTTATTATTATTATATTTTAATTTATTATTTATTGCTCTTAAGCTAAGGGCTTTAAGGAGTATAGGGTTAAGCTTATATATTATTAATACTTAAAGTTTTATACCTTTAATTTATAAGTAATTTAGCAATATATATTTATTATTTTATTATAATTTATATATAAAATTAATACCTTAATAACTTTATTATAAAGTTATAAAAAAAGCTAATTATAAAAATAATTTAACTTTACTTTATTTAATTATTTAAGGCTTTTAACTTATATTATTAATTATTTAAATTAAATATAAAATTAAATAAAGTCATTATAATTTTATATTTAAAATATTTTAAGCTTAATTAAAATAATTACTTATTAATATAAATTTTTATAATAATGCTTTAAATATTTAAAGAATTTATTTATATTAAAGCTATTTTAAGGCTTACCTTACTTATAAAATGCTATAATATATAATTATACCTTAATAAATAGCTAATTTTATAAAAAGATTTAATATTTTTAAAAAATTTTAATAAAGTTTATATTAATTTATAGCTTATATTATATTATAATCTTTTAAGTTAAAAAGCTATTTTAATTATTATTAAATAAAGGTTTAATTAAAAGCAACTTATATTAAATTAAGGGTAAGTTAAAAAAATTTATATATACTTTAAGCTTTATAAGTTAATAAAGTATTATTATAAAGAAAAATATAATAGCATTATTATTAATATTAATAAATATTATTATAAATAGCTAAGAAGGTTAAGGTGCTTTTTAAGTGTTTTTATAGCTTAATATTAAAGTAAGTTAAGGAATTTTTAACTATATATTTTATAAAAAGGTTAATATCTTAAGTATAAAGTTATTTACCTTTATAATATAAATATCTTTTTTAATATAATTTAAAGATTATAATTTAATATTATGGGTTAGCCTTAAGTATTTGCTAAAAAATATTTAAAAGGAGTTATAAATTATAATATTTAAGAAGTAAGTTAAGCCTTAAAAAGGCTTAACTCTGGATTTATCTTTTAAGTATATGCCCCATTATATAAGAGGGTTGGGTGCAGTATGGGCTTGGCATAAGCATATATTATGGCTTGGGCAATAGCCCAAGCTTATTATACATTATAATCATGCCAACCCCTTTAAATTAATAAAATTAATTAAAAATAAGCAATTAAAAGTAGTTAGCATTAATTAATGCTAAATTTTATTAAATATTTTACATTAAATAAATGCTAGGGTTAATATAAGTTAATAAATATTATAAAATTAAACTACTTATTAATATAAACTACTTAATAATAAACTATATTAATTAAATTTTAATTATATTATAAAAACTTTAGCTTAATTAATATTAATTAATAAAAATATATTTATTTTATAAATTTAAAATAAATTATATTTATAATAATATAATTAATATTAATTAATATTAAAAATATATTTTTATTAAAAGTTATTTATTTTAAATTAATATTATACTTTTATTAATATCTTTAAATTAATAAAATTAATTAAAAATAAAAACTTAAAAGTAATTAATATTAATTAATATTAACCTTTATTAAATATTTTATATTAAGTAAGTTTTAAGGTTAATTAAAATTAATAAATATTATAAAAAAATTACTTATTAATAAATTATATTAATATTATTTTTTTTAAAAGAATTAAAAGGTAATTAAAAAAAATAAGGGTAGAAAAAAGAATTATAAGATTTCTTTGTTAAAAAAGAGCAAGGATATGTTTAAAGCTATATATAACTTTATGCATAAGCTTAAGGCTGCTGAGGGATAGTTGGAAAGCTGAGCAAACAGCAGGACAGTTGATTTAAAAAAACACAGTGTGGCTAAAGCCAGAGAAAATATAGGTAGTCTCAGATCTTCGCTCTTCTCGAGGGGAATCTGCTTGAAGAAGACACAAATCATCCTTAATTTCTTCCTTGGTCCCCTCTCCAGCCTTCATAACGGTTTCAATTCTGATCATGAAGCTGTACTTAGCTAACGCGGCGCTTGCCTTGGTTGTTCTGGCAAGCCAATACACCCATTCGCACAGGAATGATGCTGCTCAGATGAACATCGTTCTCCAGATAGAGAAGGAAAGCCGTCCTCAACTGAAGCTTGGACGATCGACCGCTCTACTTGCCTGGACTCCTCATGCTCACGAAGCAGAACCTCGGGATCATTTGCTACCCATGCCATCGTTTTGTAGGTACCATTCCTCATTTCTCCCCCCGCCAGAATGGCAGCCTGCTTTGTCTTGATGAGGAATCGTGGGAAAGCCACTCCCCAACAGCCTCAGCACTCAACTGACGTTGGCATTAAAACATAGCGACGTCGACGAGGACGGCTCCGGGAATGTCACCATTGGATCATCATCCTACCGAGTTCACCACGACCCAGTCTACTCCAGTGGCATCACTTGCACACGCATGCACAGCGAAGCCGATGCCGTGGTTTCCTGCACGGTCCCAGCCCCCCAGGACGTCCCTCTCAAGCCACGAAGCCAAGCTTTCAAACGTGAATGCTTCTCCCACGGTCCCAGCGACTTGGTCAATGCTCTGGTGAGTCTCCAAGGGAGTTCCGAGACCCTGTCCGAGGAGGCCTTTGCAGAGAAGCATAATACTACAGCTCTGACCAGCTTGGACGCTTCTGATCTCCAGCTGTTCGTCAACGAGGCCGAGAACGATGGTGGCGATCTAGAGAAGCGTCAGCGACAGTGCGACAATATCCGTTCCTTTACCAGGAGGGTCGGGGACGGAAACCCTCACCAAAACCCCATGAACGTGCAGCTTACCGTATGTCCTGCAATCCCCTACTAATGCAGCTTGGTGATTCAGAGGCTAAACGAGCTCATTGTCCCGGCTACAGGATGAAATGCGATGCGACCCAACCAGAGAGTGCAGCGTCGGCGCCAACGCGGCCACGTCCTACTCTGTCGGCTGGTCCGCCAACGCAAACGCCTTCGGCTGGATCAGCGGCGGCTTCGCCGTCATCAAGACCGAGATGACGGGCAACAACTACGGCTGCAACGGAAAGCCTGGGGACCACTTCTGCCTGTGGAAGAAGCAGGGGCAGACCGCCTACACGGTCCGGAACTGGATCAGCACGCCCTGCCAGGCTGCGAGCCCCGTCGGTAACCCGTATGTCATGTGGTCCCCTGACGCGAACAACCGCCGTGGTTTCTACTACTGCGTCTATGGGTCCTGCCGTGCGCGCGGTGACCGCTGGCTGGATACCGACCCCAACACACCCGGTGGTCCGTAAAGGAGAAGGCTGGATCTCCATGGCGGTTTAGAGGGCGGGTACTTGGGTCAGATCACCCATTTTTCCCTGTAGGAATGGTGACGAGCCCCCGTTTTATATGGAATATGGGCATCGTGGGGATGAGGTGGTGGAGAGGCAGCAGTCTATGCCGCCTGTGTTGTAGGAGAAGGGGGCTGGGTCAATAATAATTATTAGATATTTTTGGGACGTGAGTTTGTAGAGCAGAGATCGGATAACAGGACCATTTTAACCAGTTAGTCAGTCTTGACAATTGGCTGCAGATAATTAGATACTCTTCGCTTCAATACACAACACTCAGTGGAATTATTGTCATGGACAATGCCTGTGATGCTGACTGCTAACTAGAGACTTCCACACTACGTTTAACAAGAACTGTCTGTCAAGATACTCTACGGTACTCCCCTCCCCTCTCGCACCGACACTCATTCCAGATGCTAGCATCAGCATTGCCTATCTCTGAGTGCAAGAAGCTGATGAGTATTAATCTAAGATATCCAGCAGAGGAGGCTGGGATGTGAGGGAGGAGCTCAGGTACAATTCAGAAGGCAGTTCAGTGACTGGGAATGAATCTCGCTGATACGTAAAAGAAGATATCTCTGCTATTGTGCGCTCCACCTTGGGAAGTCATTCCTGCCGTCAATGACGATCACTTCTGTCTGGATTGTACTGTGGAGCCAAGCTCGCTCGCAGGGCGTGCATTTGACAAATGTTTACCTGGACTACAGCAACACTCGAGTCTTAGTGGTGGCAGGTGGCAAATTCCAGCAGCCACGCAGCCAATCACAGGCGTCGAGACACCTAACCCCTTGCGTTCTGGCGCTGCTTACACGGCTGACTATCCTGCACTGCAGGACTCGTGCTGACGACCATCGATCTCACTTTCTCATCTTCATCACCTTTGGGGACCTTTGTCTGTCGCTATCAACACCAGTTGGTCGCAGGTTCCCAACGACAGTATGAGCAGTCGCCTAAAGTCCATACTCAAGAACCCAAACCGCGTACACAAGAAAAAGCCCGCCGCACCAAGGCGGACAAGCAGCGGTGGCAACAGCAGCGCCGCCACCAGCACCATCAACAACCGAAGCGCCAGGTCATCGCCCTCGTCCTCGTCATGGAGCGACTCGCTCCCAAGGACGAAACCAGGAGCCGCCAGGCCGCAGAAGGCAGATGACCAGGAAGACTTCTTCCAGGACAAGCTGGACGACACGGGTCTTGTACAAGCCCTCGCGACCGACCTGACCCTCCGCGACGTCCCGCAGGCGATGCGCTACTCGCGCGAGCACATGTTCGCCCCAATGCCGGACCAGCTGTCATCGCTAGGCCTCAGATCGACCCGCGTGGCCGAGGTGCTCGGCGCCAGGCGGGCCCTGCCGCCCGTGGTGACGGTCGCGCACCTGCAGGCGCTCCTGCGCAGCCCCACGGCCGTGGACCGGGAAGCAGCTGAGCTCACGCGCGCCGGCGCCTTGCGGAAGGTTGTCGTCCTGAGGCGTGGCAGGGACGGAGGCGTCGGCGAGCTCCTTGTCGCCACCGGGGACCTGGAGCGGCTCGTCGAGGCCAGCGATGCAGATGGGGCGCTGGACGAGGGGACCCGGGAGGCTTTCTGCCGATGGCTTGGGGACAACCCGGCCGCACTCAAGGTCTGCGCCGGCGATACGGCCCTGGATGCGAGCAATGTCGACCAGCTGGTCAGAGCGGGCTTCCTGACGACGGCTCATGATCGAGACGTGGGTAGCGTCACGTCTACCTTCGCGCGGCCGGAAGATAGAGGCACTAATATCAGCCTTGCGGCTGTGTCGCGCGCTGCTGCCGGGTCCATTGACGCTGTGGGAGGCGAGGGAGCCGTCCATGCATCCGGGGGCAGCGGGGCCCGGTCCGGAGGTAGTGGTAGCACACACCAGGGCGGCCCCAGTGTTGATCTCTCACTTGCGGTCCCCGGGCAGGGACCATACCTGAAGCTTGTGTCGGCGGCGCTATCACAGCTGACAGCTATACTTAACAAGTCGTCCTATAAGGAGATGCCCGAGACGCTGCTGAGGGAGAGGTGGGACGGTGGCGTGGCGAAGCAGGAGTCGAAACAACACGCATCTAAGAGGGAGAGGCGGGAGTTTGCTGGGGTGCTGCCGGCTAGAACAAGAAAATGGAAGGACTTTCATGGTATGACCTTCGACTGGATACTGCATGAAGCTGTTGGTGCCGGGCTCGTGGAGGTGTTTGAAACAGGGAGCGTGGGCAGAGGGGTCAGGCTGCTGTGAACCAAACAGAAACATAGACACCAGAACCGTGGACGAGATTCAGTCCGATGCCCCACGCCGGTGTGTTCTCTCCGGTCCCGCTCTCGTTCGGATGTGATTGCGACGTTATAGCCGGGCCCATTCTGGGCAATATGATCGATCCGTCCGAACCAGCAGCCCCGGAGCCACGGTACCCAGTTCCGAAGCCCACCATCCTGTGTTTCACATATAGCTGCGCCCTGCTCGACTCGGCTGCGTCGTCTGACGATATCGCCGCTCTCAATGCGCTTGCTTTTTCTTCCCCGCCCCTCTGCCCCACCCCAGAGGACTATCAAGTAGTAGGAGCTCAAAGGCTAGTGTGGAGGGCCGGGCTGCCTGCAGAGCTATGACCCCCCGAGAGTCCACGCAAGCCGTTGCGTTTATCTTGGATCAACCTGGTCCCGTCATGCCGCCGGCGGCTCAGAAGCGGCCTGTAGGGATTTTCGCCCATCACGCCCATCCAGCCCGCCTAGCCTATCCTAAAACCCAGCACCCCGTTTTTGACGGGTGCCAACTTGTCTAGCTCGCTGCGCCGTCGTCTGGGACTGCTGCCATCCGTCCCCTCTATCGAGCGCCGTCTAAGGAGTCAGTGCCCCACGGGTGAATAAGATAATTGGACGAGCGCAAGGTCCCGACTATCGAAAGTTCAGGCGTGGGCAGGGACAATTGCTGCATCTGATGTCACTAGTTGGTGTGCACTGAAGGTTTTGCTTGTGATGTTTGGGTACTGCCTGCAGATGGTCCACTCTATTGTGCGAGTTTGAGCACTCTGGGCAGTGTTCTGTCGACGATGTCGCGCAGTATGCGCAGTTCTAGAACGCAGAACCCTCACTGTTGCACTGCTCTTCTCGCCAGGCGCAGCGCGGTGGTCGTCACTGTGTCGGGGACAAATGTTGATGGTCCCCAAGCCGAGTCTAAGGAGGCTTGTTCCCCGCCACGGCCCTGCCTCGCATATCCTGAAGCACTAGCTCCTGTAGAACCCGCGCGAGACGCAGGATTGCGTCTTAGTGGCACCACATCATCGATTGCGACAGCTTCGCCGCGCAGTGCAGGCGAGCGGTGAACGATGCCCGAGAGAGCAACCACTGGAGTGCGTGAGCAAGACAGACAGGAGCACCTGGTCCGACCGGGAATTGAATTTTGGGAAGGAGGCTCTTCTGCCGCACGTGCCGGGTTACAGAACAGTCGAGGCTTGGTGGTGAACCTCTGGGGTAGCCTTGCAAGCTCTCTGGGGTCAAAGCGTTTGATCCCCTCTTCCGGTCGGTCGTCGCTGCTTGCAGCGAGGACAAGCCGGCGAGCAACAGTGCTATCGCGCTGCTGACGAGACGATGATGCGGGACATTATTGCCGGCAAACACTTATATGATCATCCCGTGGGTGTGGCAGAAGTGTATGCCACATCCTTGCCAACCCATAAACCAGCCATACAGAAGCGCAGAATAAGGCGTATGAGTCGTTATGGTGTTGATACATCGCGATGGTAGGGTGAATTGGGCAGTGAGTGTTCTTGACAGAGGACATTCTGAGAAGCTTGTCAGCCAAAGAAGCAACCATTGCGGCATCGAGAATGATCACCGCATGCACCCGAAACCGTCCGTGGACGCACTGACAGGCCTCAGCTGTTCGTTGGATCGCGGCCCTGCTGAGGTCCTCCTCGCCGCTCAGGCCGGGCCGACGTGTGACAAGATGCTGGCCAAGTCAACATTGGCAAGAATCATCTTCTAGAATCAAACGAACACGCGAAAAGTGCGGATGAAAATTCTTGTCCAACCATGGGAAACAATTGTCAGACGTATACAGTCCGAAAGACGATACTATGAGAACAGGTTGCGGTGGGCAGGGTACCAGCATCTTGACTGCCGTTTCAGGAAGGCCGCTCAGCAGCTTGCCATGCCGAGGTCAGCCAGGTTTGCCCGGCATTCAGGTCCGCGAACTAAATTAATGTCCCAGAAAGTCTCGCTGAGTCTCGTGCGGAACGGTCCTTCGTTGGGCACGTCTCTTTGATGCGAACATGTTTCGTCCGCTCGATGCGAGTCTGGTGATAGCCCATCGCATGCAGCCTTGATTCGCGAATCTGCAGCCGGCCGAAACGTCACAGACCTTCCTCGGCACGAGAGTCAGCGACTTGCAGAAATATCGGGTGGACGAGTGCGACGCGAGGGCATGCAGCGGGTGCTCAGACCGAGGGGCGGATCTGTCAATCATCAATCCTCATCTAACCATGTATGTATTTGGCTGAGTATGCAGGACGGATACGTCGGGAACGGAGGATACTCCCCAAGCAGCAGCAACCCAGGAGCCAGGCGAGGCGGTTTCGTTTCGTTGCTCTGGACATGTCTGCCGGCAAGGATATCGGCGGGCGCAGCCTTCTTAGCCCCCATGACGAAACCACAGCCGTGTGAGAAAAAGAAAACGAGGGTCGTGATGCTGTTATTCCTGATACTCCTTGAGCTGAGTCCAGGGTCTTGCGCTGTGCCCGACCCCTAAAGCCCCGGTGAACACAATTGCAGCAGACAACAATGCCAACACCCCCTATATTGAGGTGACGTCTTAGAGTACCATCTTATAGATACGAAATAGGGAGGAGGGAGCAGTTGCATAGCGACACGGGCGTGCTGCATCAACGCTATCATTTCCCAGCCAAACTCTGTAGAATAGCACCGAGATTTTGTCGATGCAGATGCGCCACAGCCCTGATACCAAAATTACCGTTTGAGTGCGGGATACCCTTCGGCTGGCCGGACAGTTCTGAAGAATCAGGACAGTACTGCGCCGGTACCTCTGGGAACGGGTATGGATTGCCGCTTTGGGCGGCTGAGGGCCACTCGCTCGCAGACCACCGTTCAGTGGCACCCTGCGGAAATTACGGCGAGCGCATCCGTGTTGTGTCGACGACAGCCATGAGACGGAACAGTTTCCTCTTCTGTGTCTCATCTGTCAATCCGGCAAGTTTTCATCCCATTGACAGCGGTACGGAATGCCCCGTGCTGGCCACAGGAAGGCCTGTGAGCCTGGGGTTCGCTAGGCTGGGCGATGACAGCTGGTGGAGAAGCTTTCGGAAGTGGCGCCAGGCGTGATCGAGACGATGAGCCTGCGACTGCCATGGCTTGCGGTGGCGGTGGCGGCGACGGTGACGGTGACGGTGACGGTCATAGCTATGCTTGCCACAGCCGTTGCGGACATGGCAGGGAAAACGGTGCAGTCGAGACTTGGCCGAGCATAGGACATGAGGATACGACCACGAGGTCCGCGAGGGCTGAAATGAGCCTCGGGTTCACCCTCGCCCCAATCCCGCAGGCTTCTGCCGTGGTATATGGGCTAGAATATGCAGTAGCTTTGGACGCGACGGCTCGACACCTTTTTTGCTGCATGTCGAGCAGGGCGCCAGGAACAAGACGAGAAAAGGGGTTTCTGATTGATCGAGCAAAGGCACTGCGTAGCACCGAGCTGGCAATCAGACAGGTAGGGTGGGATGGGGCACATGCGTCGCTACTACAGAACTGGCCGGTTGCGGTACGTACTGTGGTACGGCCTCCCGCGCTATACCCGATGGAGAGGCACCATGGATTCTGTGCACCCGAGTCGGGCTCGCGGATGGGTGTTAGGTCCAAAGGGAGGGTTGCATCCTCGATTCCCCGGGCCATCGTCAGAGCCCAACGGCGATGGGCTGAGGGCTTGAAAGTGTGGTACAGATTTCGGGTCCCTTGCGTCAACAACGGCTTGAGAGTAGGGCAGGCGAAATAGGGCAGGCGAGGTAGGGGGTAGAGGCAATAGTAGACTCGTGTATGTGTTTCCCTACAGACATACGTGCATGGTACCATACAACCAGCACACAGCTTCCCGAAAAGATCAGACCAGAGTGTGGTCGATCTGGGGAAGCAGGCCGACGTGGTTAGCACACGGTACTGTGTATGACTGCATGTAGATGCAGGTAGCACAAAATCCCAGGATAAAGACTTATTAGACTGGCTAAATAAGAAATAAGACTGGGTCAGCAACCTGGGCAAAGCAGGTGCAAAGCTGGCAAGGTGGCCACCGATAGGCCGTTATCAAGACAGGCAATCCCCCGCTGTGACGCTGTACAGGGATCGTGCAGGTGCAACCTTGAAGTCAGGGACCCCTATGGAGGGAAGGAAGGTTGGCCCTGGCAGCTGCTGGGCGGGCCGGGGAGAAGTCAAATTGCAGCTTGCGAAAACGGCAATGGTTCGTAGGCCTTTGCTCCACACGAGAGAAGTCAATCATCCTCGATCTGCCCGACCGACCGACTGATTGGTGACTGGACATGACATGATCAGGTGCGACGCAGTATCCTCGGGACGTGGATGGTCGATCCGCCAATCTACAGTACGAGACGTACAGTGAGTGGTACGGCTGCCTCGTCAAATGAGATGGGAAAGAGAGCGAGAGAGATCAAGGGGGGAAGGTGGAGGGATGGGGAGAGTAAAGCACGGAGCACAGAGCCACGGGCCACAGGGCACAGAGAATGGAGAGGCCAGAACGGACAACAGACAACTGACAACAGACGGATGCAAAGACGGGCAGGACACACAGACGTTGACTGTCACGTTGGGACCATCAAGTAGACTGACGCCCCACGCCTCCTGCGCCGCCTTGCGCAACGCCCTCAGGCATTTGTGGTTTTGATTTTATTGTCGTCTCCATTCCGCCGAGTCTGAGCACCCGGGCGTGGCTTGCTCACCCACCGACGAGAGAGTGTTGTGTGTTCTGCTGTATTGTGTGTGATGTGCTGAGTTGCGTTGCGTTGCGCTGTGTGGTTGCGTGTTGCACGTCTCCGGCCCCTTGGGTCTCGAATTGGTGTGCACTGCCCTTCGGAAAACCCCTGCGCTGCGCGAAGTTTATGTCGACTTGTGCTCTGCGAATCGATGCGACTCATTCATCACTCGATTGTTATATTGGCAGTATTTTATTAGCACTGTCCAGCATTCGTGCCGATCGTCGTGGGCACTTATCAGCCAACCCCGGACGGCGGTCGCCCATCAGTCCCCACCCTGCAGCCGCCGCCCCATACCGTTAGGCCTTGTCTCTGTGCAGGCCAATTTCCTGCGTCCCTCCGCCTCTTTGTGCCCTCCACGCACGCAGCCTGCCCATATTGGCTGCTCAGCACCTTCCAACAACACGCACGCCCTCGACTTGGACCCTCGATCCAAAGTCTATACAACATTGGCTCCCATTTAGACTATTTCCTCGCGGATGCAGCAGGAGAGCACGAACCACAAGCTGCACCCCCAAGTCTGATCCGTTCATCTTCTGTTCTGTTCTGGTGGCTGCTTCCGTCCCGTGTCTAGCAGCCCTCTTCCCTGCCCCCTCGACCTTCGACTTGCCAGCCCACAGTACCAGTCACTGCTAGTACCGTTGGCCCCAAGGACCGGTACCAGAATTCCTCGAAAACGGTCGACCACCGACACGCCCACGACACGACACGACAGCTGCCACCCACTAGCCCACTCAACTTGTTCACCGTCCATCCCATCTTTTCGATCCTACTGATCTCGACCTCCTCGTCCCCGCCCGTCTCGTCTTCCAAATCTCAAATCCTGAAGAGTGCCGCTGCCCTGCTCTGCTGCCCTGCCGCTCTGCCCAATTTGTCACTCTCCAGTCCTGGGTTGCGATTGCACGCTCCACCTCCACGCTCGGCCGCCCTGATCCAGACCACTCCCCACCTTCCAGGGACGAGACTCCCTCCGCCGCGAGACCTCCTTACTTTTCCTCGTCACCAGCTCCCACTGCGAGGCCATTGCGACCTTTGGATCGACAACTGAGCCGCGAGATCCCGCCGCAACAGACGGGCCATTCCTATACCAGACCCGGGCCCGTTTGCCCTGTCGCAAACCGATCGTTTCTCTCAACCTTACACAGCTGGACAGGGAGGACGGAGGAGGACTTCGTGCCTGTGCGAACCTGAGACGAACTGCAAAAGGTATGCAAGGCTACGATCTCGGACAATCCCATGGCCTTTTCTCCTAGGCTGTCACCTACAAAGGAGCCCTTTCACTGGGCCACCAGCCTGCCGCGTGCAGGAAGCCTCAGACGTTGTGTATTTGATATTCCACCCCTATATCCCTCTGGTCTCAGCTGCCCTTAATTGCTTTTCGAGGCCAACCCTCGCTTTTGGCCGGACGTTTTCACATGCAGTCCACGACACGGCCCTTGATTAGGCAATGGTTTACGCACCTAGCATCCCCCAAGTGAACATCTGTTTCTGAGTGTCCAGTCGCTGATATTCTTGACCTAGCTAGCTACCCCAGTGCTCCTGGGTACTTCAAGAGGTCGGCCCGTGGCTGTTGCATGAAGCCGTTTCACTTCCTCTTCCTTGATAAGCCGGGTTCTGGGCCCCCCGCCTAGCTTAATTTTTTTTTTGGGCTGATCCCTGGCACCTCATCAAGTTCCTTGGACGAAGACGATCAGGGAGTCCATGGTGTATTTGCGGACATCACCCTGAACTGTATTCACTCCGCCACCTGAGATCTCGGACGCCAGTTAATGGACGGCTTCTCGGCGTTCCTTCAACAGCTACAACATCCTTTCCTCAGGACAATCAACAACGAGTCAATCACATAGTCTGACAGAGCTGGTCCGCAGCACATTCGAGCTTCAACCGTCGTTTGCCCTCCTCCCAAGGGGGACGAAATCGGCACAAAGCTATCGCTGGGTAGCGTTCTAATTCAGGATGACGACCGCACTTCCCAAACCACATCGGAATCCCAATGCGCCACCGAATATGGCCCTTCCGGCGCTGCCTATCGCAAAAACGCGAAAGTCTTCGGGACTCCAGCCACCGTCCACCCCAGCCAGGTCACTAATGACCACACCCAAGAGCGGGCTACGAGCTCCTTCCGCCACCCAACTCCCACCGCCAGCTACTCCAGCTCCTACGACCGCCTTACCGCAGCCACGCTCAGTATCCGCTGCTGTACAAGGGACGAAGGCGCTGCGGAAAACGGTCAGCATCAACTCGTTTCCTCAGCCGCCTCGCGGAGACACACGGACGAGTAGTCACCCATCAAGTCCTCTGTCAGGCAATCGCAGGTCGAAAACAGTGACCGCGACTACCTCAACGTCAGGCTCCAATGGCACTCCGAGTCTGCTCAACGGTTCTGGCGAAGGCAAATCTGTGACAAGGGCAAGCGCACGGTTCTCTGACGGGCTGATCAGCGTGTCATCGCCCCCGCAAAGCCGAAGCTCCTCAGCACAAGATTCCTACTCGACGTCAGCGACGACCTATGACGATCCTGTCGACGCCGCAGGAGCAAAGTCCGGCGCGGACGCTTCAAGTAAACACCTATCAAAGGGGGATAGCAAAGGCAATGTGGTCGTTAGTGTAAGAGTACGGCCAGATGCTGGGGCTCAAGATCAGCGACCTGATGGCGAGTGGATGGTCGATGGGAGGAAGTCCCTGATCGGATATCACGGCAAAGAAGGCGGTGACTACTACTACGGTACGTTAGCAGAGGACTCCAGCTGGGTATCTTTTCATTGCTGACCTTTCCAGACAACGTTTTCACGACACATGATGACAACTACCGAGTCTACGATCACCTCGCGAAACGACTCGTCAGACGAGTAATGGAGGGCTACCACGGGACAGTCTTCGCCTACGGAATGACAGGCACGGGTAAAACATTCTCTATGCAAGGGACTGCTTCATCGCCCGGTGTCATCCCTCTGGCGATCACCGACATATTCTCGTACATTCGCGAGACGCCTTCCCGGGAATTCCTGCTCCGAGTCAGCTATTTGGAGATCTACAATGAGAAGATTCACGATCTTCTCAGTATGTCGACCGGTGGGGGAGTCGGCGGTCCCGTGGCACAGGAGGAAATCAAGTTGCGGGAGGATAGCAAGCGAGGCGTCTACGCGAGTCCGTTGAAGGAAGAAATTGTGCAGAGTCCGACGCAACTCCTTAGAGTCATCGCTCGGGGCGATCAAGCGCGACGAACAGCAAGCACTCAGTTCAATTCTCGAAGTTCTCGGAGTCATGCGGTGGTGCAGATTGTTGTCGAGAGCAGAGAGCGCATACCTGGAGGGCCGGCAGCACCGGCTGAGAACAAGCGATCCGCCCTGTTGCCAGGCGGCGTACGGGTCTCGACTTTGAGCTTGATCGACCTTGCAGGTTCAGAAAAGGCGGCCGAGAGCAAGGAGCGCCGGCAGGAAGGCTCACACATCAACAAGAGCTTGCTGACTCTGGGAACTGTTGTGTCTAAGCTTTCGGAACACAAGGACGGCAAATCGGACAAGGATGGCAAGCACCTGCCCTACCGAGACAGCAAGCTGACCAGGTTGCTGCAAGGTGCATTGTCAGGCAATTCACTCGTCAGCATTCTCTGCACAATCCAAATAGGATCGACAGGAAGCGCCGCAGCCGCCAACACCCACACGAATGAAACTCTCAACACACTCAAATTTGCGTCGAGAGCGAAGAACAATCTGGTCAGCCATGCGAAACGTGCTGAGGAGGCATTGGGTGCTGGTGGTGAGGGTGGTGCAAGAGTACTTCTCGAACGATACCGCATGGAAATCTCTGAGCTGAGATCGCAGCTGGAAGCGCAAGCCAAGAAAGATAAGAACGAGGACAGCGCGGAAAAGGCCAGGGACGCCGAGGAAGAACTGGCGCGAGAGAAGGAAGCAGAAGCCCGGCACGAAGAGCAGATGCTGGAGATGCAACTAGCTCGAACGGCGCTGAAAGAGCGCATAGATCATCTGAACCGCCTGATCCTGAGCTCGAAGTCGATAGGCGTCAACGCCAGCGGGACTTGGAGCTCCCTAGGTTCGCATCCACGGTTCTCGCAGGCGTCCATGCGGTCTTCGCGGTCGTCTATGACACCATCCCAAGCGGGTAGGCCCATGCTTGAGCGCTCGGCGTCTTTGACATCATCTTCGTCCACGATTGGCCGAAGGCCCAGCATGGATCACCGTGCGTCAACCAGCGGAAGGTCTGCAGGAGACGAGGACGACAGCGTTGGCGAATATGGTGACGGCACGGCATCGCTGACAGCCCAGAACCGGGCATTGCAGGCCGACCTGGTGGACAAGAACCGTTACATCGCGACCCTGGAGAAGCGCCTGCTCCAGGCGCGGAGGGCAAGCTCGTCGCGCACGTCAGGCGGTCTTTCCTCTGGCAGCAAGGGGATCATGGTTGGCGAGGACCATAGCGTGTCGACAGCTCTGAAGGAGAGGGACGCCGAGATTGCGGAATTGCGTGCTCAGCTGGAAGACAAGGACCGAATGCTCATCGCCTTGCGGAGTGCAGCTAGGAGAGGGGAGAATGCTGACCGGAGCATCGAGACCCGTGCGTCTCAACTGATGATGCTGGAGAACGGGCCGCGCTCTAACCCTGCCTCGCCGACGAGCCCCCAACGCCCGCTGTTCCGACACAGCAGCGTCAGGTCTCCCCCCAAGGACCGGCGCAGCACGGACGAGATGAGTCGCATTCTGGACGAGATGATACAGGACCGAGTCGAGACGGGCCACATTGTCAAGAGCACACGGGGCAGCGTCCGTGTCGTAGCCTCAACGGACCGGGAGAAGCCCCTCGTCGACCGCCTCGAGCCCCTTCGGAAGAGCAACGAGAGCAACCACCGACCCTCAGTCGTACTCGAGGTTTAGAATATTCTTAATCTGCGGCAATTTTTCGGGAAGCTCAGAGGCGAGGCCTCGTCTGCCACCGCGGGGAGGCGCCCGAAGCCGAGGGTGTCGCTTTTTTCATTGCCTGGAGTTGGCATTGATGACGATAAAGAGTCATGAGCTGTTAGAGTCCAGCGTGGCGGCTTGCTTCTCGATCTATTTTTCTTTTTGGGACAACCGGGATGGGTGTTGGTTCGGACTGGCGAGGCACTGATGGCCTCGTTGCATAGCCGTTTGTGCCGGCATTCGTTGCTTTTTTTTTTTTTGCTTTTTCTTTTTACGAAATTTTCGCTTTCTTTATTATACCCAAGTTTTGAGGTACGGATAATGCTGGATTGTGCGCGACGGAAAAGGATACGCGTGTGCGTGGTGGAGGAGAACTGGCCGTTTTGGCGAAGCTGCCAATGGCCGCGAGCAAGGAAAGCGGAAGCACGACATCGAAAAGGGCCTATTTTTGTTCGGAACGATATTGATATTTCCTAGGGGAAGGGAAGATACAGAAATGGACCATCCAATACGGGGAAAGGACGAAGGACGAAGAACAAGAGACCGGGAGAGACACTGGTGCCCTCTCTCGATCAAAAGCCCGCCCAGTTTAACGAATGAGGGTCCGAGCCAGCGTTTTATTTGCTCCTCTTTATTTTTCTTGTATTGTATGCCTAAGGCCGGACATAGCTGTCGACGAACGACAGGGAACGATGAATCGATAGGAGAGGTGACTATTGTCGTGTGCTACATGAACAGCTGCCGACTTGCGTGTGCGCATGCGTGTGTGTGTGTGTGTGTGTGTGTGTGTGTGTCGGGAATGGGAGTTGTGAATGCGTGTGACAGACAGTTTTGACCAACCACCTGGGCCCCCAGCCCTCCCCGTGCCGGAGATCGGCTCGCGAAAGGACGGGTGTGTTATGCAAGCAAGCAAAAAGTCATCGCGACTCGGACTGGGCGGGTATTGGCTACGCTTGGTGGTAGTGGTGGTGGCGCAGAGGCAGAGAGCACGACATTCAGATGGACGCAGCCATTTCTGGGACTAAGATTTCTTCTCTTGGACGGAGGCAGATATCGGACGAGGCGGTGCGAGGGGGCCTCGTGGATTGGGGGAAGGGGGTGGGTGGCAGGTAGCAGGATGTTCACGTGAGAGTGGTCTTTGCGGCACTGATGCCTTGGGGATGTGGGCGGCTGTCTTGTCGTCTGAGATTTCGGCGCCCCCAGTTTGGGGGTTCGTGCTCTACCTTCGTGTCTTTCTCAGTCTCTCTCTCTGTGTGTGTGTGTGTGTGTGTGTGTGTGCGCGCGTGCGCGTACACACCACAGCGAAACAGCCGTGACAGACTGCTTGCCTGGCCGTTTATAAGAGAGGATGGCTGGCTTGCTGTGATAGGCTGTGGTTACGGTAACGAACGACGCTGTACGGCCGAGTGAAGAGTTTGGGCGACTTGAGTGTGTGAAGGAGAAGGAGTGGGACGAGAAACAGAAGGCCCAACAGGATGGAACAGTGTGTTTGGTTGCTCTGCGTCGTCCTTGTCCCCCCTTCAATACATCTCTGGCCAACGGTCGCACCTCGATGTGGCAGTTTATATTGCTCTGTGAGATTGCGTGTTTGGTGGTTCTGTCTGTGTGGTTCTGCTAAGTCGGTGCTGGTTAGTCCACCTGAGGCCGAGCCAAGTTGGCCCTCGCATGAAGATTGGTGGTGTGTTATTGTATATATTTGTGGCACTGATATTCTCACGGTGATCTTGGACGGTATGATATGACTTTGGACTCGTCATCCTGTCGTTGTCACACACGATGTGTTGTTTGTCCTACAAGTGTATTCATCTATATATAACACACATACACAAGCACAGGCACAAGCCTGGTCACCAGCAAACACATCTCCTCGAGAGGACAAGAACATGGCAAGATGACACGAGCCTCGCAATAGCTATGGCAGTGACAGTCGTGTTACTGAGACACAGGCACAGGTAGCCTACGTGCTACCTTGGTTGGGGGTGGGAAGAAGGAACCGTATCCTGCCTCGGTCTCTTCCTCCCGGTGTCCGCCGACGAGGGCCTTCCTACACCCACCTCATGTCCCCGGTCCCCGCGGGAACTCAGGCTGACACATGTCAAAATGGGCATTTCCCGACGAGCCTTGAGGAGATTGCTCTAGGAGAATTTGGGGTCGACGGGGGGGGAGGGAAGGCGTAGCGCGAGCGAGGATAAGTTCCGTGGACGGAAAGGGGCAAGGCGCGAGTCGGCCTACCTGCCCTACATGCTATAGATGGGTGTGGAGCAGGGACCCTTGGGCTTGGGGGCGTCCTGTTGGAAGGCAGCCCGGAGTGCAGAGGGAAGGAAGTTGAACGTTCATCTTGGGCATTGCTCGGGTGCGGCGCCCGAGTCGTGTGATTGGCCGTGTCGCTGCCGCTGCCTTGGGGGTGTTTCAGATGCGACAAGGTTCAGGGGTGGAGAGAGATTTGGGACCCTTCTTGTGCATTTTGCGGCTCGGCCGCTGATGATGACGATATTGTCTCGTGGAGGGGGACAGGGGAGTTTGTATGTCCTGTCGAAGTTCGTCAAGCTGGCAACAACACAATTTGGGAAGAAGCTTTCCTCTGACTCGAGTCGAGTGCTGAAGCTGTAGATGAGGAGGCAGGTTGGAGCGACTCTTTCCCTTTTTCATCGCGGATCGACAAGACCGGTGGGAGTTGGGGCACCAATGGCAGGCGCGGGGTGAGCGGACTGGCGGGTGTGAGAGACAGATTGAGAAGGCACGAACGCCAGTCCACCCCCTCGGTCGTCCCTGTCGTGCCTCATGCCGTCGCCTCGTCCTGCCCCTGTTGGTTTTGTCCAACTGGCACTTTCTTGACCAGCTGGCTTTTGGATGTTTATTGCGATGTTACTTCGCTCTGCCGTCGGCTCTGCTGTTGGCCCTGCCGGTCCAGGACTGTGTGACAAGAGTTGACCGGCAGCCTGGCATCGCCTCGGTGATATTCATCAGGTCATGACGATCGTGGCTTGGGATGCAGCGAGCTGACGGCCGATCACTGGCAGTGTCTGCAGCATCTGTCGGATCCTGTCTTGCCCCAGCCTGCCGGTCTGTTTTGTTTCCTCACGGACAGACGGGCAGAACGGGCTGCAGGATGAAACCCCCCAGCCCGTCAGTCGTCATCCACGGCTCGAGCCTTCCCTTGATGCCGCACCACCAGTCGGGACCCCTCCTCATTGGGCGCCATCGTCGTTTGGCCAGCAAACAGATGCTCGCAGACGCAGTGCAACAATGAAACACTGACACCAAACGAAGCCCGACATTGGGGTTCGCTCCTGATCAGCCTGATAGCCATCCCAGAAAGAGCAACACCCGGCTGACGTGGTGGGATTGTCTATTCGAAGAAGAGCCCAGCGTTCCATCACACCGACGCCCTGGGTCCTCCCCTGCTTTGCCTGGCGGGATCGCCGCCAAGAGGGGCTGCCCGGGGTGAGTGAGTGGCATGACAGCTTCTGCTTTACTATGCGCGCCTCTCGTGCGTCTCCCTCCCCATGCCCGTCCCCAGGTTTTTGGGGGCGAGCCTCTCGAATAGGAAGAATATCTGCATCTTCACCCCCTTTCTACGCTACAGTGCCCTATTACAAGTCCTGCCCGGCTCACCCACTCGCTCGTCCGTCATGCTTTGCAGGGCCCCTCTTTTGAACAATCCGAAACTTCCACCTGCTTGATCAGTATAAGCTTGTTGTCATCGAGAGGGGCATGCTCGCTATTTGAGGAGCAAAAGTGGGCTTCACCCGGTGAATAGTAGCTCCCTCAGATCCCCGTCCACGGCTGTGTCTCCGAAGCAAGATCTGAAATAACTTGCACGCCTCCTCCGCGCTTCCGAGGCTGCATCGCAGTCCCACTGTCTCCTCCGCGCCTCTGTCACAGATGTTTTCGAGGCAGCGCATCATGTTGGCATGACCTTTGGGGCGCTCTTCTCTTCTTCTCCTCAGCTTCCAGTCGGGAGAAAACACAAGCAGCTCGACTTCCGGACACTGCCCTATCTCATCCTCGCCATCCTACCGTCCCATCTTGTTTCAACCGCACGAGACAGCGCCGGCCCCATCCTTTCCCACGGCTGTGGTTTCCTTAGGTGGAGCTCATGAACAGATGACAGCAATCTTGGCACATGACACCCGTCTTCCCTTCTCATCGGCTGGCCCATACGCTTGACTCGGGGGGCGCTGGTCTTTCCGGCCCATCCTCATCATAGCAGCCCAGGAAACACGCCTATGGAATTCTGTCCTCCTTCGGTGTTTGGACGAACGCAGGCTGTTCGGCTGTGAGAGCCCTCACACTCCCCGCGGTCGCAATTCGATTCTCGCTGCCTTGACTTAGGGGCGCTCTTATTTTTCTCCACCTATTCTTCTTGTTCTTTTTTTCTCGGCCTTTCAGCCTGGTGGGTTGTGCAGTTTAGCGGTGGAACTGCCAACTGCAACGACGATCACCATTTCGCCACCGCCTCGAGCTCACCTCTTCTTTTGTAAAACGGCGAGCCGACATCGTACTGCCCGACTCCGCTTGAGGAGTCGCCGGCAACTCCATTTCTCGAGATGACACCGCCCACAATACAGGTGACGCACACGTCGTCACCGCGCTCGCACAAGATGATCATCTCGCCGCCTCGAATCAACCTGCGGCGTGCCGCCTCCTACAACAACTCCGACAGGGGACCGCTATCCTCTACATCCTCCCGGTTCGGCTTCGACCACCTCGTCTTCAACTCACCCCCGCCCTCGCCGGGTCTGCCCCTGCCGCAACAAGCTCCCCGGATGCGGAAACCCTCCAGCTCGCCCCGCCCGAGCCGCGTCTTCCGGTGCTTGCTATGGCTCTCCGGCTTTCTTCTCATCCTTTACCTGGCCGCTCAGTCCATCCGGCAAGGCCAGGTTGTCCCCGTCATAGGCTGGGGCAGGGCCTTGGACGAGGCCTACGAGATGGTCAGTCAGGACGATCTGCCGGACTTCCCTACGCCTATCGTGGTGACCGACCGGAGGGGACGGGCAAAGTGGACTGTCTCGATTCCATCCAGTTACCACTACCCTCTGACGCCTAAGGAGTATAGCGATGTGTGCGCCAAGTGCAGGGAGGTGGCCATGAGGGTTCACGCGCTACACACGCACAGCCCTGTCGAGAAGGCGCAGATCACTTTCAACCGAGGTGATGCGGGGAACGACCGGTATTTTATGGACGTGAAAGAAGCAGAGAAGCATGGATTCTTACCTGGCGCGGTCGGCATGGTGCCCGGCCGCGGTGGTGACCTTCTGGGTGTGGACAAGAATGACATGGGCGACAAGCCGGCGTGCACGTCAAGCCTGACGTTTGTTCTGGAATCAGACGACGCCGGGTTAGGAAAGACTTTGATGTCGCTATGGACTGCTTACGGCCTCGCGCAGCGGGAGGGGCGTGCCTTCTTCGTCGAGGACGCAAGGTGGGCGTATGGCGAGTACGTCAACATCTTCGAAATGCCCCCCGTACCGGCCTGCCGGCCCCCGCCGCGGCACGAGATGATCCCCTGCCCGCGCAACGCACGGCACCTCATCGTCTCCTCGGCCAACGCGCGCGACATTTTCGGCGCCCATGTCCCGGACGGCGACACCTACGCTGAGGGCACTGCCGCCAGCTTGGACCGCCGCCCTGCGCAGCGCGAGCTATTCGCCCTGGCGCGCGCCGGCTACGAGGCCCTCTTCCGCCTCAACGGCGACGACCGTGACTACGTCTCCAGCCGGGTCGCCGAGCTGAAGGCCAGGACCAAAACTGCTGCCGAGGGTGCTCCGGCGCACGGCAGCAATGGTAGGATCGTCGGCGTGCACGTGCGCCACGGTGACCGCCACCCGCTTGAGTTCCAGTACGCCGACAGCTACATCCCACTGGCGGCCTACGCCGATGCCGCACATGCGCGGCTGAACGCCACACTGGGCGGCGGTGACCACGCCCCCGCCTCCATGGCGAGGACCAAGTCCCTCGTGGTCCTCGCGTCCGACGACCCGCTCGTCTACGACGCCGACGAGTTCCGCGGCGCCGCCCGTGCCCAGGAGCAGATCCGGCTCGCCGGCAAGGAGGAGCTGCCGCCGCAGAGCTCGCGGCCCGATAAGTCGGTCATGCACAAGTTCGTCGACGAGACCTTCGGCTGGGAGGGCGGCTTCTTCGCGGCCATGTTTTGGAACCTGGGGCTGTCCGCAGCTGCGGCAGCCAGCAACAACGCGGCCGGCGTGGGGCCGCCCGCCGGTGCCGAGACCATCCGCCTTAGGAGCTTCGTCGGCCGCGCGTACCTGATGGACCTGGCCGTACTGTCAGACCTGACCGAAGGCGGCGGCGTGGTGTGCGCCGTCGGCGCCATGGGGTGCCGTCTGCTGGCTGTCATGATGGGCGCCGAGAGGGCTTTTAACAAGGGCGAGTGGGTCAACGTCGACGGCGAGTTCGGGTGGACGGGGGCCACGTGGGTGTGATGCTGAAAGACACCCCAGGCACATCTATATCCTGCGACGAGAACGGACCTCCCAGGGCGAAGGGGAGAGACGCTGAAACTACATCATCGCAACATTCCGTGCGTATTCCAATATCTCTACTAGCATAGCACAAACCCCGAAATTTTGCATGGGACAAGGCGTTGAAAGGGAGGCAAAACCGAGAGCAAAGGGTCCGAAGCGACGACCACTATATGGAGTTTTGATTTATGATACCATCCATCTTCAACGCAACATTCATCTTGGACAGAAAGACAGGGCCGTTTATACTTTAGTAGCCTACTCGCTTAGCTTACAGACACTCGTTTGTGTGTACACCTTCCGCCTGCATGACGGAAGGGATATAATTTCACTTCGTCACGTCTTAAAGTTAGTTCCAACCTACTTCCACCACGTGAAAATGGAACGCTGCTGGACCGACTTGGCTGGGTTTCCCAAAGGGGAAACGCGAGGCCGTCTGATTGGCTGCGCATGTTGCTTAAGCTTGATCGTAAGCATAACGGTCATTGATCTCACCTGCAGTAAGCTGAGCACAATGTTGGGGGACAAGGTCGAGCTTGAATTTATGAAGCCTATCTACTTTGTCTGAGCATCATACCGTCAACTCTTTGGCCAAATCGCGCACTCGAAGTCCCCCGTTGTCATCCCCTTCGCAGGCCGTGTTGCAGGGCCTTTCAAAGTCCTCCCTTCTCCAACCAGGGATTCAGTAGTGAGCAATTGGAAACAGTGCGACGTGAAGCGCAGCTGTTCCCCAGAGACGCGACCAGCTGTTGCTCATTGGCTCACAAGGCCAAACCGTAAATCAAAGCGTTTGACCTTCCTGTTGGCACTCGCTCCGCAGGGGTACGGAGGGAAGTGCTGGCGTAATGGAAGGCCGGATTCTCCTAGGCCTAGTCCTAGATGCTGGCTTCGGAGCCAAATGGCACCCACCAGAGTATTTCTGCACATTGTGCTGAAAGATCTCGAGATAGCGGGTGCCATTTGTATCGCGCTTATCTCCTTCAGAAAGAATCCCGCTTGACTGGAACCCGCGGATCGGGAATTCTGGGATCGATTCCACAATTCCACCGCGACGCGAATCGACTGCATCTGTCGATGCCGCGATTGTTTTGCTACTGGATCACGACGAGAAAGGCTAGCTATCTATAAGCCGAGATAGGAAGCCTGGCGCCTGTACCTGTGCCATGATGAAGAGAGGACAGCCACTCGAACTCTGGATCGAAGTGGTCTTGGATTGGATGCGCAGTGACCAGCGAGTATATTCAACCCAAGTTGATACACAATCGCAGGATGTGAGGGGTGTGATGCTCGCGTGGTCGAAAAATCGCTCGAACAATGGTGCCAAGAAAAGAATCGTGAATGCAAGCTGCAATGCCTTCCGTTTTGCGCTTCGCCACCCTCGCAGGACGCGAGATATCACTTAGCCTTTTCATGTCATGCTCAGGACAAAAAGGGGCCGCACCCAATTCAATCCACTTATTGAGAATGTCAGCTGATATTCTGGGCGAACAGGGAGAAAATAGATGGAAGTAAAACTGACAAAATGCCGCAGGATCCTTATCACACTATGAGATACTTTTGAGGTCCTAAAAAGGTCCGCTCAGAACGCCGAAATAAATGCTTGCTCCGTGACCGTCTGTCTTCGTCATGACATCGCACGTGCGTCTCCTGTTTATATCGTATGCACATTCTTCAAGTATCCGGATTCCTGAAAGGCCTGAGTCTAGATGCTGTATCCTGCGTGATCGTCAGTCACTGAGCTGGAGAAAGGGCGCGATGTAAAGTGCTCACTATGATGACTCCTGGAGATAGTGCCCCGTGGAGTGATCCTTCATTGCATCGTGATCATCGTCCACATCCTAGTCGCCAGCACGTTGCAGCTGAACGACACCGTCGGGCAGTTTAAAGTCCTACCCAGGACCAACTATTGCCAGCCACTACAGCCGAACAATACACATGGTCTTTCAACACGACCATTCAGTTGCCAGCCAACGAACTGTAGCCGAGCAACAAAGAGGGCCTTTTAACGTCCTGCCCAGGACGACATCGGCAGTAGTCTTTCTGTGTCTTCGCCTGCTCAAGAACGGCCAAGCTGAGTCCCTTCCGAGTCCCTAAAGCCTGGGTCTGCTCCGGAAATTGTGCACATGGTTGGTCGCTAAGTCTGGCCAAAGTGAGTCGTGATAGCAGACGGCGAACGCAGGAACGTGGAAATGCGTATGATTCCGGGTATTCGGGGGATCTCGGTCGAGTTGGTGAGTGCCTTGGCGAAGCTGGACAGTTCCAGCACACGAGGGCTTGTCATGTACCTCGTGCCCTGAACTCGCTCGTCCATCTTGACAAGCGTTGTTGGGCAATAGTATGGTGTGAACGCATCTTATGTGTGCTCCCCTGCGATGGCCGCCCCCGAGTAAGGAATCCGCACTGAGGGTTTCCCACCGTTTAGATACCGACCCTAAACCTACTTCCTGCTCAGGTTTCGAGGGTCACAGGGCCAGGACGGTCGGGGTACAGAGGGAAAGTTTGGGAGCCGGGAATCTGCTCCAGACCACATAATCTCAGCGATTTCACACCTTTGGCTGTCCGACGGACTTCTGAGTAGAAGCCAACGGCATGAAGAGTGGCATAGCAGTGCAAGATCAGAAGTGGTCGACTGGAGGTGTTCGCTCAGGTGAGGCACAAGCACTGCTGCCCGCCGGATGCAATAATTGTGGCGCGTGCGGTCAGGTTGCGGGGTTGCTTGCGGCCATGGTGGCGTGGTGGCTTGATTGCTGGACGGCTGTCCTGTTTTACAGCCATCAATCCAGGTCGAGGCACGCTGGCCTTGATTGACCGGTCGGAATCAACGCGTCTTCGAAGGAAAGGATGATGTCCGTCGACGGGTCGAAGACAGCCTGGCAAGCTACCTCAGCCTCGCGTTATCTTGAGCGACGTCATGATGATCACCTCCGACGATCCGACTCGGGGGATGTGAGAGTCGAAGAGAGATGGCAAGGCTGAAAAAGATGGAAATGTCGGAAAAGTGGAAGGTAATGAGTGAGTGGCTGAGGCAAGCCAAGATAGTTTAGCAGGTCGCTGGTCGAGGTCCCATCGAACCTTGGTGGTGACGGCGCGAAGAGGGAGGGGCTTGTGCCTCAGGAAAGTACCTAGGTATGTATCTACCAAGGTACTCGGAGAACCCCCGCTGCCCTCTGGTGCTGCTGACATAAGAAGCACCACTTCCATGAGACAACCACCCACCACCCTGAATCCTCATTCTACCAGGCACTATGGGACAACCTGCGATGGGACATCCTCCTATGGGATATCCCCATCTTGGATAACCTACTATGGGTTAGCCTCCTGTGGGATAACCTCCTGAGGATAACTGGCTGTGGGGTATCCTCCTCGGGGATAACCTGCTGTTAGATAACCTTTTATGGGATAACGGCCTATGGGATAGCCTGCTATAGAATATCCTCTGGGATAACCTGCTGCGGGTCAACCTGCTCTGGTACCTGTTGATGAATACCTAGGTAGGTGCCTGTCTACCCAGTACCTACCTGGTAGGTAGGTAGGTACTGCGTATGCCTCTCCGACTTGGAAGGAGGACTGATTCCCTGCTCTGACCTGCCCACTGGTGCGCCTTCCATACCAGGGAGGAAGGTGCTATGATACGTAGTAATTCCACCTCCGGCTCAGTACCTACCTAGGTAGGAAGCCAAACATCCTCACCTCTACTGATCTCGACATCTACAGTCCTCCTGCTGTAACACCCTTCCTGATCCTTCATTTGCGCAAAGATGGCACCGCCAGATCCAGCCGCTCTAGCAGCAGTCATGCCACAAACAATCGCCAGATTCATGCAGCTCAGTCAGGAGCAAGCACTTCACGAGAAGATCAACTCCTTACAGGAGACGGTGGCCACCCTCCGAGAGCACTACGACCAAGAGATCAAAGCCCTACAGGCTATTACTTCCGCCCAGAAAGACCGCCACGAGGCAGAAACCACAGCCTTGCGCGAGGTCATCACCAACCTCCAAAACCGCCACAGCAAGTACGATGAAGAGATCAGCTCATTACAAAAGGAAGTCACGCACCTTCGAACCTTCCCCAGGGAGCAAGACAGGGCACTTGGACAGCCCCACCCACGGGGCGTCAAGAGGGAACGTGCGGATGATGAAGCGCGCCGTCACAAAGGAAAGAGGCAGTCGCTCGTGGACGCGGCTTCCCGACAACAAGACTTCGTAGACTACGTCATAACAATGCGCGACGAGTTCAACAAGACGGACAATTACGGAAGGGACCAGAGGGCTTTCATCTGTCGCTTCATCGACGGCATTCAGGATCCAGTCCTCTCCCGTTGGTTCCAGGAGTCCCTGAAGGCGCGGTTCCCCGACAGGGTACATGACGAGAAGCGATCCGCACGCAAAGCCGGCGGCGGCGGCCGGATCGTCGGTCCGACCAGAGACCTGACGTGGAAGGACGTCGAGACTGTCTTGAAGCACACGCTGTGGCCTTCCATGGACGGCTGATCGAGCCAGCACCAAGAGTCTGATGACATGACAGCGGGAGGGGAGGGATTTAGGAGAGTCTGGCTTGTGCGAACTTGATTCAGGGTGTATCGGGTTGCTGACAGTTGCTGGATCTGGACGGGTGAAGAGGGGATTTGAAAGAGGACAAATGATGCAATGTGGTTTGCTATCGGCCGTGTTGCTCACTGTTTCGAGTGGCAGATGACAGTGTTTACAATTTGACACTATGATGACCATCATCACTACAGGATGCCAGAATCACCATCGTCTCATCGTGACACGCTTGTATCACCCTTGTCGTCACCAATACCGGAGTACTTATTGAGCCAGCCAATCACTTCATTATGCCAGACCAGGGAGTTCTCTGGTTTCAACACCCACTGGCCAAGCGTCAGTTGGTGCAATTCATATGTGGATTGAAGCAGGAGGACTTACATGGTTCTCATCCGGGAAGACCAGGAGCTTACTGGGGACACCCCGAGACTGTAGCACGTTGAAGGCAGCCAGGCCTTCGGTCACGGGCAATCTGTAATCGAGCTCGCTGTGGATAATCTGTAGGCGGCGTGGATTGTACCGTAATTAGCAAGCCGCCTTCTCATCCGAGAGCATGTACGTCCCTGAAACGGGCAGGGGAAATGATGGACAGGTACTGGTCACTTACCAACTGCGGCGTCGCCCACTGGTCCACATACCTCGCGGGGTCCCACCTCTCGTAGCCCTCCCTGTTCTTCCACAGCTCGCCGCCAAAGTCGTGGATGGGGAAGAACAGCTCCTCGCTCGCGTACTGGTTGAGGGTGCTGAAGACGCCGTCGTGGCACGCGAGGGCCTTGAGCTTGCGGCCGAGCGGCTGGCCCTGGATCCAGTTGATCATGTAGCCGCCGTAGCTAGCGCCCGCGGCGACGGCGCGGCCGACGTCCACGTAGGAGCCGAGCTTGTCGGCGACGTGCTCGAAGCACAGCTCTATGTCCTCGTACGGCCTGCCGCCCCACTCGCCGCGGATGCCGTTCTCGAGGGACATGCCGTAGCCCGTCGAACCCGTCGGGTTCGGCATCACGCACACGTACCCTTGCTCCGCGAACACGGCCGGGTTCCACCGCGTCGACCAGCTGTCGGCCCACATCCCCTGTGGCCCGCCGTGGATCAGCAGCGCCAGCGGGTACTTCTTGGACGGGTCGAAGTCGGACGGCTTGACCACCCACGCGTGCACGTCGTAGTCGCCCGCGCCGCGGAACCAGATCTCGTCGACCTGCGCCCTCGACAGGCCGAACGCCCGGCCCTGCTTGGTGTTGGAGGAGGCGAGGCTGGTGGTCTTGGCCGAGGGGTCGATCACGGTGTACAGCGAGTTGTCCGTGAGGCTGGAGCCGCTGGCGAACACCTTGCCGCCCGGGTAGGCCCTGACGTCGCCGATGCTGCCCTCGACGTCCGAGACGACCTCGGGCGGCTGCTTCGCCAGCAGCGGGCTGGCGGGCAGCCTGAACAGCTTGGACCGGCCCAGGTCCTCGGCCACGACGTAGAGCTCCTTGCCGTCGGCGGACCACAGGATGCTGTCGGGTCTGCGGTCCCAGTCGCCCTCGCCGTCGGCCGTCTCGTAGAACTCCTGCACGTTGGACAGGTCCGCGACGTCCGGCACGAGCAGCAGCCGCGGCTTGTCGCTCTCGTACTGCACGTCGCGCATGCGCGTGAAGGCGACCGACTTGCCGTCGCGGCTGAACGCCGGCGCCCCACTGTACCCGCGAAGCTTGCCCGTCTTGACGAGCTGTGGCGCGGGCGGTTTGGCCTGCGTGAAGCTGGACAGGGCCACATAGTACAAATCGCTCTTGGTGTGCGTGGCCGGGTTGAGTTCCGGGTCGCGCGCCACGAACACGATCCCCGTGGGGCCGATGTCGAAGTCGCCCGTGCCGCCAAAGGGGGGCACGGGGCTCTGGAGCCGCGTGCCGGCCAGGACATTGACCAGGCCTGGCGGCTCGAGGCGGAATGCGCCGCCCGAGGACTTCTTGAGCGAGCCGTAGAAGATGGCGTTGCGGTTCTCGTTGACCCACGAGTCCCAGTGCCGGACGAAGAGGCTGGTGTACACCTTTGCGCTGGAGTACGGCTTCTTCTCGTTCTCCGGGTTGTGGATTGCTCCGGAGGGGTCCACCAGGGCGGAGCAAGCCAAGGCGAACGTGTCATCGCTGAGCTTGCTTATCTTCAAGTTCGAGATGCTTCCGCTGAACTTGCTGACCTCCTTAGGACTGGGGTATAGGAGTCAATATAAGCCAAGAAAGAGAAGGAATTGGTAGGTGAGAGACTAACGATGCGCCTGGGCTGTTCACGTCTGCGACAAGGAGACTCGACGTGCCCTTCTCGCCGCTCTTGATCACGAGGAACTCGGTCTCGCCCACCCATGTCGGCTCACTGTAGCTCGAGTCCGTGTACAGAGTGGTGGCATGGTTAGACTCGAGGTCGAGGACCTGGATCGAATTGGTCTTCTTGTGCTCTTGGAACGAGTACGTCGACACCTGAGCCGCGTTAGCTATGGCGTGCTCTCATCCCATTTTGTTCTGTCGCGTCTCATGCCTCCTGTGAGGACGTGTCACGGCAGATCAAGATGAAGAAGCTCACGGTATACAGGACCAGCTTGCCAGAGCTGTTGGGGCTGCCCGCGGATCTACGGGGCGCCGAGAGTAGCACCTCGGGGGTCAACTTTGCGCGGATGGTCATCATGAAGGCGGTCAGGAGTGAGGTGCTGGGCTGGGAGAACACTGGGTGCTGGAGGGAGCAACAAGAACAAGACGAAGAAAAACCCCAACAGCCTTATACACTTTTGCCCTGCTCTACTGGATACTGTACTTTCTACTACCATTCGCCTCCTGCCTCAGTAGGGAAAGGGACCTGCACGTCCTTGTCTCAGTCGAGACACCTTAATGTGCCTTGTCCGTCCGTCGACCCCGCAATGGGGCGGGTCCAGATGGTCCAAGGAGGAGGAGGAGCTCCTGGGTACCCCTCACGATTATGACATTGACGGGCACCCTGATGACACGCTGAGCCGCGCCTGAGCTTCGACCAAGTGTCTTCTGCCGGCAGCTTCTTGCGAGAGAGAGGTGGGGGTGGGATGCACGCCCTCTCTTCATTCGTGTCCCGCTTAGGCTTTCCGGAGCATATAGTGTTTTGCGGTGCGATGCACCATGTAGACAGTCACATACGTAGCTCTAATATACGTACACACATGCCTGAGGATGCATGCAACGTCGATCTGGGCATGCCCCGCAGCTGCACACCTCTTTTCGGTCATGCTGTCAGGATGAAGCTCTTGCGCGTGGGGGGAACGTGCTATAACCAAATGCTTGGCATTCAGTAGTCTCTTGGACCCTACTTGCTTCATCCTGCTGCATGTGACAGCCCTATGTAAGAACGAATCCATCCACGGCCTGAATGCCGGTTGAAGCCGTACACAATGGCCCAGCCCGTAGTCCTCCTGCCAACTTATCCGTCCGAAACGCCTCGCTTTTAAGACCAAGCACATATTTAAGAGTAACAGTCAGCGCAGACGATTCAATTCCTCTGCCTCTTCCTCTTCCTCTTCCTCTTCCGGCTCTGATTCACGGCCAGAGGGGTGTAGTTATCACCAGAATCTTCCCGGGCTGATTCATAGCCGGAGAGGCCATAGTAATCACCAGAATCCTCCTACTTTCTGGACGCTCCAAAGTTGGTCCTGACCTTCTTGACGTTGACGTCGCTCTCGCTGTCACCACCAGCATCGACGCTCAGGCTGATGGCGGCCTTCTTCTTGTCCTTCTTCGAGCCGCCGCCGCCTCCTCCCGCCTTGCCCGTGGACGCCGTCGCGCTCGTCGGCGTGGGGTGGTTGCTGCCGCTCCCGCCCGCGAACGTCGTGCTCACCGGCGTCGGGGCGTGACTAGAGCCCGGCGTGTTCGCGGTGGAGTCGGCCGCGTTCGCGTTGTACGAGATGGACGACTTCGAGAAAACGCGGTGCAGTTCCATGTTGGCCCCCTTGCGCCGCTGGGCCGCCGCCGCATTGGTCCCCTTGGTGTAGTTGTCGAACCCGGCCATGATGTTTCCGGACGGGGTTGAGTCGAGATACTCTTGTTCCTTGGTGGAGATTGAGTCCTCGATCATGGACTGCGGCGGAATGCAGCATTAGAAGACGCCCACGTGCAACAGAAAGCAACAGGAACTCGCAGGGAACACTGACCAACTTCTTCTCCAGCTCGCGTCTCTTGGCCAAAAGCGATTTCAATTGCGTGCGCGACTGCTCGTAGAACGGCAATCCGCCAGGCGCATCGGCGCCCGCCGCTGCCTGGTTATTCTCCGTCATGGCGGAGACGGAGATGACGCTTCCGGAAGTTGCCTTGGGCTCACTAGACGGATGTCATACAACTTGTCGTCCGGGGGCCAGTGCACTCTCCTTTGCCCCTGCGTCTCGTTCGACAGGCCAGTGCCCGGGGTCGAGTCGGTGGTCGGCGGAACGGAACTGGAGGGTTCGCCCTGAGGAGCACCAGGTGTCGTCGGTGTCGCCGCGGTGATGATGTCGGTTTCCGGACGCGAACCAGGCTCGTCGCCACCTGCGATCGAAGTAGGATCGGCAAGTGGTCCGGGAGAGATGTATACTGGCTCTGGCTCTGGCTCTGGGTCTGGCAATGGTGACGCGGCGCGGCTTGTTGTCGCAGGCGCAAGACTCTCTCCTCCTCGGCTGTTTCCCGCGGCACCTTGGGATGAGGCCGACGCGTCTCGAGGACCTGCAGCGTGGGATTCCTACTCTTCAGCCTCTACAGACTCCGATGGCGCGTCTCGCTCTGTCGGGGAGGAATCTCGTGAAGCACGAATGGCAATCCGCAAGTGCTGTGGGTTTCTGATGTTGCGTGGGTGTTCCTGCGCGACACGCAGTCCTTCGGCAGTCTGAAAGCCGGTTTGGAGAAAGGTGTTGGATTGTGTAGCAGCCTTGAGTTGTCTACCCTGGTCTGATTCGGGCTCTGAGCCTTCGTCGGGATCGGGGTTCTCTTCGTCGATGTTGCCCTCGTCCTCGTCCTCGTCCTCGTCCTCGTCCTCGTCGTTTTGGTCTTCGTCTTCGATATCAAAAGGGGGGTCGAAATCCTCCCTTGCAGATCGACGGGCTGCGAGATGAGCGGCGTGGCGAGCTGCGCGGTCGTCTGTCTCGGTCGATGATTGCGGTTCGGCTGGTGTATAATTGAGCTTGATTTTCTTTCTGGGCGGCATCTTTAAGATGGACGGCCGATTGAGTTGGAGTAGCCTGGTGGGGCTAGCCCGCAGCGGGCGTAAGGTCAAACCAACCAATTACTCCCCACTAACGCACTTACAAGTGAGCATGAATGTTGTTGATGAGTAGTCTAGTGGATGCTATTGACAGCTGGTAATGTCGCAAGTTCAAGAACAGGAAGACGGATCGGGCTAATTGTACACACTGCGCTTGAATTTGAACGCATCGCACTTCCTCTCCGCTGATGCCGTCGCAGTTCGAGTAGAAGAAGGTGCCCAGGGACTAGACCCGTCTTGTGAAGGTAATCCACAGTAACCCAGAGCATGTCTTTACAGCAGGCAGGAGCCACGGAAGCTTACACTCAACTTTCAAATATCAGGGCGGAACACATATAATTAACAAGCATTTCAAAAAGAACAAGCCGGCACATTCTCGAAGTTGGTCTAGGTGCCTGTCTATGTAAGATGATGGCCCATGTAGTCGAGGCTATGGAATATGGGGAATGCCAGTGCCACAGGGGCGACAAGCACCCACTTCAGATACGCTTACAGTGTGCCTGTGCCTGTGCCCGCACATGAAATACTTCAACAGAGGTTAGCCTCAGACATTGCTCGATCCGCTCTTCGAGGATCTCCTCAGCTTGATCAGCCGCTCCCTGAGCAGCTTCTCCTTCAGCTCAGTGGCCCGCTGCTGCGTAGTCTTCTGCTGGGGCTGAGATATCATAGAACATGACAGCTAGTCAGTAGGTGTCTCGCGTACAAGCTTTGAAATAACCATCCCGGCCTCCCATCTTCCCAGTCAAGGAGACTAGCGTACCTTCGGTGAGGCGTCTGTCGCTGTCGTCGTCTTGGGCTCGTTGGCGTCATCTTCGGCAGGTGACTTGGGTCTGGGTCTTCTGTTCTCGTCTTCGGAAACATCAGCCGAGTTGTCTCGCGAACGGTCTTTAGATGAGATGGAGGATGTGTTATGTTTCCGTGGGCTTCTCTTGCTTCCCCCTCTTCCTCCACGACTCGAGCTTCTGCTTCTGCTTCGGTATCTCGACAGGCGCCGGGAGTCGCGCGGAGAATCGAACGGAGACCTGCTACGACTTAGCTCGCGTCTTCCTCGACCCCGGACTCGACGAGCACCGCCAGGGGAACCGCTCCGGCTCCGACTGTCTCTGTGACGTCTCCTGCGTGCTGGGCTTCGTGAACGTGACAGAGACCGCCTGTCCGAGCCAGACGACGAGAGTGATCTGCCACGCCTCCGCCTAATAGGTGAGCGACTTCGAGACGAAGAGTAACGCCGGCGCTTGGGCGCAGGTGAGTTCCTGTCAGAGGAAGGCGACCGTCTGCGAGGGCGGTAGTTGTTCTCTCGGGGCAACGGAGACCGCGACCTCTTGCGTATATCGCGGTCTGGCGAAGAGGAGTTGCGTCTTCTCGGGCGTCGACTGCCGGACGGGCTGGATGAGCGGGACCGGGAACGAGGCGGTGGAGAGTCCTTCGAGGAGGACCGTCGCCGTGGAGGGCGTCGATCGCCAGGCACGTATGAATCGCGCCCACGGGTGGGTCCGCGGTAATTATCGCGGGCTCCTCGCCGGGACGGCGGCGGTGACCTTGAGGGACTACGACCACGCCCGAAGCCTCGCCCGCCACCACGGTATGTGTCTCTGTCGCCTCGGCCACCACGGTAGCTGTCGACGCGACCACCCCCTCGGCCACGGCGGGCTTCAAGCTCCTCTCGTCTCTTGCGGGCTTCTTCGGCAGCTTTGTCGGCCTCGATCTGGTCAGTCTTCGTTAGTATGCGGGATTTGGGCGATTGGCCTCGTAGTGGAGCAGCGTGCCTTCTCTTGTATTAGCTCCAGTTTCTTGGCCTCAAGCAGCTCCTTGGGCACGCCTTGAGGGCTGGTCTGGGCACTGAGACATAGATTCCACAGTTCCTTGCAGAAAGGCGCCGTGTCTTTATCGAGAAATCCGGTCAGCTGGATCTGAAGAGACTTGATGTCGGGCTAAAGGGCGAGGAGATATTAGCACTTGGGTGAGCCGGGCAGATCGGAGGCGAGACTTCGGAAAAGGCAACTCACGTATCGAGACCCCTCGATGAGATTGAAGCAGAGCTCAATGACCACATCATCCTCACTGCCCAAAATCTCCGAAATCTTGCCCGCTATCCATCTGGACAAGGAGTGACGCGTCAGTCGCGTCGGGACGCATTGGAACGGGAGGGGCCAGCGTGGGCTTGACCTACTTCTTCACGACCTGCAGGTTGACCTTGGTCATGTCAACCTTCTGGCTGAACTCTGGAGGGAATTTGGTGCTCTTGAGGAGCTTGGCATCCACCCCGGTTGCCATGATGGGCAGAATGCTGGATATGCGCTGTCGACTGCGATGTGGTCGGGAAACGAAAGATGCAGCCGTGACGTCGGGGGTGCAATTTTGCTGTAAAAAGGGCGGGTTGCGGATGGGTGGGGTCCTGTAGCAACGAAGCTCAGGTGCTAGCGGCAGCGGTCAGTTTCAGTGGAGCTTCGGGCTCGGACCAAGGTTCGGCTCCCCTGCGCAATGATGACATTTTTTGGGGACATGAATTATATTTATCTTCTGGATTTATTAGCTTGGGACCAGACTGAGTCGCATCCTATTTTGCAGACAAAGAACGGGGTAAGATATATCAGGCTGTGACAATTGCTGCAGCTGGTTAGGCGCAGCTTGAGGGGGCCACTGCACCTGTATTATTGTGATTTATGCCTAAAGCTGCCATTGATCAGTCCACTAGAAAGGCCACGCAAGAGCAGGATGCTACAAGAAGCCAACGAGACATCTGCAAAACACCTGTGTGTAGCCACAAATTCGAGAAAGTGGCATTACCAGGGCATCATTTTAATATTTACTGCTCAGAATCGTTGTGTGATGACAACAAGATATAGGAGAAAGGGTGAAATAACCGTCTATAATACAGACCTAATCGGCCTCCCAAGAAACACTCATGTTTTTGTACAACCCCACCAAGCCGTGAACCTGGCGTCTCATTACCGTTGGCCGTTCGTAAACCAGATCATTTATAGTATACCCCGTCCCTTTCCCAAGTCCATACCGCACCTTACCAAGCAGTCACTGTCGGACGGGATTTTCCATGCCTAAAACGCCTCGCGCCAAACAAATATTGTAATGCCTTTTTCATGTGCTATGGCCAAAGACGGTTCGAATGCCGGGCTCGCTCACTTCTTCTCCGTGTTGCCCGTCGCGTCGGGCCTTGGGAAGGTGTAGCGCGACGTCGGCCGTGGTCTCTCCTGGAGTTGCGACGCGTCGCCCCCTTGCTTGCCCTGCTTCTCGACCGCGGCCTTTTGCTTCGCGATCATGGCGTCTATCTTCTCGCGCGCCCTGATCAGGCTCGTGTTGTCCTGCTGCTTGATCTTGTTGCGGATGTCGTACAGGGCCATCAACGTGCTCGCGCGGTCGACGTCGTCCTCGGGCTATTGCGCGCAGCTGCAAGTCAGCATGTTGATCTGTCAAACCGGACGAGGGCGAAAGCCGACAATGGACTTACGTCAGAGCCTCGCGGCGTCCCCGGCCCGGACCCCTGGGCGGAGTTGGTTCGCGTCATGGGCGGTGTAAGGATGCGGCGCCCGAACTTGTCGAGACGACTGTTGGATACTGAGGACGAGGATCGCGATGCGCCGGCGGTGGAGGCAGGGGGCTTGAGGCCGTCATTCTGGTTTGGGGCCTGGGCCTGGGCCTGCTGGTTGAGCGCCTTGTTCGCGTTCACAAGTGCTGCTGCTGCTTTCTTGTCGGCAGCGCTGAGATCGGAGATGTCAGCTAGCATCTGGGCCAGCTGGATAGACTCCATGACGCCAGCATGCGATGGCGTTCGAGGTCGAAGGGAGGAGTTATGGGCGTGTGGGTTGGCGAGTTGGACGAGGAGACAGGGAGAGGAAAATTGGATGATGTGGTGGTATTTGGTGGTGAGACGGCGAGGGCTGCTCGATGGCGTCCGACGGAACTTCGGGTTCCAGCTCGACTGTTTGAGTCGGATTAGGTATCCAGACAACCATGTACGTAATGAGCTAGGCCCAAGTGGAAGGTGTCTTGTAAGCAGGGTCCTAATGCAGGGCAGCGACTGGGTCAGGGCGGCGGGTCACGAAGGTTGAGGCTCAATCAAGACGGAGTCACAAAGAATTGTGATAGATTCGCGACCATCTGGGGATCTGGCACAAGCGAGAGCTGTGTGGGATACAGGAAAGAATACTCGGACAGCCAGTCTGGAAGGTGCTGGCGCGGGGAGGGAGGGTGAGCTGTCAGCCCAATGTTGTCCCAAGGTTTGTCCAGACCCCAGGCTCCTGCCCGAGTTTTTCTAGAACATCGGCTCTGATCTTCCCTTGTGTGGGGAAGCTACGCTTAGCGAGCGGCGGGGAAGAAGCGGAGGTCCACGGTCCACAGTCGACCCCCTGCGAGCCCCCCTTTCATGACTGGTTTCCCCAGATTCTCGCCTCGCATCTCTCGGCTTGTGCCAACCTTGACACTTGCACAGCCCGGTGCTGAATTTAAAGCCGTTTCAATAAAATCTCGTCTTTGCCATGGCCTGGGCCGCCGGGCTGCCAAGGTATTTTCATTGTGTGGGCCTTAAATGAATCAAGTCGGGAGCCAAATTCAGACCCAAGGGAATAGAAATGCTCGTCATTCTGTTTCAAAACATCCCTCTTCTCTCCCGTCCGGCTCGCGTGATGACCTTGCAAGACACGTCACTCTGTCGAGGAAGAAGGAATTTCCAGTCAGCTTAGGCAGCCTCGTTGTCTGGTGATTTGCAACCTAATGTCATGTCACCCCGGGCTTGTCAACACAGACCCGGGGTTCTGGGAGGGCCGTCTCTTGCATGCGTTACTGCAACCCATTCAAGGTTTTATGCTACTGTCCTGAATCATCCGTTCCATCAGCTATCCGAAGCATCCTTGTTCCCCATGCGTCTCTATTCAGGCACTGTCAAAGCAGCGCCGGAGCTCAGAAACAGCGGCCGCAACGGCAAAATACTCTCGGCAATCATGCCTTGTAGAAACGCGTTTGATCGGATGTATGCCCAACACACAGCAACTCTCAAAGGTAACGGGCACCTGGAGCACACCAGGCTCGCCCACCGATTGACGTCAATAGCTCATCCCATCTCGAGGCTTTATTGCAATTCACGACAAAGAACCCAGCCCATCAAATGAGTGTGTGATCAAGACAGAATCTCAGAGCAATATCTCCCCCTTCATCACCACCTTTGCCGTACCGCCGAGCCTCACCTCTTTTATCACCCTCGTTCCGTCTGAGCCTGCCTTTGATACAATGTGGGTCTCGATATCGCTCTCCCTTCCAAGCTCGACGCCCTGGGTGATGCGGTACTTGGTCTCATCAGCATCCCCCTTCAGACTCAGATAGCTCGTCAACGAAGACGCCGCAGAGCCGGTGGCCGGGTCCTCGAAGTCGAGCTCCACCATCCTCGTACGGATGGTCTCATTCCTAATCCCACTCTCATCGGTGGCAACAGCCTGCGGGACGTAGTCTAGTCAATTCACTCGTTAGTGCTACATTGTTCACCAGGGCCCCGAGATGAATCCTCGCGGCGGGGACCCATCTCCAGTGCCAAGAAGCATAGGGAAAAGCGGAGATTCGCTTACAATATCTCGCTGTGAACCCGTGCCCCCACGGTCCTGCATCCAAGAGGCTCACGTATTCACCGAGGTCCAGACGCTTGCGGACGTCGACCTGGGCGAGGTGCTCGAGGCTGGGAAGCTTGACGAGCAGGAAGGTCATTCCCTTGACGATACTGAAGATGGGGGCGTCGAGCTCGGCGGTCCGGACAGCGTCGTCGCCGTGAAGGGCGGGCTCGATCTGGGCTCTGACGCCCTTGTCACCTAGCTCATAGAGCGACCGCAGCGTGCGCGAGTGCAAGTGGACGTCGTGCGGGATGCTCGCCGTTACCCTGCCATCGACTGACTTAGCGATGCGGATAGGCCCACATGGCGGAGTGATGGTGTCAACAAAGTCCCAACCCAAATACTGGAGGAGAAGGTACGTCGTCCCGATGGTGGGATGGCCCGCAAAGGGAAGCTCGCTCTCGATGGTGAAGATGCTGACCTCGCGCGCGCTCGAGGACCGGTCCGGGTGCTGTAGGCTCTCGCCCGGGCGGAGGTAGAGGAAGATTGTCTCGCTGAGGTTGAACTCCTTGGCAATGAGCTGCTGCTTGTCCTTTCCCAGCGCGGCTCGCTCCTTGTCCTCGACAATGACGACCGCTAGGGGGTTGCCGAGGAAGGATGTGTCCGTGAAGACGTCGACCGTGATAAACTGCATGATGTGTCAAGGGCAAGGTGGATGGATAATGCGGGGTTGGGAATCAAGACGTTCGAAAGAAGGACCTCGACAACACTCGACCCGTGCCTCGCCTTATATGTCCCGGGCTCATCGACCCAGAAGTCATGACCATCAGAGCACTTGCGCTGTGGTAGGTGAGTCACTTTGAGGCTCGTGGGAATCGCGTCCTGAAATGCGCAAGTGTACCCTGAGGCGCTAACGTGACTGGGCGGGGCCATTCCTTGTCTATCTCTCAAACCTTGGAGGTATCCCGACTTGTGTCACTGTACGACTGGCTAAAGTGCATACCGTCTTACTTGCAATTGCCGGCCGTGGTTGTCCTAAATAAGCGCACCCATCCGTGATTGTTTTGCTTTTGGCATGATATCATAGGCAACACCATCCACTAAAAGGCGAGACACGTCGAGAGACTGATCATGTGGCTTCCACCGGTCTATGGGCTTGCTTTGTATAACAAATGAGATCGATCGCTTCTATCTATATCAATTTCATATCTTATAATAAAACAATCCAAATATTTTCAATGGTCCAGTCTCCTGGTCCTACAACAACAGATCACTCCGGCCCGCCAACCTACCATGTTCTTTATCTATAGAACTACGTGGCTGAGCCCAGTCGTAATCATCACTGAACCCGGAATTCTCTTCTATTCAGGACGCATCCAAAAATGGTCTAGAAGTATGTCCTCAAAGCAAGTGCTGTCACCGCTAAACCTCATACCTCAATGGCTCACCGTATAGCCCAAAGGTGTCAGACGAGGGTATTGTCTCCGTTGTGTACCGAGGAATAGCGTCCCATAATCGAAGATACGGAGAACCATAACATTTCAGGCTCATTCCAAGACTAAATCATCGAGGGTGAACCTCTCCGCTCACTTGCAGTCCTTCTCTATTATACTCTGTAACTGTTCTAACGTCAAGTGAGCTTGGGTCATTGAGTGCTCCTCGAGCAGCCGACATCTCAGGTGAATGATTTCACAAGCAACAGGTCACGTAACCGCGGCTGCGAAAACAGATCTAAGCAACGGTTTGGCAATGCAGGTTTCGGAATTGGCTGTGGCCCTCCATCTCATCTGTGTCACACATACGGCATTAATCATGATGTCAGCTCTCTAGACTCCCAAAATGAAGTCTTGGAAGACCTGTATAAATGATATTTCCTTCCTAACACTCTGGGGGAATTTTCAAGGACGCCTTAAAGCCGGATTACATGTTTGAATTCTGAACAGAGGGCGTGGGAAGCTGAGATAGTGTTAATTACACTTTGATGCATGGGTTTGGTAGTATTGAATATTCATCTCGTGTGGAACGAAGCCCGAACTATCGCCGTGAGCTCCTATTCCGAGAAGATACGGGCTTCAGTTTTGGCCAATAATGTGATCCTTTGAGCCCAGCGGTAGCAGTAATTACATGCTTGATGGAGTTGCCTCTACTTCATATGACGGATTTGACAAAATAGGCATAATTTTGGTGTACAGACGCGGCGTCCACACTCTATCTGAGTAGAGTCTTGAGCCGGCACGGCTAAGCAAGATCACAACCATAGAGATACCTCGGACTACAGAAGAGGCAGCATCCCATCCTTTTGCTCCTTCTGCCACAATTTCGGTCAAGATGGCTGATAGGCCGATTTACTCAACTGTATTTGTCTTTTGATGCCATTCAGTGTCAGTGAGATAGACATGATGTGAAAACATCTCAACTGGGTTCAATCCTTCGAGTTGGATGGGGTGACACATATCTAAGATGAGAGGGGGTAGATGTCCAGCGCGCGAGCAAGTACATTTGCCTTTATGATGGCCTGAACAACAACATGGACCGTTTCAGTCGCGTGAAAAACAGCCAGGCGTGCTCCCAGCCCCTGAGAATTCTTGCCAGCATAGGGCTGCATGCGGAGACGTGTGTGGTATCTTTGATAGAAATGGCGTTTGTTCGAAACCAGCGGCCTAGATATCTAGTCCCCAGAGCTGGAGGCTAGTTGGCTTGCCGTGCATATGTGTGTAATTTTCATTCACTTAGCTGCGAGAAGCAAAAGGTTCGGCCGACTGAAGCCTACGTCCTGTTATATAGTAGTTTAGATAGTGGTAAGTAGGTTATATGCCAGATTAAGTGGTAGCAGGTCAAACGGTGCTAGGTTAGGCGGTGGCAGGTTCGATGGTGATAAGTAGGTTAGATCCCAGCTGCCCCGTGTTGAATTTTTGTCTGAAATTGAGTTGAGATTCTTGACCACTATACTATCCTCTCTTTTTCTTTCTTGGGGCAGCTGGTGCTAGAACCAGTCTCAATGACATTATGTATGCTGGTCTAGCGGCCGGTTAGTGTGGTGGCGGCTAGTTCTTCGTGCTGGCTCGATAGCTCCAGGACGGGCTGAACGAACACTTCTACTGAGACTGGTAATCATATCAGGAACCGCCCGGCCGAGGGCGAGCCTATTGAACGAGTATCCCTCTACACCAGCTAGAGCTGGTAATCGCCACCGCGGCTTTGAACAGGATCCGCCGATGCCCTTCAACACCAACGGCTGACGAAGGAGAGCATCTCTCAGAATTCACGATTACACATCGGCCGTGAGCCACGACGAGACGCCTGTGCGGTGTCCTGCGGTATAGCCGTCCACCGTTTCCTTTTTTCGACCAGGTCAAGGCAGGCCTGTCTGTGCCAAGGGCGGGCCGTCACCCGCGGACAGTTCGACCCGTCCCTAGTCTACCGTCTTCCGGTGTCTTAACTTTAGCTATGTCGCGAGAACAGGGGTATCCATTCTCGGTTACACGTCAGACCGAGATTTCCTAAATCCGAGAGAGAAACTCTCAGCGTGTGGTTTGTTTTCTTGGATCCTATGCTTCCCTCCCAGATGTGACATGTAAGCTTTTAGCTGAAATGTGTCCTCACTTTGCTCGGTGCCCTTCGGCCAGAGCTATTTATGGCATCAAGGACGATTGCTGTGACTCTTGCCGTCTCTCAGCATCACCACATGCGCCCTGATATCTGTCGAGGCTATTGAGAGAGGGATGGCTCGCATGTGGTCGAGCAGAATCTGAAGCGAGAGTTATCACCCTCTAGAGGCATTTCCAAATATTTGTGCAATGGCGTGTCCATTTTTGGGTTTGCACATGCTCCCGTCATCACCGACTAACTTTTCCACGCGGCCATTCAATGCACGCCGGACTTCCGACTCTCAACCACAATGATTGGGAGTCAATGCAGGCGAGACTGATAAGCTTTCAGATGCGAGGCCTGAATTCTTGTTTGAAGTGCTTGTCGGCGAAAGCATGGCGCTCGCTTCCGGTTCCGTTATATGACTGGCGTGCCCTCTGCTGGCCCCGAAGCAATACTTTTCTCAATCTGGAGATCTTATACCTGCAAACTCACAATGGTAGAGAAAGGAGCAGAGATTCTATTCGAGGAGAGCAGCATCAGCAATGGTGTCCTTAAAAATGCCTCCAGCAGAACCACTATTGCGGCGAGCGTTCGCGAAGTCGATGGGCTGGTGGTGCTGGGGATGAGCCAAGATGATTTGGACTTTTACGAGGCGTTCACCCCCCAAAAGAGATCGAGACTGAATCGCAAGGTATGCTATGGAGCTTTCCAAGGAATTTCAGCGCATTCGATCACTTGGCTTGGGGAGATCTAGTTCGCTGACTGACTGACTGCTCCTGACTAAAGATTGACATTCGCATGCTCCCCCTTCTGGCTCTCCTGTATCTGGTCTCAAGCCTGGATCGGGCGAACATAGGAAACGCGAAGATCGAGGGCCTGGCTACAGACCTGAATCTCTCCGGTGTTGAATATAATACCGCGCTCTCAGTGTTCTTCATCTCTTATATTCTCTTCAGTGCGTGCCTGCACCCCGATTGCACCCTTGCGCAACAGAGCGCTAACAAATTGGCCCAGACATCCCGAGCAACATCATCCTTAAACAGATCAAGCGGCCATCATGGTTCCTCGGTGCGAGCGCCATCACGTTCGGCTTCATCATGGCTATGCACGGAGTTGTCCAGAGCTTCACCGGCCTGGCCCTGTGCCGCTTCCTGCTGGGCGTCTTTGAGTGAGCAATTCCCTCCCGGACTTCTTTTTCTCCAAAAGCCTACCTCACACACCCTCATCCGCTAAGCCGGGAAACCCAGAGCGGGATTCTTCCCAGCCGCGACCTACCTCGCCTCGGCGTACTACCTCCCGCGCGAACTGTCGCTCCGCATCGGCGCCTTCTACTGCACGGGTGCCATATCCGGCGCCTTCGCGGGCCTCCTCGCCGCCGCTATCACGCAGATGGACGGGGTCGGCGGGTATGAAGGGTGTAAGCATCCATTCTTGTCCTTTCACGGTTCTCCGCCTGGCATGTTTTGGAATGCTCCAGGACGTATCACTTCAGGATCCGCAGCAGGTGATTAACTGGTGCTAGGGAGATGGATTTTTATCATCGAGGGCCTAATGACTATCGTCATCGGCATAATCACGGTCTTCTTCCTGATCGACCTGCCTTCGAGCTCGACCCGGTGGCTCAGCCCCGATGAGCTGCGGTTCCTCGAGGTCCAGCGGAAGCTCAAGCAGGGCGGCCTCAACGCCGACGGGAGTGATGTCGAAGGCGGTGAATTGGGCTTCCAGTGGTATCAGCTGAGGATGGTCTTGACGAATTGGAAGAACTGTCTCTTGGCCCTCTGTCTGGCGTGCCATGCTGTCGGTTTCTATGGTGAGCCCTGAGCCCTTTATTGTGTTGAATCATCCAGACCGTGGCTAACTATGTCTCAGGAGTCAAGTTCAACCTACCCACACTGACAAAGTCCATGGGGTTCACCAGCACGAACGCTCAGCTGTTGAGTGTCCCGCCTTATATCCTGGCCGCCATCACATGCGTGCTCATACCGCACCTCTCCGACCGTTACGGGGCCCGAGCTGCTTGTAAGTCAACCGATCGTCGGATGCAGTATGGGAGTTGCCTTCCTGAATTTCATCGCATGAAAAACATGCTAAAAGACATCTCAGTTATCATACCATGCTTCTTCGCCATGGCCCTCGGCTTCGCCGTCGTCATGTCCTTCGAGGGCGACCTCCACGGCTCTCACGTTGCTCCCGCCTACGTTATGATGTGCGTCGCCATCATGGGCCTCTTCTCGGCCTGTCCCATGCTGCTCACATGGGGCACCAACAACACCGCCCCCGCCGGCCGGCGAGCGATGATCTCGTCGATGTTGACCTCCGTCGCAAACTTTGGCGGCATAGCGGGCAGTTTCATGTTCCTCGACAGGGAGGCCCCAGTATACCGTACGTCCTGACCGCCCGCCCATCCAGATTCCCATCCGCTGCTCAACCAGCCAACCGGGTCACACGAGAATCGCTGACAAGAAGTTTGTTTTAGACACCGGGTACGGGCTGGCCGTAGCCACGGGGGCCACCGGTATGATCGGCTCGACCGTCCTGTACTTTTCCTGGCGGCGGCTGAACAGAAGACGGTCGGGCGTCCACGAGGACCAAGTGCGGGAGAAGCACACTGACATGGAGCTCCTGCGCCTCGGGGACAGGAGCCCCTTGTTCAGGTACCAACTGTGAAGCTGGTCGGACACTATGGGCAGACGTCTGGGTGCTACACTTGCTCGTGGTTTACCAGCAGAGATATTCCTACCACGATACTATAGTTTCTTACAGTGATTTACGAGGTTGTCTGGGGGCATGATTGTTATTGCGGCGTAGAATATACCTATCTTTACATGAGTAGAGCGTAACCTGTATGAGATGGCACCGTGACACCTTCAAGACACAAGCCTCAAGACGAGGACGGCGCTAACCACGGTAACAACAGATGTACTATAAACTGAAAGAAGAGAAAGAATGAGAACCTTGGAAGCAGACACGAACAAGTCAAAACCAACCGATAATGAAGAGGGCACGACGAAGTTGGGGAAGCATTATTGGAATTACTAGAATACCAGCCGCCGTCACCCAAAGAATGAGGGCGCCATTAAAAAATCTAAATCAGCATCGTGCGCGGTATTCCCAGCAAGGACCAGACCAGCGGAGTCCAAGCCCACCACCCCAGAGATCACGATAAGCCAAGTCCGTCTATCCAAATGATCAAAGTCCCCGAAGCCAGCAGAGTCCAATAAATCAAAAGAAGAAAGCGCGCAAGCCATCCTGACCCAGGTAACTTTTGTATGTTGTGTATGTTGTATGTTCATATTCTCCATTTCGTATATTCCATCATCATTATAGTCATCATCAAGTCGTAAATACAGGTTCCTCATCTCAAAAAGGGGGAGGGAGGGTTTTGTTTGACCCCATCCCTCATCGTAGAATCATCTTCCATCTCTTCCTCTTCATCACTTCGCTTAGTTAGGGCCCAGCCCCGTTCAGCAGGCGCCGCCGTAGCGGACACCCCTCTTGCCGAGCTCCTTGCGCCCGACGGCGTCCTCGGGGAAGACCCAGCCGCGGCTGCGCTTGGCCTCCCTCTTCTCTGCCAGCTGGGGCTGCGGCATCCATGTATCGCGGGGAAGAGCCTTCCTGCGAGTGCCCTCGGCGGGGGCGCCAATCTCGGCGCGCGCCGGAGCGTGGCCCTCAGGGAGGGGCTCGTCGCTGGCGAGCATGCACAGGCCCCAGAGGGCGAGGCAGGCCGTCATGGGGACACTGCTGCTGCTGTCGTCACCCTCGTCCTTGGTCAGGTCGATGGGGTCGCTGGCCGCGGTGCCGAGCTGGCAGCTCGTGACCTCGACGAAGCCGAAGTGCGGCGTGCCCTCGAGGCCGTTGCGCACGACAACGAGCTCGATCTCAGTCAGGATGAAGCCATACCGGCAACCGTGCTCGCGCATAACGTGGTGCAGGTGCGCCAGGCCCTTGAGGTACTCGACCTTCTTGACGTTGCCCTCAACGCGCATTCCCGTGTTGAACCGGTCGAATGACTTGACCAGCCCGACGACGCGCGCCGACGGCTTGCCGCCGAAGATGGCAGCCGCAGAGCTGGCGTCACCGGCCATGGTCGCGACGAACATCTGCTCCGTGTCCTTGGTAGCGTGGGGTCCAGACTTGGACGGCACGCTGAGCTGGACCGGGCGGTGGGAGGACAGGGCAAGCGCAGCGTTGAGCTTGGGCAGGTACCAGTTGGCGTAGATCGAGTGCAGCGCCGTCTCCGTCTCAGGGTGGCGCTGCGAGCTCATTGGGCTGGGCAGGAAGCTCTCCGGCACCGGGCAGGTGAGGAGGCTGCTTGCCGCGCCGCCGGCGAGTGACATGATGGTGGAGGTGTTGAAGGAGGTCCATTGGCGGATCTGCCTGACGTCCCACCAGAAGTGCTTGATATGGGGATCCCTCAAGGGGAAGGCGATGGAGTGGACCAGGCTGGGCGTAGGGTTGGACGTGGTCAGGTAGTTGAGGAGGCTTGTGGTGGGGCCGGCTGTCATGGCTGACGGCTGCAGGACCTGGACGGGCTCAATGGGCTGAGGCTCAGGTGTGAGACTGGCAGCCGGGGCCATGGGAGAAGAGCCGCGCGATGAGTAGGGCTGCTGGTAAGGCTGGAAGTATGAGGATGGGGCCGGGAGGTTTGTCAGGTCCGCAGGCGTTGAAACGGGCAGCATGGCCGGGGTGGCCTGAGGTGTTGGCGTGGGGCTGCCCGAGTGAGTGGTGGCCTGTCCGGCGGCCGCGACGTAGGCGGGCATCTGGCGGTACGTCGGGAACCCATACTTCTCTATCGTGACCTCGTCAAGGTTGCATGACGATGCGCGCTGGGCGCGGTTGTCCAGTGTTGTCACTGTTGTCGCTGAGGTGAACTCAGCATCTGTGAACATGACCGGGGAGCACAGCAGGCTTGAGGAGCTGTACTCCTCTGGGAGGGTCGAAGGGAACGAGGCGGCAGATACGACCGGGGTAGGGTTGTAGCTGATGGTCTCTGGGTTTGTGTAGCTGCGCTGGTGTGTTGGGCGGTAGGCGCTCCTGTTGGCCACTGGAGCTGGTGCCGGCGACGTCCTTGCGCGCTTGGAAGGCCTTGCCTGAGGCTGGGGGGCCGCGTTCGGCACAATGTTCTGATCCTGGGAGCGGATCTTGGGCAGCAGCATGGGGCCATGTGTGCGGATGGGAGACCGCGACGGAGTGGTCCTGCGTGTGCTGGTGCTCACAATCGAGTCGGAGGGCGACGACTCGAAGGAGTAGACAGAAGACCCATTGGAGACGTTCGAGACTGATCGAGAGTGGCCGGAGTGGCCATGGTTGTGGGTGAAAGGGATCTCCAACAGTGAAGGTTCGAAGGTGAAGCTGGGAGGTGTAGCTGGGTTACACGGAAACGTGAAGTCGAATTGAACATCCCCTGCCAGACTGTATGAGAAGACAATGTCAGCGATGTTGACCATGTAGGTTGTTGGCTTGTAGATCATACAGCGCCCGCGGCCACCTGATCTCCAAGCCTAAGGAACAAAGCAACTTACGTGGACATGATGTCGAGCAGACAAGTGTCAGTGCGTCTGTTAGACACACGACAGCAAAGATTATAATTTTAAAATGGGAAAAATGAGTCTGCGACAAGGGAGGCCCGCTCCGTAGGTGTCGATGTAGTAGTCGCAGGAAGAGAGCAAGAGTGAAAAAGGGTGTGAAGGCGAATAAGGCACACCAGTCGCTGCGAAGCGATGCGAAGAGGCAGGTCACGTATCAAACGGCCGGCCTGGGCCTATTTCTCTAACAGATGTTGAAGGAAGGAAAGATTGGTGGAAGGGAGGATAATAGATGTGAGTGAAGTCCGAGGAAGACCTCAGTGAACACTGTTTGTAGATGCGACAGAAAGGATGGGAAGATGATGCAAAACAAGCGGCATCGTTGAGGGGGGATGTGGCAGATGTTTAAATCTTCGTTAGAGAACTGCCCAGATGAGCGGTCGACCAGAGGCGGTTCAAAACAAGCAGGTCAGGTCTCGCGGTCCATGTTGAGGGAGTCCGGAACCATGAGCCGACCTGGACAGGACATGGGCGCGGACGCGCCATCAGCCGACTCGAGGCGTGTATAAGTCGAAAGTGGAGCGGCTCGGGACTTGCCCATGGCCAAAGCACCGTAGTAGCAGGCCGGCAGAGCAGAGATCATGACCGGGGAGGGGGGGGCAGGGTTCGACAAGGGAAGTTGGGAAGTATACTGAGCAAGGGACGATGGTACGAGGCCTAGTATCTGCGGCTACCCAAGATGCCCACTCGGGCAGTGTCGAGATAGCAGCGCGGCTGCTGTGATTACTAGACCCAGAATGATCCTGAAACACGAAGACTGAGGTAGCCCGTAATCCCGGCGCATGTCACTCGACGTCGAGGTAGGGCAGATGTGGTGACCAGACTTGTCAGAGAGTCGTTGACTTTGGCGGTCCATGTGTGGTGGTCTGTCGGCCGGCGACCACGAGACCCGCCAAGCCGCGGAAGAGTACTCGGGCAGCCCATACTGGGACGGTGAGGGACGGATGTACCTCGGGGGCACAAGTAATGTCCTCTGCCCTGGGGGCCGGGGTACAGACTGCGAGGGCCTGGCTGGGCTTGAAAAATGCGATCCTGGAAGCCCATTGGAAGAGGCGGTAAACGACCAAGATGGAGCCACGGTGGAAGAACGCGGTGTGGATGGAAGAAAGCTGGCCCCCGGCTCGTCGTGGAAAAGGAAAAGGAACGAGATGAGGTCGGACAACCCTGCAGGTACTGCATAGTGCTACTGCAAGACCAGCAGCTGGTGTCCTTGCCGGCTGGTCCAAGCTCCCTTCCGCAGAGGGAATAAATCGACGTTGAGCGCGGGAAGATGGGATGGGAACTAAGTCCTGGGGTCGGCTCTGTCCAAGTGGTTTTCTGGAAGCTGAGTGGCTCGCAGGCGGTGGGACTGCATGCGGGTATCCAGCCCTGCATTGGTGCCATTGGCGTTTATGACTCACAAAATAGACACATGGCAGTCGGTCGCAGGAACAAATCTAGCTCCTCGGGCTTCTGAGTTGCTGGGAACGCCAGGGAACCTCTGCTGATCGGTAGGTCGAGGCATCGCAGGAGCAGGGTCCGGGCTGCGCGAGGGTGCCATCGGGCGTGCATGTCTACTGCATAGTCTCACTGTAGCAGTGTCTCTCCCTGGCTGGTAGCTGCCAAGGTAGCGTTGGCGTGCCGGCTCGGGTCCGTCGACAGCTCTCTCGCCTTCTGCCGTCTGGCCCCTAGATGCTGGTCATTTTGTGGCTTTTTCGGTGTTCGCCTGGTGCGGGTGCGGACGCGGGCGCGGATGCGGGATGCAGACGCACCGCAGACGGACGCAGACGCGAGTTCGTGGGGTGGCGAACATCTGGGCGACCGTGGAAGAACGCGTCCTTGGGTCCTTCGGGACAAAGAAGACGCGATGGGGGCTGGAGTTCCGGAGAACACGTCGAGAACGTGACCCTCTGCAGCTCGCAACCCGCGCTGGCAGCTAGCACGCGGACAGCTTCCGTCCAGAGTCGACCTCGGCCGGCCTTCACATCATCATCATTGCCCCTCGAGCGAACCCCTCACCAGGCCAGCTGGCACATGCTGACTGATGATGGACGCCCCCTCTCTTGGTGGCCCTGCTGGTCTGCTGGCCCTCTGTTGGGGTCGTGATCGCGAGTGGGACTGCGTGCCTTGTACTTTGTACCATGTACTGAGCGACTTCTGGTGGCCCCTCTTGCCGTGCCTTAGTTATTACAGTACACAGGCAACATGGCAACGTCACTCCAGGGTCGGGCATTGATGAGGCAATTTCGCCAACTCGTGACCCAGCGGCAGCGTATTCTCTCACGATGCGGGGAGCTGAGGTCCACAGTGCTCGAGAGGGGCTCGCGATACGGCCAAGGGTCCTGAAGCTGTTCCTAAGGTTGGCTGACCAAGCTGGCTCCGGGCCTGGCGAACACCCAGACACCCCTGGACACGCAGCCCGATGCGGTGGCCGGGCAGTTTGAGGCTCTGTCTCACAGGACTGGTCAGGCCGCAGTGCGCCAATGTGCCCACTGTTCATACTACCTAGACGGTCCTGCAATCCACTATCGAGTCCCCATATCAGGCTCAGCATTAGTAAACCTCTGCTCCTTGAGGAATTGGTTGATCTCCATGGAGATGTCCTGATGACTTGAACTGTCGCCGGACGCCGATTGCCGCAGCAAAGCGAAAGGGCGTCTCTGCGGTATGAATGGCTTGAGAGAGCAAAGCAGTACGCGCTTGCTATTTTAAGCGCGAGATTGCTTGCTTTGTGCGATGCTCTGATGTCAAAATGCAGTGTAAGGTACCTAGATAGGCACGTCTGTGCGGCAGGCTGATGAGCAAGGAAGGGGGGAAGGAACCACGGGCGGCTAGTGAGATTGCACTGCGGCAACCAACGGCAGCGACAGACGCTTAGGTAACCACCAGGCAAGCCACAGGCGGGCGGCTAGAGACAAAGATCATCTCCGTCTTACTGCGCCTCCTCGTCAAGGGCGTCTAATGAGACCCCCGTCCAGCTGAGGTTAAGCGACCTGACCGGCCCCAGGGCATATGGCATAACAATGCGAGGGAGATCAAATCTCGCGTGTATGATCGCTTGATGTAATCCGCAAGAAAAAAGAAGCGCGCGGTGGTCAGCTGGCTCGGCTGTGCCCACGGGGAGTGGAAGCTGTCGCGCCGTCTCATTGGGCTGTCTGGCGGCTCCTGAAATTGCCCTACAAAGACTGTATGCACCTGGCTTGCTCGCCTGCCCGCCAGAATGGCTCTCCCACCCCCTACCCCCTCAACAGGGCAAATCGGATCTCTGAGATGCCGTGTCTCTCAAGCCTCACTCACCCCCCCCCTCATTGTTTTCTTTGCACAGCCGCACTCGAATTACCAGCAAGCGCGTAGCGATACCGGCTCGTCCTCATGGGACGAGACAGGTGGTTTGATCTTCAACCAAGCAATCTACCTACAGCCAAAGCAAAAAGAATGATGTGCCGCACAAGCCATGGGCGTGGCCCCATGGTCTCCGCCTCCCGCCCAATCAGCCCAATAGAACCCACCAAAGCAAGATCTTCCCGGATCATCTCAGCGATCATCACCCGTGACACCGGAACGGGGCGACGGGGCGCAGCAGCACACCAGCACACCAGCACACAAACTCTCACATCTGACGGTGGCACACAGCGCGAGAATCGCTCGCTACCCCAACCATGCCCCTCTGTAATTGGCCAGCGAGCACGCGCTGACCTGGTCGTGTCTCCGGCGCGTTGCAACCTTCGATCGGCGACCCGGCGCCGTGGACTAGTCCGTGGATTTTGACGACGTGTGCCGCTCCATCATCGTTCATGCGGATGCAGTGTTACTACGAACGATGACTCTTTCGATTTTCGCCCCCCTCCCCCCCTCCTTCGTCTCCCCGGCCCAGCCTCCACATTTCCAAGTCTATACGTCCATCTCGCATTGCATCTGCCTGACCAGGGACTAATTGCCTCCCCTTCGGTCAAGCCATGGGCCGGGGCCATGAGTACTGAGCATAGTTGTACATTGAAAATGATGATGATGCTGATGATGCGGTGTGCCCGTTGTATCGGATGGTGCGCCTGTCCACTTTTCCAAGATTTTCGCATAATGTCAAATTTCCCCTTTCGGACCACCCGCGATCGACCTGGCTCGCAGGCTGGGCAGGGTGCAGATGTCAGGATGCCGGACTAGACAGGCCAGCCAACTCACCGCCGCCGTCAGCGAGGCACGCATGCACGCATCAGGCAAGCCTGCATACCCACCCCCACAACTTACGAGGTGAGTCACAGCCGCAGACACAGAGCCACCATGAAACATGCCACCACGACGGGAGAATCTGAAACATGAAACAAAAACTGGGAACACGGCCTTACGGTCATTACGTGTGGGGTGGGCGACGAAAGAGTGCGGGTGTGTCCAACTGGTCGGGCTCGCCTTGTGTTGGCTTCTCCCTCTTGCTCCCATGTCTCTTTTCTCTTTTCGGCCCCCCTGTCGTCGAATGGCCCCAGCGACAGCCACTCGGGGCGAGCACCCACGACCCACAAAATGGACCCCCTACACCGCAACCCACCAGGCTGCCCACGGTCGCAAGGTAGCAAGAGCGAAGAAAAACCTGGCCTGCCAGAATCTGCACTCCCGCTTGCCTCGCTTCCCTCGCCTCGGCCTTTCGGATCTGACAACTCGCCTATCTACGCATGGTGGAGACCGTTACCAGGTCAATTGCGTGAGGAGCAGTTCGCGTGTATCCATCACCGCTACTTCTGAAATCCCTCTCTCTCTGTCTTCTACCCCTCCCCCTCGTTCAAAAGTGGATTCAACGAACCCTGGAAAATTCTAGAATTTTCATGCCGTGCTGTCCGTAAAAGGGGACAAGAGAGGAAGCAGGCATCTTGCAAGGGAGCACTGCCTCTTTTCGGCATTCTGGAGAGGAAGAGGGGGAAAGGGATCGATTGCGACGTTACGAGAATCCACACGTCTCCCAGATCTGGATTTCCGGCCAACCTGGGAATCCGCGGAGCATCAGGGACGGCCGGGCAATGGAGACAAGGGGCCAAGAAGTGACAAGGCCATCACGGAGATCAAAGCTGGATGTGATGACAATTGAGTGACGCCTCCTGCCCACCATGGCGGCCATTGCTGCTCTGAATCCCCGGGATCACTCCCCCACGCGAAAACCCGTACCTGAACTCAACGAAAGACTCAGAGCTTCCTATCCAATGCTTCGTCGTGCCCCCGTCTCACCTGAAGCCCCCCAGGTCCCGAGCCATTGGGACTCTCTTAGTTTCGCTCCTAGTCAGGAATGGTGCCATCCCTTTCGATTCTTGTCTCTCTCTTTCTCTTGTCTCTCTCTACCTCGCGAACCCACATGCCCCAGTTGGAAGGATCTTGGAAGTCCCAAGCTTTTCGCATGAAGACTATAGTGCCATGTAGCGTCGCCACATGCTACCCACTACTAGTCCGAGGCATCAAGTAAGACAGAAGCTACCATGTAGCACAGTAGTCTAGAACAGGTAGTCAGGCTAGGTGACTAGTCAGCCGCCTGTCCGCAAAGGAGCACAGCCTCGCCGCTTGCCAGCACAGCATTGGACCACAGATCTGCACGCGACACCATTCATTCAACCTCGCTCGACAGACAAACGTCCGTCCGGCGCCCCGTCGTCGCCAGGATCGCCCGCGTCCCCGTCCACACCAATCCTCCCAACCTCGCTCGCTTTGAGTTCGGCCCAAGTTGGGCCTCGCGATCCCCCTCACCCCTCATCCACCCAAATCCACCCAGACCCAGAGAGAAGGTTCCCACCAACTCACTCCCAACCCCCAAACATGCCAAAAACTCTGAAAAGAGGGCTAGCCCATCCTGGGGGTGACGTGTTGTCCACCGGCCAACACGATCCTCCCCTCCTCATCGTGGTTAGCGAAACCCGCTGGGGGCCCAGAGATCTACGATCAACTCACACTCATGGGGCTCGTGGCGATTGGGGGACCTGGTGCGGGAAATATCGGGGTGGGGGTTGTGGGCAAGGCAGACAGGCCCAGGAGCGAGGGCCCTGAGGGCCTCGTCGTCCAATGTCCGTCCCCAGGACTATTCTAGATAGAGGCGACCAATAGCACCACACTGGACATGTGGACGGCTTGGACGGGGGCGAGATGCGGCGAACGACGAACCGCCCTGTCTGTCATGCTGAGCTGGACTGCCCCCATTCCTGATCCGTCTGTCCCATCCCATGTTGCTCGACATCGTCCCATCCCATCCCCCGTCCCCATCACGTACCATCCGGTCACACGATCATGCTTACACCAGCCAGCACTGGCAATGCCGTCCTTTCATCCCATCATGTATTATACTGTGTGTAGAGATGGATGGAGGAACCCCCGGCCGGGGTGTCTCGCCAAGACGGGACAACACACACACACACACACCCACACACACATCCAATTACGCCTCGTAGCAAAGCAAGGTCGACGAAAGGGTATCTATCTATTGTCAAAGAAAGGACCGCTCAGGGTGCTTTTCTCCAAAAGAGTATAGTCGAAAGCGTAAAATAGTAGTAGAGAAGACATGTGCCACCCTTGCGCGCTCGCTCGCTTCCTTGCCTCGACACCATATCATCCAATCCCAGTGCCTCATTACCAGCATCCCCTTCTCCGCCATCCATGTGCTCGTGTGCGCGCGAGCCCTGGCCTTGTCTCTCTTCTCGCCACTCTATGCAGAGAGGAGGAAGGCCAGGGGAGGAGGGGAGCCTGGTTCCATTTCATTCGCGCCTCATAAGTCCTGTAGATCCTTCTATTCTTTTTCGGGCAAGTATTCCGCGACACATAGTCGGCTTGCCTGCTATTATCATGTGTTCGCACCGCCGCCTTGCTCTGCTGCCCCCGCGCCAGTGCCGCTCTCTCCCCGGGTCTCCGTAGGGCTCGGTGCTTCCCCTGGCGGTAACGGTGGTAGCGGAGCATCGATCCTCGAGCCAGTAGTATCCGGCTGTGAGGCCTGGACCGTTCGGTCTGTCCCTGGCGATGTCGTCGGGGCACTCGGATCAGCGTTAGTCTTGCGGTCCGCCTGGATCTCGAGCCCGGCCAGCGCGATGGGCGCGTTGAGGCCCGCGTAGCCCCCGGCAGCATCGTTGGCGACACCACTATCAACACGGATGTCGAGCCCAGCAGGGGCCTCTAGATCATCTGATAATGTGCCGGCATCAACCCTGACCTCGTTCAGCTTCCGCAGTGCCCTGTTCATGCCCTCCAGCCTCATCTTCTCCACCACCACCATGCCCCTGGCAAGCTCCCTGATGGCCCTCCTCCCCATTCTCTCATGCATGTCCTGCCAGCCGGCAAGCTCCATCGCCACCGTCTGCTGCGTATACCTCAGCTCACGCGACAAGTTGTTGACTTCTGCCTGGCCGGCACGCATGCGCTCCTCACGCTCCTCATTAAGCCGCTGGCGTGTGTCGTCAAGGAGACCCAGTGGCCAACGCGTGGAGCGGCTGAGAGATGAGTAGTTTCGCTCGACGGTACGACGCGATACGTTGATTTGGTTGATGAGCCGCGGCGGGCGGGCGAGAGCTGAGAGGATAGCATCAATGGTAGACTGTAGCGCCAGAAGGGTTGAGTGAAGGGTGGAGTAAGGGTTGACTGTTGTCGGGGCCAGCGCGCGGACGTAGGTCTCAAATGCTGTGACGTGCGTCTTCGGGAGGAAAGGTAATGTTGCTACTGCCCGGTGGAGTAAGACTGATGAGTCGTAGAGATCTGTGATATCCCGTTAGACAACTATCACATCCAAGATATTCTACGTGTTCGCTAGACATACCGAAAGCAGAGTTGCCCACGATGTTCGTCCGCCGCGCAACACTCTTGGTCGAGTGATTGACGCCGCGGACGTTCTCGCGGGCGTGATCTACGAACTGCTCGACCTCACGAATATCTTCGAGCGGCTCGAATTCGTCGCGGACCTTTTCCGCGCGAGTCTCAGCCTTAAGTTTACTCCGCTGTTCCATCATGTCCGGTTGGAGGTCCGGCACCAGGAAGAATTCCCACAGCATCTCGTGGGTCGCGAACGTCGGGTGGGCCAGGAGGATGCGGAGGAACCAATCCATGCGGACCTGCAAGTCCTTGAGAACCGCCCGGCTGGGTTTGACCGGGATCTGAAACGGGGACCGCAGCGCGGCGAAGGACGGTATCCACGACGCCGGGTTCTCCATGGCCAAGAGCTTCGCCAGGTGTTCGAAGTCTGTGAGAGATCGTCTGCACGTGGTAACTGCGTAGCTGTGCTTGTCTACCGGTGCGCCTGACTTCAGAACAAATCGCACACTGGCATCTTCCACAAAGTATGACCTGACGACAGCAGTCGTCCGGGAGTCAGTCCCTGGAGGCGCAGCAAAGAGAACGAGGTCGTCTATCTTATTTCGGACATCGTCATCCTTGGCCAAGTCCACAGCCGTCAGGCCTCGCAGCTCCTTGGCTGTGATGTCCACTCGCGCGTCGCCGAAGAAAGCGCGCACCACATCGAAACGGCCGTACTTGCTCGCGACCATCAGTGGCGTGAATTTCCTGTCGTTGATAGCGTTGACATCTGCGTCACATTTTTGCAATATTCGCAGGCAAAGTTGGGCGTCATTAACAATGTGCAGCAGCGTGTTGCCTTTTCCATCAATGTGATCATCGAGGTGAAGAGGCTGTCCGTCACCTTGACAATCTCTTGCGATCTCCAGAGCTTGCTGCACCATGGTGTGGTATAGTGCATGGTCGTATGACCGGCAGATGGCAAATATGGGTGTCTGGCCGTTCTTGTCTTTCTGGGTCCACGGCATCATCCTCCCGTAATCGACAATAAGGTAGGGTGCATGGAACAGGTAGTGAGCCACGCTGCGGCCCCATACGTCTTGCTTTGCGAAGTACGCCCTCATGTGCTCCTCCGTGATAGTAGGCTCGTCAGCCATGAACTTCAAAAGGATGTTGGTGAGCGCTTCATGGCCCAGCTGTACGGCAGCGCTGAGAAGAGTGGTCCCCTCATTATTACTGTCTGACAGGACAATGGACGGCGTATAATAAGATTTGAGGTCCAACAAATACTTCAGTGTCTCTGGACGCTCGTTCTGGACGGCCATCATCAAGACCGATTCGCCGAAAGAATCCTGTGTTTGGGACAGGCGCTCGATGGATGTATCGCCTTCGATCCCGCTGCCGATGGTGCCAATGCTCGCGGTTCGAGAGTGGAAAGAAATCTCAGAAGAGCTCGATAGGCTTCGCATGTCCATAGTTACCCTCTTGATCTTCCTGACAGGGAAGATGTCATCTGTAGCGCTGTCAACCTCTTCTTGTTTATTGAATGGGAAGACGTGGCTGAGGTCAGATCCCAGAGAGAAGCGCTCAGAAGTACTGAGCGCGGCCGAGGAAGGTCTGGAGGAGCCATTCGCAAAACTCCAGTTGCTGCTTGTAGAAGTTCGCCGGCTTGAACGCCTCGAGGATGCTGCAGCGGCCTCTTCCTCATCGAGAGCATCTGCGACGGCGTCCCCGCTCGGTTCCATGATCTTTTGCAAGGTTTCCAAGTCTCCTTGAGCGGTAGCGTCCCACAACGACTTGTTGCGCCGACTTGCTCTTCGGAGTCCGGCCGAGTCGCGGTCAAGATACAGCAACACGGCCTCAAATGTACTGAGAGCGTACCCCATCTCACCACTATCCACATCATCGACAAAGATGAAGTGGCGCATGTACAAGAAACGTGCCTGCAGATGCTTGACTTGTGCTCTGATCAAAATGAAGAGTAGCAGTGATACAAGAGTGTCGGCGTTCATGTTGAGGATTCCTTTCTCCGAGGTGGAGCTTATCGATCGGTTGCCAGGCATCGGAGGTATGTCGCCCAGCTGCGTTATTGATTTCATTGTGGACAACAAGATATCCATCATCTCCGGCGGGCTGCCGGCATTTGTGATCTTTTTGAACTCATCGATGGCTCGCGCGAGCCTGGAGATGAGTGCCTGCTTGCCCCGGTGACCACCTTCGATCACGATGCCCAGTTGCGAAACGTCAACGAAATCCATCTGGCGGATCTTGGCCTCGAGCTCCAGGTCTTCCGGTCTCTTCAACGTCGCTAACCTGGGGAACAGCATGTTATGCACATTCTCCGTGACGTAGCGCTCTATCAAGCGCTCTACCACCGGCCCTGTGAGCTCAGTCGTCGCTCCCAGCAGCGATAGTTGTTGCTTGTCGACGTTTTGAAACAAGTCGATCGCATTGGTGACGGCCGTCTCGAGCGAGACCCTCAGGACCTCCTCGTCGTCTTCTGCATAGAATGGCTCCACGACCCTCTTGCCGCCGTTTCCATTTGGGGAGGCCTGGAGTTGTGACAGGCTGTTTGATCTGGCCTTCCTAGTTGCCGCAGCTATCGGTCCGTCTGGAAAGGGGTCCGGGATATGTGACGCAGATGGAGGTGGTGGAAGTGGTCTTTCTATGACGGCTGTGAATTCCTGGAAGAGTCGTTCAAGCCCGGACTGCATCTGCCGCGCAATCACGGGGAAATGGTTCAGCAGGTCGTGAAAGCTATTGATTTCCTTCTTTTTGGGGACCATTGCAGAGTCGCTCGATTCGGTGTCGGGTGACGCGCCACTCTGTTGTACCGCCATGGCTTTCCTTGTTCCCTCGACGAGTACAGCCGGTATAATCTTGATCTCTTCCCACGATCCCACCAAGGGTCGCGATATGTGGTATATCAGCCAGCCCCTTGGTTCCAGCGTGTCGGAGTAGAAAATTGAGTCGCCGAGGAGGTTGGCAGAAGCCAGGACCTTGAACCCTGTGGAAAGAGAGGACCTGTCAGTATACGTTGCGCTGCGCCGGGTCCCGGCGAGAAGCCCGTGGCGTGGACGCACCTTTGTTGGTGTAGATAACATTGTCCTTGATGACAACGTTCCTCCCGTTGATCGTGTTATATTGTTTCGCCTTCCCCCTCATCTCGCGCAGGTTGGGAGTTGACTCCTTCCCGCCGGCGGCGGCAGCGCCAGTTGGCTTGGCCGGGTCGGGGATTCGCAGGACATGGCTGGCGAGGAACTCTTCGGTAGAGACGGAGTCGGCGAGGCTTGCGCCGGGGGGCGCTTCGGTCTCGCGGGAGGTGAGCAGGACATCGGTGGAGGGGACGAGGAGGATGTGGCCCTGGGCGGGAAGGCACTGGGCAGGGAGGGGGCTCTTGAAGAAGGCGGCGAGGAAAGGGTTTAGGGGTTGCATTCATTCGACTGTGCTCCCGCAACTCCCCTGCAGTCGCTCTTCCTTGGCATTGAGGTGCCTTGCAAGCTCGTGTGTGGTGCAGAGGACGGACGAGGTTGTCGTCGCTCGGGATACCAGGATATGTCGATGAGGATGAGGTGAGTTGTGGCGACGGGTCGTCGAGGTTAGAGATCGCTTCCGGATCCGGATCCGGTATGTTGGGGGCGCACTTTGATCACGGAAGCCAAATGGAGCCCTGGCTGAGGTCTTCTGTGCTGTCGACGATCTGGTAGAGGCTCTGGAACTGTGCTGGTAGGTATCCGGCCGAGGGGGCGCAAAAAGATGAGAGGTGGTCGTTGTCTTGGAGCTAGAGGGTTGGGCTCAGGGGAGAGCACTTTTGGCCTATGGAGCTTGGAATGATGCCAGAGACATGGACACCTGCAGTTTTGGGGAGTGACTTCAGCGGCCCACAATCTTGGCTCAGCCGCTGCCACTAGCTGCTGCTAGGTACAACAAAGTGGACACGGGCATAGGCGCTGCAGATCGCGGGGCCCACTCTGGAATGCTTCCCCCGGACCGCGGGACAGACAGTCATGTCCCCCTGTCACATGTTATCAAGTTCATCTATTGTAGAGTATCATCTGCTCAGCGCTTCAGCGCAAGGGATCACTTCGAGACCAAACTCAATCTCGACAAGACACTTTGGTGGTTATTAGCCCGCTGTCGTATCTGGCTAGGTACCGTCACGTCGCTCTGTTGAATCTCAGCTCGAAGACCTCCATCTGGACTACGTCGTCCAAGGGTGGTCCTGGTTTGAGGCTCATCACCCCTGGGTCTGGGTGCTCTGAGCAGCTTTGGCGAGAAGAGTGAGCTGCACTTTGGATCTGGGTCAGGGCTACGTTGATCCAAAGCCTGTCTGTATCACTTTGCGTAACGGCCCGGTGCGATACCATCACCCAACCAAGCTGGTCAACGGGCACAAGTGAGCACGGCGTTGAAGCAGCACGAGTTGCACGACATGATCCAGATGCCCACATAGGTTGGCACACACCATGTGATTGTCAATTCCTGCCATGTTGGTCGGCACGTACCCAACAGGTCGCAACTTGCCCTCCCGGGCTCTGGTTACGGTCTCGTTCCTCGACTGGGGTATAACATGGCTGAGGCAATATTAATGTTTCTTTGGTTGTATATGTACGGCACTCTTGATGTACAAATCAAGGCATCAAACGAAAGCCCTTGCTCGCAGCCAGATTCGACGAGATCGACCACTGTGCTTAGATCTCATTCGTTGATTAGCTGAGGCCGTTGGGAAGGCTGTGGGGATCTCCGAGGGCATGGTTGTCATTATGGGGTGGCGGTGGGGTTGAGGACCCCCAACACCAAAGTCAACAACGACATTAGGCCAGAAGCCGTAGTTGATGGAAACGACCGCATTACTATCAGACTGCACCAGGCCATGGTCACACATCCGCGTATTCGACTGCATCGCGAGCACCGCATCACACATGCACACACACAGAGAGAGAGCATGAGATCAGAATTTCGCTGAATTGGTAACGATGGCCGTTAATATGGCCCCGGGTCTCCCAAAATGAGTAAAAGCAAAGTTATGCACGAAAAGTGAGTCCTTCCCAAAATCATTGGCTCGGTCGATGTCAAGACAAATGGCCTCTGCTTTACTCCAGAACTCCGGCGAACCTCGAATGACCAGGGACCGACCCGTACCTGTAAACTCCGCTGTAATGACCATCTTCCGTTCCGTGCTGTGAATGATACAAAAGAAAGAAATCCAACGCACTGCGATCAATGTTGCCGAGCAAGCGTTTGGTGGCTGGATGCAAAGATCTCCGCCTGGACCTTGTAGACGACTACGGGCCGCCGATAACACAAAGGCTTTGGCCTGGTATCTCCTGGTGATGGGTCGTGCACGCTCAGACCTCATCCCAATAGTCCAGCATTATATAGCGGCGGGGTGCGGCCATGACGTTGAACGAGGCCGCTAACCAGTAAATATCCATCGGGGTCCATGGGTACCTAGGCAGCTTCGAAGAGGTGAGAGGTCGCTTTCCACGGGCCAATGCTGGCAGTCAAGCTTGTGGGAAGCAAGGCTGGGTCGACCTCTCCAGGAGTGCCCTCCACTGCCCAACGCCATCATAATCGCAAAAAGACAAGCCCCATAACTTACGCAGTCACCATCCTACCGCTGCTGCTGCTGCTGCTGCTGCTGATGCAACTGCTGCTGGTGCTGCTGGCGCCTCCTCCTTTCTTCCTCGCGATTCTCATCCTCAGAACTTCCTTCATCAAGATTCAAGGCTGCGGCATCGTTGTCCTTACCTCGAAGATCGACAAGCCTCGGTCGCTCGCTGGACGTCCGCAGCATCCTAGACCTCTCATCCGAATTCTCGTCAAGCAGTTCGCCGTCGGCGGTGTCGTATTCCGGAGGCTCGATCCAGTCCCTTGGTACTATGCACGGAAGTGCCACTCCGATACTCGCGGCTCTATTCAGCCATCCGGGACCGGGCCTTCCTGTTAACCTCTGGCAGAGGTGTGCCGTGAAGTGGTTACAGTTCTTGGTGAGGAGATTGTATGACGTGCCCTGGAACTCTTGTGAAACCTCATGTATGATCGCATCAATTTCGTTCTGTGGCGACAATGTGAAGCCTTGGAGGATCTCGTGCTTGAAGGTGCCGCCGGGTGGTAATGTCTTGGGCTTCGTCCAATACACACCGGTGACGCCTCTCTTATCGTGCCCGCCATATGCATATTCTCTGCCGTTGATAACGACACCGCTGTGTAGGAGTGATGTTCCGATTGCCCAGAGAAATGAGGAGAATCTGCCCGGCTGGTCGATGTTAGACTTGGGATCCAAAAAGGCGGGCGAGGGGAGGGGAGATGTGTTGAGGGACTCGTGCGCACCGGCAAGAGGTCGTAGACATGGATTACGATCTCTGTCTTTTGCAGCGACAACGTCGATCGATGCGACCTGACCGATTTCGAGGAGGACTTTCGTGGAGCCATCTTGACTTCTTTATGTATGTGGATTCTAGCGATGTCGATGGCGACGGGAAAGGCGGATGCGACGGAGGAGGTAGGTGGGGGGCCTAAGTGGTTCCTAGCAGGCAATTAAGGGCCACGATCGGCACGGTGACGGTTCCGTCAGAGTCAGGCTGCCATGCGCAGTGAGTGATAAACGAAGGTGAGTCTGTATAGGTGGGTGAGACAGTCGAGAGCTGTCTCGCGGGTGAAACAGGGGACCGGAGTAATGGTTCGTCCTTCGAAACAACGCGACCGCTCTGTGAGCCCAGTGGTGGTGGCTCTCAATTGATGGTGAAGGCTGGAGAGAAGGCGACCGAGCAAGGAGACCTAAGCTGCGAGATTTGGGTCGCTGCTGACGGTTAGATGTTGGCGTGCTTCCCGCCCCATGACATACCTTCCTGCATAGCTGGGTGGGAGTCTGGCACATTAACACCCGAGGCTGGGGGATCCTCCCCTCGCCTGGTCTAGGACGCCTGCGACGCCAAATGAGTCGGCCTGTCCGCATTTAGAAGCCCCAGGAGCGGCCCCATGTCGAATTTCAAGGTTCCCCAGAGAGAGAGAGCTCGGTTCAAGGCAAATCATTAGCGGGGCTGCAGCTGCCCTTGCCTGCCTCTGCTTTGCGTACTGGACGGCACACTGCACCGTATCAGCGTATTCGACTGCACCCGCCGTATCTACGTACCTGCACAGCACAGCTCATCCACCCAGGGGAGCCTAGCACGCCTAAGGTGGGCCGAGGCGTCGGCGCTGTGGTTTTGCCGTTCGCCGGCCGTTTTCCATTTTTTTTTTTGGAGACGGCTGAGGTCACCAAAGATCCACAGCGCTGCCCCGCCGAGGGAATTGAATAAGAACTTGGAAGCAAGGCGAGCAAGGCTCTGCAAATTTTTGAGCTGTCGAGAGCAGGAGAGCGATCTTCCACCCTCTCCCCAACCACACAATCCCTCCATTGACACGAGAAAACAAGTGAAGGACTCGGGAATTGAGGTCAATCTTCCCTTGAGTATCACACTTCCTTCTCTGAGGCTGAGTTTTGGGCGCCAAAGTCGGCGTGCTGGGGCTGGAAACAGCCCGTCCAAGTCGCGACCACGTCTCTCCTGCGACCCCCGCACCTTTTCTCTTCTATCCCTCGAAAGTTTTCCTTGCCCGCAGCTAGCTCTGCCTTTCAACCACACCCGGTGCCAAGCTGCACGTTCATCTACACTTCCACTCGTCACTACGCGAAGAAGAGGAAAATGCCTCCCAAGAAAGCTGTCGAGGAGAAGAAGATCCTTCTCGGCCGTCCTGGCAACAGCCTGAAGAGTGGAATCGTGAGCCCTCCTCCTGCCGCCCCGGCCCCCAACCCGACCATCTGCATCCTCAGGCCGCCTCTGACTTTCTATCAGGTCGGCCTTGCAAACGTCGGCAAATCCACCCTCTTCCAGGCCATCACCAAGTGCCACCTGGGCAACCCAGCCAACTTCCCCTATGCCACCATCGAGCCCGAAGAGGCCCGCGTCATCGTGCCCGATGACCGATATGACTGGCTCTGCGAGAAGTTCCAGCCCAAGTCAAGGGTCCCGGCCAACTTGACTGTCTACGATATCGCAGGCCTAACCCGTGGCGCGTCCACTGGCGCTGGTCTGGGCAACGCTTTCTTGTCTCATATTCGTGCCGTCGACGCCATCTTCCAGGTCGTCCGCTGTTTCGACGACGCCGAGATCATCCACGTTGAGGGAGATGTCAACCCCACCCGTGACCTCGACATCATTGCCGAGGAGCTCAGACTCAAGGACATTGAGTTTGTCGAGAAGGCCCTCGAGGCGCAGAAGAAGAAGACCCGCCAAGGCGGCCAGAGTCTCGAGCAGAAGAAGGCCAGGGAGGAGGAGGCCACGATAGAGAAGATCCTGGCCTGGTTGAAGGACGGCAAGGACGTGCGCAAGGGTACCTGGGGTCCCAAGGAGGTAAGAACAGTCCCCGGTTTTCTCATCCAACCCACCCTCTCCTCGATGTCGCCGGCTCCATCCAGCACATCTACATGATGACAAAGGGCCATAGCGCCTGAACTAATCCCAGCTCGTTGAATGCCTCACCAATTAACGCTAGAGCGCATACTGAGATAAAAATACGTCTGATACGCCTCATTCACATTTGTTCTTTTCTGTCTGTTGTTCATTCTTGATGACGGAAGCTGACAATGTCAATAGATTGAGGTCATCAACCCTCTCTTCCTGCTCAGCGCCAAGCCCGTCGTCTATCTGGTCAATCTTTCTGAGAAGGATTACATCCGGAAGAAGAACAAACACCTCCCCAAGGTCGCGGAGTGGTGTAAGGAGCACGCCGCAGGCGACCCTATCATCCCCGTTTCCGTGTCCTTCGAGGAGCGCCTGACTCAGTTCGAGACCGAGGCGGCGGCTCTAGAGGAGTGCAAGAATGTCGGCGCCGATTCTGCGCTGCCCAAGATCATTATTGCCATGCGGAAGGTTCTGGACCTGGGCAGCTTCTTCACAGTCGGCTCGGACGAAGTGCGGCAGTGGACCATCCGAAACGGAACCAAGGCCCCTCAGGCAGCTGGTGTGATCCACACAGACTTCGAAAAGACCTTCATCCAAGCTCTTGTCTACCCTTTCACAGCTCTGAAGGAGCTGGGATCGGAGGCAGAGTTGAAGGCGAGTGGTAAGATTGCCACAAAAGGCAAAGACTATGTTGTCCAGGATGGAGACGTGTTGCACATCAAGGCTGGCGCCGCCAAGAGCTGATGTTGTTGCATGATTCCACTATACAAGTAGGGTGTGAGATATCCTCTCCATCTGGAAGCCATTCTAGGCTGGTCTACACGCCCTCCAGCCACGCTATCTAATCGGCTGGCGGCTAGGACCCAGTCTGATGAGCTCCTATCGCCTGCAATATAGACATCAACCAGTACTTTCCAAGCAATCCGTGACCACTGTGCCCATGTATTCACTTATTTGAATCGACTTGTAAGACAAGTTGCACGGAGATACCCCCTTTTTTTTTTCATATCAAATTCCCAAGGTAGGTGTCCAGTGGGTACAGACATTACTGTTTCATCCTGCTCAAGTAGGTCACTATGCCTGAGCCTAGCCTAGGGTGGACATCACATTGCGTCTGTTGGTGTGCTACAGCCAGCAACAGTCTCGTGGAGCGTTTGGTCCAACGCCTTGTCTGTGCCTGACCATCTGTAGGAATTTCACTCGCGTCTGCTCCTGCAGGGGTTTGCACAAGGGCTGCTAGCACCCCTTCCATCTCCAGGTGTCCTGGAACGGCATGGTACGTGTCTGCATGGCTGGGCACTGCGGCTTATGCACAAAGTTAGGCAGCCATTCGCACAAGAATAATCAGACTCAGTAAACTACACATCCCCTCCTTATCCATTCCTGTCTCTGCTTTCTCGCAGCCGATTCCAACTGGACTTGTCAGCGCCAACTGTCAAGGTCAGAGCCAGCAGCAGTAACCAAAATGGTGAGCTATCCAGGTCTTGGATTGCCTATCCGGACCTGGCCTCCGCCGCCCAAATGCGGAAATGGTCTTCCCATAGATTACCCCACGACAGCACATCCGAAAGTTCATGGATCACAATCTCAGATGCTCCCCGTCCGAGAATTTGCCATGATGCGCATAATGGATACGCTCACAGACAAGGAAGACTGGCACAAGAAAGTTTTCATCGAAAGTATTACTGAGAAGTGGCGCGAAGAGGCCATGGCGATACCGGATGAAGACGTGATGGCAGCCGCTGCTGCACCATCAAGTGACTGGTACAGGGCAAGCCTGGTGGATATGGATGCTGAGGACCGTCCTAGCACGGCAGCCACGAGAGTGAAAAGCATCATGTCAAGGGTGGCTTTTGACTATGTATGAAGATGGTCTCATCGTTCTCACGATTCTCACGCGGCTAACCAGACACACAGTGCATCCAAGAGTTGCAGAGCAAGGCTCGTTACTTCGAGCAGAGCGGTCTCATACCCACTCTTGACGCATGCGCGACTGTGATCAAGTCAGACGTGTTCATTAGCGACGAGCTCCAAGAAGCTTTGAGGAAGGCCTTCCAAAAGCTCCAGAAGGACCAGGGGGATGAATCTGGTTGGCATCCCGGCAGTCGAGATGTGGTAGATCCCTCAATGTATCCTCTCATCTACGGCCAAACCAGGGCCTTCAAAGACGAAGTCGTTGGGGTGACTGGAGCAATTTCACAGTGGGCTGGGAAGGGCGATACCGTCCCAAAACAACTAGAAAGGGAGTCGGCTGCTGGCTGGGCCGAGAGGGCCGGTTGGCCCGGTTGGACCCGTCGCCTTCGCCCGCGGATCCCAAGGTCATATTGGTCTGATGTTTACCAATGGTTGCCATCCAACATCGGCTTTCGCGCGGACGGCAGTGTCAGATTCAAGAGCTACATCAACAACTTGCACCCAGAAAAGCACCCGGAAATCTACAGCACTGTAGAGAAACTGGTCGACAAGGCTCTGGTTACTTGGGACAATTGCCTGATAGAGACGAGAACTAGCTCCACATGCGGTCCTGGGCGACTTCAGTCACGGTTCTCGACTCCTAAAAATGCTCAGTGCGTCTTGTTCCCTCGTTGTCCCGCGTATGAAGCCTCAAATTATCAAAGACGATATCGAAGGTGGAACAGCACTGACCGCAAATCAGTGACGGGCATTTGCCCAATTGGGACCCATCAGATCTGCAGGAAATGGATAATGTCGAGGTTGACTTTAGTCGAGATGTGAGATTCGATTGGGTTGAGAACGAGCTGGAAAGGAAATGGAGGATCTTACGCACACCTGTGCTGAGGGACCCGGAGCCTTTTCGGGAAGCCAACTATGACCCATCTCGTGTCATCGATAGACACAACGTCTATCGCTATCAGCCGGGCAATAGAAGCCATTCGCCCATAACTTGGGGCACGATCCCCTTGCGTGGCCTGAGAGAGAGGTTCGAGGAACGGGGACTTCAGATAATCGTCAAACTGGCTTCGATCGAGCTTACTCCTGAGAACCCCGAATTTCCCGCCGGGAGCTGGCATAACGAAGGCCTACTCAACGAGCGAATTTGTGCGACTGCGCTCTACTACCTAGACAGTGACAATATTACCGAAAGCAGCCTGTCATACCGCATGCACACCTCGGCCAGCCAATATGTCTTCCAGGAGACCGGGGCCTCAAGCCAGGACGGACTCCACTGGCTCGAGTGTAATTACGGGACCAATTTCGCCGGCAGCGGCGCCTGTGTTCAAAACTACGGCAGTGTCAAGACTCCACAGGGACGGTTTCTAGCTTTCCCCAATATCTTCCAACATCGCGTATCTCCCTTCAGACTCGCTGACCCTACCAGACCTGGCCATCAGCGATACATCGCGCTCTGGCTGGTCAACCCCTACCGTCGCATCATCTCAACTGCCAACGTCCCGCCGCAGCAGCAGGACTGGTGGACCGGATCTGCCTTCGGGGAGACAAAAGACAGTCGGGCGTCAACAGCAGGCCATCTGCCCCCATATATTGTACAAGTACTCAGGGAGAAGGGGATTTCACTGCCAGACAACGGCTCCAGAGCCAAACTTCCCGCGGAGCTGCTGGCCATGGTGGACGAGGAGTTCGGTCTGTCGACTCTTAACCTCGAACAGGCGGAGGAACACCGGCTGAAGCTGATGGAAGAGAGGACCGCACTCCACGGAGAGATTCTGGAAACCTGGAACCAGACTACTTATGACCTCAGCGAGCATTAGTCGCGGACTGCATAGGTATAGCCTGATCCTGCTGTTTCTCTGCAACTATTTACTTTTGTTTCAAAGAAGATGATGGGTTTGCAGAGCCTCATGGCAGTAAATGAATAATCAATTCATCTTGAAACGTGTGTATATGTGAAATCAAGTCTTTCAACTGACAAGGAGGATGGTGTAATACCCTATAACTACAAGACCGTGGCTGCTGATTACCAAAAGACACAGGGGCTCAACTTAGGCTCAACATGTGAAGTATGCATATGTCCTTCATTTCAGCAATGAAACGCATTAATTCAAAAAAAAAAAAAAAAAAAAAAAAAAAAAAAAAAAAAAAAAAAAAAAAAAAAAAAAAAAAAAAAAAAAAAAAACCAGAACGAATGCTTACTATCCTTTAACTCACAAGACAGGTGGGAGGGGGGGGATTCAACCGGATGCAGCACTTGAGCATCAAGCCCGATCAAGAGACAAATTGCAGAAGACTTGATTAAAGCAAGACAGAATATCAAGTTACGATTGACTTGGCAGTCGGCGCTTACTGCCTATTCATCCCATAAAGTAACTACTGCTTCACCAACAGCGTCAACATGTGCGGCAAAGTCGCCGAGCAACGCGGTCTCCACATCCCTCTCGGTTATGCCCACACGGTGCGTATTCTGCAAGCTCACGGCAAGCAGATCCCCAGCCTCGTTGAGCTTGATGTGTCGAGGCCATAGGCCGCCTGCGGGGTGGTACTGCAAGACTTCCAGGGTGCCGTCCTCACGCGGGGCGAAGACGGTGAGTGAGTCCGAGGCGTCGGTGCTCGAGTTGCCCGGGCTCAGTGCCGGGATGTCGTAGTAGGAGTCGTTGCGGGTTGAGGTGTAGGTGACCCTGTTGTCAGGCTAGTGTTATGGACGTGGATTAGCGTTTCTAGTTTTCTTTGGTTCTCAATGGTCGGTATGCCTTACAGAAAGCTCAATTTCGGCGGGAACCACATTTGTGTTCGTGGGCCCGGGGTAAGAATTGATGACCTCAACTTGCTCGAAGTGAAGACCTCCTTCTTCCGGGTATGGCACCCTCCACGAAGTGATGGTGCCGTCGAGTTCCGCCAGTGCGTAGAAGTAAAGGGGAGCCGAGCGGTTCTCGAGCCAGTTTGGATCGGGCGACCAGAAGAGGCCATTGCGGGGACCAGCTCCACGAGCGGTCGGCACGGTGGAAATTTCAGTGAGGTTGTTGGTATTTGCGTCAAAGGTATAGACGCGAAGCAGGTCATGTCCCAAATCAGGCACCACCAAATAGGTGCCAGTGAAGTCCACAACCACATCGTGACAATGGGAGACGTTTTGAGCGGGATCAGGGCCGACTGGATCGGGCGGCGGGTACAAAAGTGTCTATATGAGCTCGATATCGCCACCTGGTGGTGCGTTCCAAGCAGTTACGGCGCCACCAGCGCTGCGCAATAGTATGTCCATGAAAGATAAACGGACAGTAGTAGACATGGGAGAGGGCGGATTGAGGAGTTCGATACACCACACGTACTAATGAGCAGCAGCCAGACCACGCTTGTCGCCGCTGTTAAAAAAAGCACTGCTGACCGGACCAATAGTCGTGTTGCCCGTGTCCAACGGAGCGCTGAGCTCACCACTCTCGGAAGTCCCATATGTGGTAATAGAACCCGGCCTGTTGAGACAGTACAGCACGTTGTTTGCTTTATCCAAGTCCAGCCAGACCGGCTGATCGCCGCACGAGCCGGGGACACTGGTCTTTTCGAGAATGAATCCTTCTCCGGACTTGGACAACCTGAGCGAGGTCAGATTCCCGTCATTGGCCCCAGTGTAGAGGCTGATGCCAGTTGAATTAGCAGCTGCGAAAGGGAACGCTGCTAGTAAGTACATCAATACTGAGAGAATGTGCATCGTGAAGTCTGGAATCCAGTGACTCTGCTAGAACAAGGCGTCGAGATTTCACATTTGCAGCAATGTAATGTTTACACCAAAACTCAAAACCCAAATCAGCAAGAATTCAATGACGGACTTGTACGCATATGCAAATGGGGCGGCGAGTGTGTGGATGTATGTTCAACCGAACTTCCCACTTAAGCGCTGCTTGCACCAAGGTTGCCAAGCCAGGAATCTCCAGCGTCTCCTCAAGAGCACCTGATTATAGAAGACCATGTTGTTGATCGGTGTGAACACCTCCTACAGTAAGCTCGTTGTTCGTATTCGACTACGAACTTTCGGTATCGGTTTGGTACTCTACACGGTCACGAAACACGGTCACGTACCTGTACCGAGTTTCTTCACTCGCCATGATGGGCAACAACAGGAGATGCAAAGTCCAGGACAATCGGTCCGAATAAAACATCGGATGAACGTTCCTGCAATTCAGGAATTGGAGAAGAAGTCGCAGTACTCGAGATTCTTTTGAATCTTCCCAGCTTGCTGGATGCATGGGACCATGATCGTCCCCGCGAAAATCATTGGCACCTTGGTAGTACCCCATAACATCCCCCGATAGTTCGAACCTTCAAATCAAGTCGGGAATCAATTGGTCTCTACTGCGTCATCCGTCCTTGGCGCCGTCGATTTTGTGTAAACTTCCTAGACGAGGCGACATCGTGAATGTTGGCAGTGGAACTCAACCAAGGCTACGATTCGAAGACATGAGATAGGGTCTGTCCATCTTCTGCTAAAATCCGCAGGTACATGGGTTTTTGTTCCTAAAACCGAATGTAACACCGCTGCAGGGCCATCGTGATGCAGATATCGCTCACAAAGCTCCACTGTTGCACGCCGGTGGGCGGATTACGGGCCGGACCCCTTCATATATCCTCAAGTCATCGACACATGTGCTGGGCACCAGATGAGACCTGTATGGCACCAATTTTCTCGTCACTGTGCTCTGTTTTCAGATCATTATGAGTTCCGTAAAGTCAGAGGTTGTTGTTTCGGCGGCACGTTGTCTCCAGAGTGTCCTGGCTTTAGCTCAGAACGAGCCTTCCCTTGACCAACCATCCATCACGGCCAATTGCACTACAACTGTAAGTATATAACAAGCTCGCCTAGAGATAGATGTTGGTCCAGAAGCAACTTCGAGTACTGATATGCCCCACACCCAGTGCGAGCAGTTGGGCATTGGGCTTCCAACCGCCTTTCACCCGGGAACCAATGACCCAGACTTTGCCGTATGGGACGCCAAGGCACAGGAAGTCCAGCCCGCCTGTCGCGTGGAGCCAAGTGACGCGGCCGAGGTAGCAAGAGTTCTCGAGATCGCAGTTGAAAACCAGTGCCAGGTTGCCATCAAAAGCGGTGGTCACTCCACCAACCGCGATGCGCCCAATTCGGTTGGTGGAGTCACCATCGACCTCGTGAGGATAAATCACGTCAGGTTGTTAGACGACCACATTCAGGCCGACTTTGGCCCAGGACTGATCCTCAGAGATGCGTACGCTGCCCTGGAGCCATTCAACTTGACCAACTTCGGCGGCAGGACGGCTGACGTCGGACTGGCCGGCTACACAATCGGGGGTGGACTGACGGCTCTTGGTCCCAAATTCGGATTGGCTCTGGACAATGTGTTCGAGTACGAGGTGAGATTTGGTACACGGTCACTGGACTCCACATGGAGATGAGGCTGACCACAGTTGCGTCAAGCTCGTGCTGCCCAACTCGACTATCGTCAACGTATGAGGATACCAACTCAGACTTGTATTTTGCGCTTCGCGGTGGCGGGAACAACTTTGGTACAATCACCAATTTCAGAGCTCGCGTTGTCCCCCAAGGGCCGAGACTCGGTGGTACGAAAACACATTCTGCGAACTACACCGACCAACTCATTGAACAGGAATATCGGCTCACGACGGCGCTGTCCGATGATTTGGATACGGCTTTCCACAACCGCTACTTCTATACTCAATCACAAGACTCTTTTAGCTGGAATTTCTTTCAGGAATACAACCAGCCGGTCCTCAATCCAACCGTTTTTGACAGTCTCAATCGGATGCCTCCCCTCTCGGACCAGGTTCGAGTTGACTACGCAAGTGTTCTGTCACTCGACGAGGTGTCACCACATGGACTGCGGTAAGATTGGAGTTGATCGTCACAGCATGTAAAGGCAGCATGTGCTAACGCGAAGCAGACGTTTCTATGCCACGGTGACGTTTCACCCATCTCGGGAGCTTCACAGAAAGATCATCGATCTTTTCACCGAGGAAGTACAGGGCATCAAGTCGACGGCGAATCTCACAGCATCCGTTGTCGTGCAACCCCTTCACGTCAACTCAATCAAAACCATGAAGGAACGCGGGGGAAACGCTTTGGGTATCGAGTCTGACGGGCCGTTGCTAAGTGAGTCCTTGATGTCCACAATCCGCGACGATTATGGTTCACACGCTAATCAGCCTACACACCAACTGTTGGTAGGTCTCTTGTACGTATGATAATCGTATAAGAAGCAATCATGTATTAATGTTATTTTATTTAAGTTTTAAGAGGCTACATGCCTTGAAGGGGATAACTAAAGTAGCTTTTTAAGTAATAAGGGTTATACTTATCAATACTTATAGTTTTTCTCTTCTTTTAATAAGTATATATAATCCTTATTATAGTTAATAATTCTTATTATAGTTAGCCTTAAAATTATAATTTATTATATATTAAGTATATATAATCTTTATTATAAGAAAGTATTGCTAAAAAGGCTTAAAATTATAACTTATAAGTTTTAAAGTAAGTTTTAACAACTTTTATTATTATATTACTTTTTAAATTTATAATTATTATTATTATATTATTCCTTAAATATTATACTTATTATTTTTAATATTTAGCTTTTAGGGTTGCTTGTAATGGGCTTGGGCTATTGCCCAAGCCTTATATAGTATGGCTAAATAATCCAAGGGAGCTTGGATTATTACGTACCTTTTAACTTAATGGTTAAAAGGTTGCTGCTTTGCAGCTTATAAAAGAAGGCGCTAGCTAACCTAAAGCCCCTTTAGGGCCAGCCTATAATAAATAATTTAAGCTTTAGGGTTAAGGGTTTAAGTTATGTTTGCCGCAACTATGCAGGCACCCCTTTTATAAAGAAGATCCCTAGCTTAAAAAGGCAATATTGCAAGTAAGCCTTAAGGATAATTATACCACTATATTAAGGGGGTTTTAAGGAAAGGAGCTATATAATGGGCTTGGGTTATTGCTTAAGCCTTATATAGTATAGCTAGATAATCCAAGGGAGCTTGAATTATTATATACCTTTTAGCTTAATGGTTAAAAGGTTGCTGCTTTACAGCTTATGAAAAAAGGCGCTAGCCAGCCTAAAGCCCCTTTAAGGCCAGCCCATAACATTGCTTTTTTATAAAGATTATTAACTTTTATATAAAGGCCTTAGTTTTAAATTTCTTTTTTATAAGGGAAGTTAATGCTTATAAAGCTAATGCTAAACCTTTTAATTTACATTTATTTTTATTATATATCTTTATAATGTAAATATTATTATTTTTATCTTTACTTTTATTATTAAAATATATTTAATATTACTTTAAATTATTTTCCTTTAGCTACTTTTTATCCTTTTAAAACTAAGCATTATAAATAGCTTAATTATTTATTATTTCCTTTTCTTGCTTTTTATTATTTTTTTTAATTTCCTTAATAATTATTTTTTGCTTAAATTGCTTAGGCAATAATGCATATTTTTTAATAAGTTTCTTTATATATAAGCCTTATATATGCTTATTAGTAATTTAATATAAAAAGTTTTAAAGCTGGGTTAGCATGGCAATTTAATTTTTTAATAGCTAAATTTTTTTAATTTAATATATATAGAAGATATTTAAAATTAAAATTCTTATTAGGTTGTTTATTGCAAAGATTATAATAATTTAGCATTTAAAATGGTAATTATTTTAATAGTTTTCATTATTAAGGATATTATATAGTTTTATATTAAAAGTTTTAATACTCTTAATATAAATATATAGCTTTTTAACTATATTATTAAAAAATATTTATTTATCTTAATATTAAAAGTTATTAATAATTTGAATAATAATTATTATAATAGCATTATTTAAGAAAAGTATTTTAGCTTAAGTTATAGCTATAACTTTTAACTTATTAATTTTAATAATTTTATAGGAATTAACTTTAATAAGCAGCTTGCTTTTTTTAATATTTAATATAAAAATAAAGTTAAAGGCAATTTCTATAATCTTTATTAAGGTTTCGTTAGCTTAATTTTAATTATCTTTATTATTAATAATAATTAAATTGCTATTAATATTAAGTAAATAAGAATTGTTATTATTAATTTCTTTATTAATATTTATTAAATAAATAAGTGGATAAAAGTTATTATTATTAATATCCTTATTAATATTCATTAAATGAATGTTGTTGGTAATAATTTTGTTATAGGAATTAGCAAGATTAATAAGCTTGTTTTTATCTTTATTAGTTAAGGTAATTTTAGCCCTTTTTGCAGCCTTAGTAATAATTTTAATCTTTATTTTATTGCTTAATGGGAATATAATTACGATATTTATTTTATTAGTTAAGGTTATAATTATAATGTTTATTTTATTAATTAAGGTTATAATTGTAATATTTATTAGGAAATCTTAATTTTAATTAAGGGTTGCAATAAGTTTACTTTTAATATTAATTATGTTAATAGTAATTATAATAATGGTTATATTAAGTATATTTTTAACATGGAAAGTAAATATAATATTTATTATATAATTTTGCTTATTATTATTATCTTTATAAAGTATATTAATAAAAGTATTAAATGATTTTTATAAGTTATTATTAATATTTTTTATTATAATAAAAAGGAAAAAGATTTTATAAGAATTTAATAATTAAAATAAATATTTATAATGCAAAACTTTATAATTATTATATAATAATTATTAATTTATTTTTTAATTATGGGAAAAGTTAATAAGTTGTAAATAAATTTAATGAAAGTTAATTTTAATATTATTATTAATAAATAGTAATAAAAGGTAATAATTGTGATGGGCTTGGGCTATTGCCCAAGCCGTAATGCATGCCCGTGCCAGGCCCACACTGCACCCAACCCTCTCACGTAACGGGGCACACACTTAAAAGATAAATCCAAAGTTGGGCCCTTTCAGGGCCTAACTTACTTCTTAGATATTGCAATTCATAACTCCTTTTGGGTACCTTTCAGCAGACGCTCAAGGCCAACCCATAACAATAATAATAATAAGGTTAACTTTAAAATAATAATTATTAATAATATTAATAATTATAAGGTTATTTTTATATGTAATAAGGTATTAAGAAGGTTTTAATTAAAGTATAAAAGGTTAAAGTTTATATTAAGGGTTTAAGTTTGGGAGGTATAAGGTTTTGCAGTTAATGGCAGCAAGGTTAAAAGGAAAAGGTATTAGTAATAAGTTGCTCCTTTCTTAGTAGGAAAGGGCTACTTTAAGTTTCTTAATTAATCTATTTATTTATATATAAAGTTTATTATTATTAATAAGCTTTTATAATGCAATATTTAAAGTTAATTTTATTATTATATTAATAGGGTTATCTTTTTTATTTATTTACCTTACTTTAACAATCTTTTTTATTTTATATAACTTTTATAATAATATAATATTAATTATAAGGCGCTTTTTCTTTATTATTTTTAGCTTTATAAGGTATTTATATAAGCTATATAAGTTTATATAAATAATTAAAAATATATTTAATAATAAGAGTTATTTTATAGTTATTTTAATTATTATAGCTAGGGAAATTTTAATATTTACTTTATTTATTATGCTATAAATTTTATTTATTAATATGCTTTAAGTAATATATTTATACTTTATTAATAATTAATAGAAAATATTGCTTGTTATTATAAATTCCTTAGTTTCTTTATAAGTTTTATTTATAAGAATAATAATATATTTAAGTTAAGAAGTTAAGTTTTAATTATTTATAAATAATTTATTTATAAATATAAAAAGTTTTGCTATTTTAAGATTAAGGGGTATATATTTAATTCCTTATATAATGTTATTTATTTACTATAATAGTTATATATTTAGGCTTTTATAATCTCCTGCCTTTAGGTTTTGCATTTATATAGTTATTAAAAGATTATATAAAGCTTTTAATTAATAAATTAAAGCTATATATGCTCCTTAAGCTTTTTATTTAAGGTATTTTTAAGAAGCGTCTTTAATTATTACATTAATAAGGGCAAGTTTATTAACCTATTCTTTTTATTAAGTAATAATTAAGCTAATGGTATTTATAGTTATGCAAGCCTTATTGTAATTTATTAAGTTTTTAAGTATTAGCTCTTATTTTAGTTTTCTTTATAATTTTATAGCTTTTATTTTAATTTCTTCCTTATCTTAAAATTTTAGTATAAATAAAATTAATATATTATTTATATATATATTTATTATTTTAAAGAGTTATATAAGCTTTATAATTATTAAGCAAGGATTATATATAAAGCAGTTTATTTTAAGCTTTTATTAATAATATTTTTAATATATATTAAATTAATAAATATTAAATTCTGCTATGCTATATAAGAATTAAATAATATAAATAATTATGCTTAAAGAATATTTATTCTTTAATTCCTTTAATAGCTTTATAAAGATTATCTTATATAGTTTTAACTTTGCTTAAGGGTAAGCTTAAGTAATATCTTAAAGTATAAGAATTATGCCTTTTTTTTAAATTAATAAGGGGGTAAGTATAAAGATTATTTATTAGCTTATTCTTTAAATAATTAAGCTTTGCATTAAAATTAATTCCTTTTTATTATTATTATAACCTTAAATAATAAATTAAGATTTTTTATAAGGTTTTATAATTTTACCTTTTACTTTTTATATTATATAAAACTTAAAGAAATAATATTTATTATATTACTTTATTAACCATTTTTTAATTTAAAAGATATCTTTAATAATAAGGTTATTAATTTTTATTTTATTAAACTCTTTAAATAATAAGCTTAATATTATAATAATTTTATTTTATCTTAATTTAATTATTAAGTTATAGTTTTTATTTTCTTTCTTTAAAATATATAATATAATAATATAGTTTTTTATTTTTAATAATAATGATTATATAATAAGTTGCATTTAAGGTTTTATAGCTAGGTTTTTTATTTATAAGGGTTGCATTTCCTTATTATTATTTTAATAATATGGTTAAATAATTATTAACTTAAACGTTGCGGCTTTATTTAATATATTTAAGGTTATATTATGGTTATTTATAATAATAACCTTATATAAACCCTTTTATCTCTTTCTTTCTCTTTATATATAAACTTTATATTATAGTGAATATTTTATATTAAAGATAAGTTTAATCTTAGTATTTAATGCATTTTATACTTATTATTTAATTATGGTTTTTTATAGTATTTTTATAGCCTTTAAAATAGCTTTTATTTACTTTTACGTTAATAATAATAATAATAACTTATATAATATTTATAGGTAAACATTAAAAATTAAAAGCATAAGAACTAATTTATTTAATTTAATAATATTATTAATAGCTTTTATAATTATTTATAAGATAGCATCGTTATTTATGCTATTATATAGTTTAATATATAGGATTTTATATACTTATTTAAGGGCTTAATGGTATTTCTTAACTTTTTTAATAAATTAATATGCTTTTATAAGGACTTATTTATATTTAATTTCTATTATTTATGCCTTTAAATGGAATTTTAAGGATATAAAGTTTATTCCCATATTATATTTAATAATATTTAATAGTTTTTAATATATATTAATTTAAAGCATTTGCAATGTTTATTATGTAATTTTTATAAATATAAATTTTAAGAATTTCGCTCTTTAAAAAGCAGTAGCTTAGTTTATAACGTAAAGAATTAAATATTTGCTTAAATATATTATATTAATTAAGATTTTATAATTAAATTCATAATTATTGCATAATATAAACTTAAAACGCTTAAGCATGGGTTTATTTATTTAATAATAATAATATATCTTCTTAATCTTTACCATTACTTATTTATTAATATTTAAATTACCAGCTTTTTTAAGCATTTAGCATAATTAATTTATTAATAGGTATTTAAAGCGATAATAAAGTTTCTTTATTTCTATCTTTAAAAAGAAATACATAGCATTAATAATTTAGTTTAGGAAAAACCATAGGTAATCTTATTTTTTAAGTATTAATATAATAATTGCATTATTAAAGGAAATTATTTTATTTATAATATTATTATAATATACTTAAAGCTTATTTATATTTATTAAGTAAAGCAAAAATGGGATTTATGCTTAAATAATATAAAAGTTAATACAATTAATTAAAATAAAAACTTTTATTATGCTAAGTAAATTAATAATTATCTTATTATTAAATTTAACTTTAGCTTTTTTTATAGCAATTATATTAATTTAATACTTTAGGTTTTTTCATTATAATATAAGAAATTGCTTATATTTAGCTATAAATATTAATAATGCTTTAGTGTTTAGCAGGATTTCTTAAAAATAAGTTTAATTGTATTTATTCTTTAAGATGAATTAGCTAGCTATAATGATTATTTCTATTTAAAAGATATTATCTTTAGTAATTTAATATATAAACGCTTTATTGGCTAAGAAATTAATATTTGCATAATAAACCTTCTTATTAAGTTTTACCTTTATAATATAAGCATTATTATTATGATTGTTATCTTAATCTTATTTGTTTTTATATTTATAAAATTTATTTTTATTGTTTATTTTATATCCCTTAAACTTACTTAAAAAAGTATTAAAGTTATTATTATAACCTTTATATTCATATTATATTAAATAGCTTCTTTTTGCTAAATATTACTTATTAATTAAATATTTAATTAATTAGCATTTCTTTTTTTTATAAATATAATATCTTTTCTTTTAAGGTTATTTTCCTTCTTTTTTATAAGCATTATTACTTTAAGCTTTATAGTTAATGCTATAAGATCTTAGCTGCTTAAAGCTTAAATAGCTTAGGTTTAATTAGCTAAATCTTTAATTTCCTTAAAATGCTTAAAATTATAATTATTATCTTTTTCTTAGCTTTTAGCTATTATATTTATAATTAATATAATATTAATTTAAAACTTTATTTATAATATAAATTATAATTACATAGTTAAGCTATATTTTTATTATAAATTTTAAGTTTAAAAATAACTCTTTATATAATTAAGCTAGCTTAAAAAGAGCTATTTTTAGCTTAAGAACTTCTTTATAAGCTTTAATTATCATTATTTTTAAGTTATTCTTCTTAATATAATCTTAGCTTAATGCTTATTAATAAAGTTATAGCTTATTAAGTATTAAATATAAAACCTTATATAGGTTTTTATTTAGGTTTTATGCTTTTATCTTTATAAATATTATTATTATTTAATTTATATAATAATATTAATAATTAAGATTTATATTAAAATGCATTTTAATTTTAAGGTATGCTATTATAAATATATTAATTTAATTTATAAAATAAAAGTAATAGGCCTTAACTTAATCTTTAAGTATTTAAGGAAAAATTATATAGAATTAATTTAGCTAAATTTTAATATAATAATAAATATTAAAAAATATCTTTATCTTATTATTTAATAAATTATATAAGTCCTTAATATACTTATAAAAGTTATTAAAAGTTTTTATAAACTATATTAACTTTATTAAATTTAGGTATTTATTAAAAATATATTATAAGGAAAGAGTTTTATATAAGTTATACTTTTTATTTAGCGAAGGCATTTTTAAAGCAGCTTAAAGTTATGCTAAGTATAATATATATCTTTAATATAAGCTTTATTTTTATCTTTTTGCTAATAATAATAAGCTTTATTAATTATATTAGTTTTTAATGAATTGCATTACTAAGTTTAGGTTTTATAATTATATGCTTAAAGCTAATGATAGCGATAAATATTATTTTAGGGATTATCCTTTTAATAATTATTATTATTTAAAGCCTGCCCATAGCTCTTATAAGGGTTATGCTTATAATTATTATCTTTAAAGTTATATGCAATATTTATTTATACTTAATTTTAGGGTTAATAGGGTATTGCAAAGCTTATTATTAATTTATTTTAATCTTTCCTTAGCTTAAGTTATGGTAATTAATTATAGTATTATAAGTTAATTATTATGCCTTATATAAATGCCTTATATTTAAAGAAAAACTTTTAAGTATTATTAATAAGGATTTAGCAATATTTTAAATATTGCTTATATTTATATTATATAATTCTTATAATAAGTAATGAAAAAGTTATTATTATAAAGGTTTTATTACATATAGCTTGTTAAAATATTTATTAAATAAGTAATTAAGTATTTTATTAATGCTCCTTATATAAAGGCTATAAATTATAATTTTAGGTTAATATATTTATAATAAGCTAAGTTAATTGGAGTTTAAGTAAGCATTTTATTAATTATATATTTTTTAATAAAAGCTAATAGCTTTTTAGCATTATTAGCTATGCTTATAGGTTTTTATAATAAATATTATAAGAAATAAAATTCATGAAATAAAGAAATATTAATAAAATAAGTAATATTTAAGAGTAAGTTAATAATGATAGTTTAATGGTAAGCAAGTTATGGTTATTAAGAGGAAGAAGTTTTTAATTCCTTTAAGCTTTAAAAGCTAAAGCTTTCTTTTATTATTAAGTTCTTTTATATTAACTAAAAGTATAATGCATAACTTATATTTGCTTATAATATAGCATTATATTAGCTTTAATAATTATAATAATTATAAGTTTTATTTATTTAATAATTATAATAATTATAAGCTTTATTTATTTAGCAAAACGGAGCTTTATTAAGTTTTGCTAAGTTTTAAAAAGAATTTAAAAATAGGTTTATTTTTAATAAAGTTTTATATATAATAAATATATATCTTTTAAATAATAATAAATATATATATAAATATTATAGGAAATATTATTTAATTTATTTAATTTTTATAATATTTACTTAGGGAGTTTAATAATATAAGGAGGCCTAAAGAAGTAGTTATTATTATATAATGCTTATTAATAAGGAGGATATGATTTTTAAGTTAGGGAAATCCTTATAGGGTTGCCTTTTTTACCTTATTAATTTATAATACTTATAACTATTAATTAATATTAATAGGTTTCTTATATATATAATAATCATATGGGAAGCAATTATGTATTGGTATTGTTCTATTTAAGTTCTAAGAGGCTACGTGCCCCGGAGGGGATAACTAAAGTAGCCTTCCAAGTAATGAGGGTCGTACTTGCCAACACCAACAGTTGCACTCCTTACGCTAGGATGGGGTAAATCAGAAGATGACAACACCATTTATAACTTCGCTCAGAGATGGACTGACCGTTCCAGGTCGGAGGCTGAGGCGAGTGGTCTCTTCCATCCTTGGCAGTACATCAACTATGCTGCACCGTTCCAGGACCCGTTCTCGTCTTACGGTGAAGCTAGCGAGCTCCGCCTGCAGGAAATCCAGCGGAGCTCCGACCCAGCAAGGAGTTTTCACTTCACAGGGACTTGTAAGGGGATCCTTTATGCTCCTGTAAACTCAAAGAAGGCAGTGAAACACAACTGTAGCCAATGAATTCGACTCATTAAATTGTACCCGCCACCCGAGGTTGAGTCATTCGTGCATGCATTTTCAAGTGTCTGAATCAGATTTTAATTGAGACAAGTACTAGGAGATGAATGTGTCTTCACACCAAATCTCTGCAATTGAGATGGCTATACACGGGACAACCCTCCATGAAACATGGTATGACCTGCAGGCTGGCATTTTTGCCTTTGATGTTCCATTAACAGTCAATCGAAAGATATGAACAGAGCAAGCAAGATTGAGAAAGCATCATCTCAGGATATCGTACATTCTTCAGTCGATGATGTATACAAAGCCCCGTGAGGGTAGCTCGCCAGCGCTCCTGTCCGAGACCACCTGCCAAGGCCCCCTTCCCCGCCGTTCCCTTCAATGTTCAAAACGAGAGAGCTCCCACCTCACAACACGAGACGCCCCCTTCAGTGGCGGTGCCTCCTCCTCTCCTTCCTCTCCATGTGCTTGATGATCTCTTGTGACAGAGGGTACTTCAGCTGGTTTATGATTGCTCCGTAAAACCTGAACTCCCGGCCCCTATGCTCGGTGCTTCGGTACTTCTGGGCTGCCTCCCTCATCAGGACGTCCTCTGTGTCGCCGTACGCGGCGGCGTACCGCTTTGCCGTCTCGACGACATGGACGGCCTGCAGGGAGACATCGCCGCCGTCGATGTCGAAGTCTGTTTGGAAATGGTCTCTGTTAGCTTGTGGCCTGCGCGTTGGGGAGATGGAGGAAATGGGGATTTGCTGACCACGGACAAAGTCAAAGTAGGACCGGTAGCTCTCTTGTGCTTGGGAATGTTGGTATGAGGGCATAATGAATCAGAGTGTATTTCTCTGTGGCTGTCGTTGATTATGTAGCAGTGGTGTCGAAGTGTTTGTCTCGAAATCGACTTGTCGTTGGACTGAACTGCTCAGGTGGTAACCATGCACGAGGAGAAGCGAAGGAACAGCTGAAAGAAGTGGTTTACAATTGCTTTTTTATATCACTATGGAATTCGGTTCACTCGACTTCATGATGAGAGGGAGACTGCAGGTGAATCGACCTGAATGGGATTCTGCAGCATCTTTGCATTACATCGCTGGCCATTCACTTTAGGATAGATGACGTTGAGCAACAGAAGTCCAGCCTCTGATGGCCACAAACGGAACAGGTAGAGCCGAAGGCGGTAACGACGGCGGTAACAACGGCGGTGTGGGCTGCTTCATCGGCCGTAAGACCTTGGCTCAAAATTGTCTCGCTCCAGCCCGCTGCCGTGCACCAGACCAGAACAACATGTAACAGGTAGAAGCTTCCGGTCCACCGCATACACACATACAAGGTCAGGTTACGCAATCCCGCTGTCCTGTACGCTCGAGTGGGGGCGGGGCCGCATCGTGGAATGTGAGCTGACGACCCAAGAGCTGAAAAGTGTTTGCCCCCTAAGAGGTTGTGTATCGATGCCTCCCAAACAATCAGACCACATATCGCCGCGACCAGAATTCGACTACTCTGCACGAGAGCTCACCGCTGTCTCACAACAGCCAGGGCTGCCACTTGGCCAGCTCTAGAATGTGTTCCCTCCAAGCGGCGACAGGATCCTGAGCCATTGTCGTGGCTCCCATGTTCGAGACTTCGTTGCCCTTGACACCATACAGATACGGCTTCTCGTTCGCATAACAGGCCGTTTCTGGTTCCTCGGGGAGTGTTCCGTTCAGTATAAAAGCCTTCGCCAGAGTTTCCGTACAGTTAGACAAGTCCCGAGAAGAGTGGCCATATCCGTGATGAGCGATCAGTCTCGCATTTTTGCCCATCTCGGCTGCTAGACGTCTCCCATTCCTCAGGGGGGTTGCAGGATCGTAGGCCTCTGCGATGAGCAAAATGGGGTTCTTCAAAGTGTTGTTCAGTGGCCCCCGGTAGGCTTCAGCCACGTCTGGCCAGTACGTGGCAAAGTGACGACATGGAAAGACGGCCGAGAAGCGTGAATTGCCCGCGATGAAGCTCTGGGAAGTCATGTTCGCCCACAGAGAGGACCACCTAGGATATGTCAGTACATTTGCCAACTTCCGCCAATGGACAAGCGCAATGGATATTGTCACAAAGTATCTCGAACTCTAGTGCCTCTCAAATTTGGTTCGGAAGTACTTACCAGCCAAGTCCCTGAGCCGGGGCGTCATACGAATCACCACAAATAACCAAAAACTCGAGCTCGTCTGTCGAAGGCCTTGGGGAAGGCAGCCGAGGAAGCGTCGGATCATATTCCCAGGCCGATAGCTCGAGGAAGGCTGCAGCCAGTGTCGAGTTCCCGGCCTCGAGCTCATAGAGCATCTCAGCCAAGGCCGGCCAGCTCTTTGCATTGTACAAAGATCCGTAGATGGCGCCAATGAGAGCGGAGTACGTGACAAGAGAAGGGCCACTGTTCTCAGTGTAGCCAGGTATCGGGTCACTGATGAGACCGGAAAGCAGTGCTTTTATGCGCTTTTCCAAATCCTTCAGCACTACTGTTTTTCCGCCATGTGGTCTTGCTAATGCACAGTGCTCTGGTCCGGCATTCAGGCATTCGCCCAGGAAGCCATCATGGAATGCATCTGTCACATTGTCGAGGGCAGTCCAGCCCTGAGAGGCAGATAGTCAGTGCAACTGTGTCAAGAGTGAGGGAGAAGAAACAGCAACGGCCAAGGGGGTTCACTCACAAAACCACCAAGCAGCCGATGATCGCGGACGTACTCCGTCCCGTCCAAGATAATCCGGCCAACACTGTCAGGAAACATGTTGGCATATGTCTGCCCAATGCCTGTTCCATATGACACAAGATATCCGGTCAACTCATCCTCGCCCAGGGCCTTTCTGATCTCCTCTAGATCCCTAGCAACCAGTGTCGTCGTCATGAAGCGTCCCAAATCGCCATGTCTCTTCCAGCAAGCGTGGAGGGTGGCGTTGTTCATCGCATCCGTCAACCTCAGCTGAGTTTCAGGGTCCGAGTGCTGTTCGCGGTACTGGCCCGCCAGGGCTGACCACCTGTCTCTGTCGGCATCGTAGGGATAACAGGATATGGCCGGCTGGCTGGCGTTAACCCCCCTGGGATCCCATCCCAAGGCATCGTATTGGGAGAATGTGAAGCGCTCCGTAAGAAGCTCTCCCGAGCCCCAGACCATGCGGCCCCCGCTGCCACCCGGCCCACCGGGCTCGAGGACGAGCGTTCTCTCGCTTTTGGTACCTGCCCCTGGAGGGGAAGACCCGTCTGCACGGGCGAGTCCCGAAACCTGGAACTTGGTTACTGCCAGACGAGTGATGCGAGTGTCAGATTCGTTCTTGTAGTCCAGTGGCACGTCGATGTAACCACATAGGAAGACACCACGTCCGCCATAGGGATCCTCAGAGGTGCGAGCCGTGCTGTTCCCCCAGCTCCAATGGTCTGGATCTGGGTCAAATAACTTGGCCCAGCTAACTTCGTGGTCCTCGTCGTCCAAGGCGGGCGGGCTTGTGGTATTGGTGCATGGAATGAACCTGAACGCGTCGTCTGGCCGTGGAAAGCTACCATACGGCGATTCAAGGCTGTGGTGGTGGTGAGAGCAGTGGTGACGGAACTGCGGCCAGCCCCTCGTCGTCAGGTGGTACAAGCCCGCAAGACCGACAATGCCCAAGAGTAGCACATGAGGGGAGCTCCGCCTCGTGCGCGGCTGTTTGATTCCCCTCGGTTGCGAAACCTTCTTCTCCATTATATCCAGACTTCCCGTTCGAGCCGGGCGATTGTGTGTACATGTGTCGTTGACCGAAGAAATAGAAGGGGCTGTTGCCCTCTTGCATTCGTTGATGATTACGCTGTGCCGGTGAGACATCCCGCCAGGGCTAACCCGGTGAAGACTGTTCTAACCGGGTGTAGCCACACCTTTCCTTTTCCAGACGGGGCTAAATCCTTGAGAAGCCAACGTGTAAGTGACCCACTTATGCCCCGTGTCGCAAGCATAGTTGCAGCAAACGATACGAAAGCGGCGGCTCAGTTTCGAAGTAGTACACACACATTGAGACCGTATCTATGCGTGCCCGGGCCCAGTGTGCTCGTCTTTCTCAAAAATGAATTCTTGTGAGCACTACACTCATATGGACTAGGTGATGCGGTGCAAAAGAGGCACATGGCCAGCAGAGGACATTTCAACCACTTCGTGGCTACATAGCTCGCGGAGTAGTAAGAATCATGGCCCTTCATCTCAAGGTCGAATTCCCATTACACCATTTGGGAATGTACAGTGAAACCAACCATGTCCATGTTGGGGTAAATCTACAGCTCATACTGGTGGAATATATACAGGAATGCTGAAAAGCCCGGTCCGCCTTTAGAAAACACGCCTTTGACTCGATTACGAGATTTCGATCTCGTAAGAGGCATACATGAATGGTCCAACTCCCTTGTAGTCATCAGGAGACAGAGCAATAGACGTGTAGTACTGTATTCGTGGTTAGCAAGGTTTAGGACAGATTTCATGTTGAAATCCAACCACTTGGGTTTGGAAACTTACCTCGAAGGTAGCGTTGCTGTTGAGGGAGCCCACGAGGACGGTGCCCTCCCAGTCCAGGGTGCCGTCGGCGTTCTCAACAACGAAGTCATCCACCAGCGCCTGGTACGCCTTCTTCGCCGGCTCCAGGTAAGTCTCGGCGTCAATCAGCCCGAGCCTGACGCCCTTGAGGAGACTGAAGGTGAACATGGCGCTGGCGGACGACTCGATGTAGTTCTTCTCGCGGCCGGGGAAGTCCATGATCAGCCACCATCCGCTGGTGGCGGCGTCCTGAGCCTTGAGCACGCCCTCGGACAGGGTCTTGAAGTAGCCGGTGAGCTTCTCGCGGCCCTCGTGGGACGCGGGCAGCAGAGGGATGGTCTCGAGCAGGGAGACCATGTACCATCCGACGGCACGGCTCCACACCAGCGGGGCGGCGCCCGTCTCGGGGTCGGCCCAGATGGCCTTCTTCGACTCGTCGTACCCGTGGACGAGCAGGTTGGTCGTGTGGTTGCGGGTGTACTTCTCGATGTTGTCGTACTGCAGGACGATGTCGTCCCAGGCAGTGGTGTTGTCGTTGTCATACAGGCTTGTGTACTTCGCGTAGAAAGAATCGGCCATGAATATGCCATCCAGCCACATCTGGTTCTCATAAATAGGAGCACGGTGCCAGAACTGAGGCAGTTGTTAGCCAAAAGAAAAGAAAATGGAGGTTTGGCAGGGGGGTGAGGACACCATCTGTCCGTGGCCTGTCTGATCAAATGCAGCCCCACCAACGGCTACACAATGAACAGTAATGCAGGCTATGAATTGAGAAGGTTCGCATTCTCAGAAGCACGAAGAAAAATAAAATGGAAAATTGCTTACTCCACCTGACGGCGTGCGCGGGTGTCTATCGAGCATGCCACGGATGTCGTCGGCTGCGGTCTTGTACTTCTCCTCGCCGGTCCTGTTGTACCACCAGAGAGCATTCATGCCAAAACGGTACTCATCAAGAGAGTAGACTTGTTTGATGTTAGCAAAGCCAACGCAAACTGTTTTGGTTCAAGGCAGAGTCGGAGCAAACGCACAGTCGTACTCGTACTCCTTGATCGAGCCGTCCTCATTAATGATGGACATCTGCTTTTCGTATGCATCGGCAATAGACTCATTCTTGGTCACTTCGTAGGCGAGCTCGAGTCCTTGGTAGATGACCGCGTCTGATTCGTGGTCAGTATATTAATTAATTCCACCCATGTAGAGACACTATCTGCAGCCGCAGAAAGTCTTGGTCTTAGTACTGACTTGTGTAACCAAAGTCCAACTCAATACCCTTGCGGATATGGGTATCCGCCATACGGGCGAGATAGGACGTGGACGCATTCGCCGCACGGCCACCGAGCTTCAGATCGACGGCTACGGCAGCAGCGCCGGACGCCAACAACAGGGAAGACCTCATGATGGGCTATGGAGAACGTGAGGTTGTTTGGTAGCGAATGAGAAGATCGGATGGGCTCCTCGTCGACAGCCTCTCATAAATGCCAGTGGTCGTGCAGCCGGGCCCCGTCTCTTATACCGTTCGCCGGCGGAAGGATCCAGGTACCCGATGCATGCCTCATCCAACGTTGTGGAATCACTGTCCTTGGCGACACCTGAAGGTGGACTTGTTCGATATAGGGGTACCAGGCCGCTCGGGTGTGTGTTCTGCCACATGATTCGCCTCCCCGGACGAATCCTCCCCACTGGGGACCGGCAGGTGCAGATCGTTTCGTTTCCATCAATGGAAGGCCCTTGTGGGAATTCTTCCAGCGGTGCAATGCAGAGCTTGGCTCTCCACCATCTTGCTTGGCGACGGACAAACATGCAACTCCTGCGGGGGTCCCACGGCCCTAAACGTGCCCTTCTCATTAAAACAGAGGGTCCAGGGGCATGCTAGTGCGTGTGCCCACGAAACAAAGCGACTCAACATGATGGCCCTTTTTCGGCCCCGGCGGTGATCACTCATGGAGCATGAGAAGCGTGCTTGTGGTTGCATCGAAGGCGTCGTCGGTTCGGTTGTCCCGGCGAGCCTCATCTGAACGAAGCATATGTCGAATTGGCTCAGGCTACCCACACTAACAAGGCTCTCGGGTGCTGCATAGCGTGGTCGGTTCTGCTTTCGAGTCTGGAAGTTCATCGCCACCGCAAAAAAGGCTTGGCCCGGCCCGGAAATTACTTTCTGACGATGCCTCCCATTGGACCCCTACTCCATGATCATGCTCTGCCATTTCCCTCACCTCCTCTCTGAAGCCTTGGCTTTCCCCCTCTGACGTTGAGCTTGACAAAGTCCCAAGACCGGATCAATGCTTAGAGGCGGCATGCTGCAGTCCGTTAGGGCTAGATTCGGTGGATGTCAGACCGTGGCGGCGAGCAGGGGTCTTGGCCGGAATATGTCCAAGCGGACGCCTGTCTTACCACAGTACGCGGCTGGAAATAGAGCAAGAATTCGAAATGGACGAGACACGAGAGAGCCGGAAGGGCAACGAATTCCAATGCCACGGTAGACCTGACCTCGTGGGATTCTGCTCAGCGGTGCTCTCGGCACCATGTGGGCAAGCGAGCGGCCGAACACTGGAGCGGCAGAGGGAGTCAAGAGGGTCATGTGAGAGTGCATCGCCTTGTAGTGCAGACGCTATGAGTAAGAATATCCTCACCGAGTGTGAGAAGGCTGAAGCCGTCGAGTTGTGCGTGCCTGTCGCGGGGGCGGTACTACTGAAGCTGCCATATGAAGACATGCGCAGTGTCGCGTACCCAACATCTGAAGGATCGTCACCTGCCGGCGCGGCCGACAACATAGCTGACAAGTGTCCGTTCTGATCATCTCAGCCCTATCGCGATCCAGGAGAAGGATGGGGCTTGATGTCTTTCCAGAAGTCATTCTATGTCTGCCTGGAAGGGACTGTGGCGTGGGGGCAGGCCAAGCAACCTGGAGCCTCACCACTCGGCCTCGGGCGACTGTTGTACTTGGGGGCTGTGGGACGCACAAGTACGTTGAATGGCCTATGAGAGGGCCTGAAGTTGTCGCCAGCAGTATTTTGTCATCGAAATTCCAAGAGAGAGGCACAGGGACCATGAAGGATCGTCCCTGCAGTAAGACGAACGACAAGGCGAAGTCGATCATCTGTCACACAACAGCCAAATGACTGTTCCTTCCACCCACTATCTCTGACCACCTGAACTATTCGTCCAGCATTGTACAATTCGGTCAAGGTGCGATTTCACGATGCCTAGTCATCCAGCAAAATTGGTGAAGGATAAAAAGGCCAGTCTGATCCCCAGCGATTCGATTCTTGGAGATGGCATCACCAGAGCGCAACAGATCTACCACGGCCTGTCAAGCTACAGTTTAATCAAAACTCTATCTGATTTTCCTCTCTGAATTATCACAATGTCCTCACAAACCTCAGAAACACAAGAAGCGCCGAAGCCGGTCGAGACATCCCCCTTGCTCTCTTCCGCCGGCCAGCCAGGAAGCACAGAGACACGCGACCAACAGCCACCACAGCAGCCACCACCCGTCAACACTGACGTGCAACCCGCCAAGAACGGCAACAACAGCAACAGCAAAACGCCCATCCAGCAACTGCCAAAGGTCGACACGGACCTGTCGTGGGCGACGCCCGCCGGGCTGCGGATGAGGGACAACAACGACGACAGCCAGGTTCTACTCATCTTCCGGCGGGCGGTCGGCATCAACAGCGACCGCGCGAGCACCTTCACGGACGCCGAGACGCTCGAGAAGGGGCGGCGGCACGCGGTCGGCGTCTACAGGCACGTCATCGAGCAGAGGCGGCGCAAGAAGCTGCTGCACCACACGCTGGGGATCATCCTGTACATCTCGCACTTCATCCAGATCATCGTCGCGGCGGTGCTGACGGCGCTGGGCCCCAACGCCAAGAACTACGAGGTGCCCATCACCGTGCTGGGCGGCGTCAACACCGTCGTCGCCGGCGTGCTGGCTATCCTCAAGGGGTCCGGGGTTATCGAGCGTCTGTCAAAGGACGAGGTCGAGTTCGCCAAGCTGAAGGACTGGATAGAGGAAACGGAGGCTATGATCTCGGTCGGGATCCTGGGCAGGAGCCGCAAGGACGTGGGCGTACTGGTCGAGCAGGCGTTCCGCAAGTACAACGCGTGCTTCGGACAGGCTTACGAGGTCATGTCGTCCTCCAACATCCAGGGGCTGAGCGACCCCAGGGAAGGCGAGAGGTGAAAAAGTCCGAGGGAGGAGAAATGCGAGCTTACCACGTAGGGCTGATCCTTTCCCCATTTCCCACGCTCACGGCCCGGCTTACTAGCCTTGGCCAGGCAGTGTCGTTGGATTCAGCCTCACAGGCACTCACCGGCATTTGCCCCTTTCGGAATAGTCTGACGGGAAGTAATGTGGTATAGAATGTTTTATTTATTTATATAGATCTAGATCTCACATAATATGACGAGCGAATAATGGGGAAGGTGGCGTTTACGGGTCGATGCGAACATAAGACGAACATGGTCTAAGCGGCGCTGTGCCTTGCATGAGATTTCAATTTAGACTACGACCCCCAATAGCTAGCGAATTGAAAGAGTGATGCCTAATGCTGCACGTGGCTATCCGTTCCCATGTCTGACAGTGAAAGACCCGATCACTTTAGACCACGCACATTTATTCCTTTTAAGTGAGAGACGAATAGCAAGTCATCCTTCCTTTTGCCGTCAATAGCCCAATCATTGCAGTCTCACTCTATGTCCCATGCGCTCAGACCACGGCGTCATTCATACACAACATCGTTGCAATCGAAATTCATTTCTCCGGTACAGATTGGTCTTGCTGTCCTCTGACGTGAGAGAAGAGGAAGTCCTCCACGTCTGGTGACAAAGTGTCGGGCGAGGACTCGGTCGAGCTGCTGGTCTGGCTGTCGGAGCGCGGACGGAGCGAGGACGTGACCTTGGACACGCATCGCAAAATGACTCTGGATGCTGATCTCCGTCTGCCGGTTGGGGTTCCCTCCACATTTGGAGCTGCAGAGGCTTGCTCGGGGTCACCTTTTTGAGTTGAGGATGAGAGTGTGAGGCCTTCTGTTGTCACCCGCTGAGCGTCTGAGGGCTGCCGGGCCGGTAGGCCGACCCTCGTAAGGTTGCCATATCGGCTTCCAGGGGATCCTTCCCAGATGCTGCCGTCCGCGCTTCTATATGTGTATGTTTCGGTATCAGCGTCATACCCAATGCGGGTCATCCCCTGTGGGAGGCTGTCTTCGTCGGTGTCATATTCTGCGAATCGGGAGCGCATCATGGACGATCAGGAGCTGGCCACACTTGAGTCTGTGACGATGAATGGATCCTGAAGTCTATTGTGTCTTGGTACGAGTGAGTGAGGTCGTGTCGTGACATTTGATGCTGCAATGAGAGGGACTTACATGAGTTTAAAGACACTCCAAAGCCCCCAAACCGTGCCCAACCGTTCGTCATACAAAGAGCCTTGGTGGCGCATTCCAGCATCGTACCGCATCGTCGGTGCAACAGCCCCCAAGACTCGGCCTCCGTCACAGCCTGGCAGGCATGCAAGAACGCCGATCCCAGGCTCAAATGTTACTGATGATGCTGGGTCATGTTCCTCCCTTGCTGCTATCATGAGACCTCCCGCAGCCTCTCCACTATTTTCGACTGATGCCACATTCCGTGCCGTCGGCGACGTTCTGGATGAATTGGCCGCCCCTTCCTCCGCTTAAGCCTGGCCCCCGAAATGTTGGAGTCCAGGACTTCAGGATGCCGTGAAATGAAGCGGTCCACCCAATTGTGGCCAATCTTGGAGGGAATGCCGGACACGTCACATATGTGCTGTGCATATTGCCGCACCAAGTCCTTTGTTGGGGGACGGCTGTTCCGCTTTTCGAACAGTATCCAGTGGACAATCGAATCCTCCAAGGCTGGTGACAGCTTCTGTTCAGTCCTGTGGGCCTCACGCCGAGATTTGGCGCCCTTCTTGCGTCCATTTAGGGTGCCCACTCCGATTCCGTACGTCTCGTGTGCTTGACGGTAGGTCATTCTCCCTTCTTCTATTGCTTTCAGGGCGGCCTTCATGTTAGACTCTCGAGTGTCTGAGTCCGCCATTGTGATGGTCTTTGCTTGGCTCTGTGCTAGACTTAGTGCTTGACTTCGTGCTACAAAAAAGTTGTGTTGAAGCTGTTGTTGTTTGTAGTTGAAAGGGGACGCGGGGGCTTGGAGCTGGAGCTGATGACGTACCCCAATTTGGGGTGCATTCCATCCCCAGGTTGGACGTGAACAGACACAGCTTTGGGAATCCTGGAGTTCTAATATCCACAAAAAAGCAGAAAATTGCATCATGAGAAGTATCATGCAACCAAAGCGTTCTAGACCATTGTACATCATTACAAGTTGTCTTCTAATGCTCTGGGCAGGTTTCCCAATACAAAACCAGCGTCGATTCGATGGTCACTGAAAACCCGAAGTCATTGGCCTCTGACCTTGCTGCTGACCTTGCTGCTCTAGCTGCCTGGGTACCCTGGAGCTAGGCGGGCGGGAGGCGGAGGTCTGTGCGCACGAACTGCCTTATTCGGATGGACTGGGGCATCTCATTGGAGGACCTCCCCCGGGACAGCACATCTGCTTCCAGTTGCCTTCCAGCTCTGCACGCCCAGGTACCCGTCGTGGCAGTGTACCAATGGAGGGCGTCTGTCTCGAGGGTTGCCGTCGAGGCTCTGGGCTCGATGGCTGTCGGTAGCACAAACTCAATGTCGCCCACCCTAAGCCTCTGGCCGCAGCAGGCCCGTCTGCCTTGCTTTGGGGGCCGCTCCCAAAACTTCCCAAGTCATTGGACGACTGGGGATTGGCCTACGCCTTGGCTGTATGCCCAGTGACTCCTTACATGCATCTAGTAGCCTGGCGCCTAGAATAAAACATAGGCTTCCGTGGGAATCACCCCATCTCCCCCAGGCTGAGCCCAGCTGTGCTAGGTCTTGTTCTGCTAGAAGCACGGGAAAGGCTATGGCATCGGACCCGAAAAGTAAAACAAACGTATTGCCTTCCACAGTGTAGCTGTCAAGATTTGGAGGGCTCTCAGGAAATCCTCTATGGTATGCTGGCCATCTGGCGGCATCACACAGTCCACCCGTACAGCCTGTTGATCGTCGCTCACGCACGCAAATATCCAACGGCCCCAGGCTCCCCTTCCCCGGAGCGGTGAGATGGAAGTAGCTCCTACTCATGTGATACTGAGGAAAAGCATGAAGTTTAGGTGCAATTGGAGACGTATGTCTCAATCCAAATATAAAACTTCCCAGTTACCACTGTCCCAAGTAGGCCTGGGGCTTATGCATGCGGTGACAACGTGGGGGCTAGTCTCCATCCCACCTCGTGCTCTGTGAGCGGCACAGCCGCGGCCAGTCGTGTAGGTGTAGGCTTTCAGTGGCCATGCAGAGCAAGTGTCTTAACACAGAACCGTTGGTTGGTTACTAGATAGGCCTGCTTTTGAGACTCCATGTGGCGTGTGGCTTCGGCACCTCGCAACTTTCGGGACGCAAGGGATCCGACCTTGCAGCCTTGTGACAGACATCCCCAGAATATCACCTCGTCATGTTCCACCTGGGGGCGAATCCTCGGGGAGTCATCGCGAATGTGACCGGTGCCGCGCCTCTGGGCCGTGAGTGACAGGAGACTATGCTCTTTGATCTGCGATGTTCAATGGCGCAAGGAAGAATCGGCCGCGGTACAAAAATGGCTCACGACCGTTGTGGCTTTATCGAGACACATAAGCCTCGTCGACCAAGCACCAAGCCTCGAGCAGCACCGTGTCCTCGAAGGTGCGCAGCTGCGAGACAGGACTACGAGCCTGTTTGATTTTGAAAGAATTTGTTCACGCCCAATCCCAAGGACGGGGGACACGCATTGAAAATCTGTGCCTATTTTACTGACCAAGTCCTAACGGTTCAATAAATTGGATGTAGCATGGCGAACAGATCGTCTACATGGTGGCTGTGGCTGGTTACGCCGTTGAGGCATCGCGGCTGTGCCGAGACCAACTTGACGCACCACAGACCATTTCCTTGGACTGAGAATGGTGCAAAACATGATCTTGAATCACCTTTCAATGTAAATAGTAATGTGCAATGATGCATCAACAGCATACTGGCCACACTGGGCGCAATAATCATCAAGGTGGACGAGCACTCAATGCGCACAACCCGAAGCCATAGCCACCGATGCCTCTGCCGCCGCCATGGGCAGTTCGATTGCGTAGGACATGCACAATTCTATTCCCCAATATAGGGAAATTGGGGGGGACTTTTATGACACGAAATCACATCTTCTGCGGCGCTCCTATCGTCCAAGATGCCTAGAATGTGTTGGCTGATAGGTACGCCATTCAGGTGTCGTTAGGTGGAGGCTCCCGGAAGTCACATTGACAGTGATTTCGCGAAGACAATGTCGAAATCTCCCAGGGCTTTCGGCTTCCATCTTGGCCTCCATGATATCTCGCCACAGGCCTGGTCCAATACCATCCAGACGCGCCGAGTGCCCAAAATAGAGATTCCTGAAGGCTGCCGAGATGACCTAGAATCAATGACAGACAAGTTCTGCTTTGACAGGGTGACGGCGGTATGTTCTGGTTGCGCACGGTAGACTGCAAGGACTGACTCTTCAACCAAGTCATGCCCTGGTCCGAGACCATTCCTACCGACTGTCCGAGATCAGAACGTACCGACTACCCGAGATGAGGACATACCGACGGCCCGAAATTAGAACTGAGACTCGGTAAGTGATTCCGGGCAGGTCGGTGCACAACAGGCTGGGAGACTCGCCAAATTGCTCAGCCAGCAACTCGCGGAGCTATTATACTGCCACAACCTCCACAGAATTGAGGAGCCTGGCAATTGGAGATTTGGGGATTACACCACACGGACCAGTCATCGTATTGACAGAGTACCACGATGTGTGCTGCGACTCATTGAACACTAGACGAATCTGCTCGGGCCTTGGCAGGGAGTCCTACCCACGAAGCGAATGCCAACTCGAGGGAAGCACATGCAGCCATGATATTTCTGCCTGTTTGTTTTCTGTCCCTCCCTGTTTGTCTCGCTTCACCCTGCACCCCTTGTTTTATTTGATTTCTTGTTTTCTTTCTTTAAAAAGCAGGGTGGTGGGGACTGGTGCGGAGGGGCGGCCACCTCTCCAGAACCTGTCTAAGTCGCTGCCCCACTTGAGGCGATCAGTGCCGTTGCGCCTGTGTTAAGCACATTGGCCATGAAATGCGAATAAATGAAGCGAAAGCGTGTTTGTGGACTATGAAATCAACAGAGGAAGAGAAGAAAGTGATGTGTAACCTCTTGAGAAAGGTAGGATGTAACGAATTGAGCGACGATATTAGCGGTGATACTGAAAATGACCAGATTGACTACGTTGCGTCGCGAGACGATCACACAGACTGATTCCTCACTGACGCTGCGGAACACTCAACATCTCGAACCACGACCATGCTGGCCGGTTGCCGGCGTTCGTAAGATCGTGGGTCCATGGGTTTGCGATGGTTAGGCGGTTCATGAGACGAGCTGTCAGCAGTTGCAATGCGACGGTTGGGCAGCCGATGATGCAAGCCGACAATAATAACAAAGACCTATTCTCCGAGCTTCGGCGGCGAATAGAGTTGGTAGACTATGTCTTATACAACGGGTCGGCGGCTGACTGTCGAAGTCTGTATGCTGACCGAAAGCATAATGTCATCACTCCTCCCCCCCCTCCTCCCCTCCGAAGTAGCAAACAGATAAGGTTAGAGGAGATCATGCGGTTGTCGATGGCTCTGGCGCTGGAATTGCGTTGATTAACTGGGACTGCGAAGATGGGCATACCGAAAGCGGGCCATTCTCATCCGACGTCGACATTTATGTTCACAAATCGGCACTGACACGTAGTCTACCGACAGGAGGTCCTCTTCAGGAAGGAGCAGGTCTCGGCTTTCAGATGCAGCGGGTCAATCAGTCATAGTCCCCGAAGTGGGTGAACTTCGGCGTGAATGGTAGCGTCGCATCGTGCTTGCGGCATGCGGTCATCAGGGTGATCCCTGCCGCTAAGATCTAAGCCAAGACCCACAAGTTCCGCCCGTCCGCTCCAATGGAATCCCGCTATTATGTTGCACACAGTGGGGTTCTCGTAGAAGGCAGGAGGTAGTCCATTTCTGGGCGTCGCTTGACTGACTGACCTCCAGGCCCGTGAGCAGAGGCAGGCAGTCTCCATCCATTTCTCCGTGTCATGTATCCTGCGCGTTCCCCGAGTTGGCTCTGGTAGTTTGCCCTCCTCTGTCGTTCACTTCTGTTGCTGACCTGGAAAGAAAGAAAACCCCCTTCCATCCCACGCCCTGACATTGTTATTGAGCACAGGTTCTGTTGTGGCTAGTCAAGTATTCGCTTTGCATGTGATCGGGGCCAACCTGTCTCACATTTTCCCTCCCTGCTGCAACACACCCTCGACACATATCTGTGTCGAGAAGGCCACGCCGACACGTACTTGACGGTGCTGCTAAACCACGGCACTCCGAAAATGACTTCTACGATCACGAACCCCGACCTCAGAGGCATCTTGACGCCGCTCCTACCTTCGTTGCCTGCCGCAGCACTCTCGACCCAGCCCGCCCCCGCAATATTACCACTACTCTCGCCGATCCTCCGACAGCGTGTCCAACTCTTGTCCTCAGCCAGCACAGACCCATGGCTGCGTTTATTATCCTACGACAAGGGCAAGGACGGGCGATTGGCAGAGGTTGCTCGGAGTGACCGACTAGAGCCACATCCCGTTTCCGGCGAGGTCGAGGTCGACTGGGACTACGATGTCCAGACACAGTACAGACGACTCGACGAGGAGACGCTGCAAGCACTTGTTGTTCTCGAGGACTTTGAACTGTTCTTCCGACTAGTATATTGTGTCAACGACGAGGCAGGAGGCGGCGACGGGTGGCGGGTCGGCGAGATCAGCGTCCCGGACAAATCGAACCCGTTCGCATCGTTCGCGGGGTACTCGAGCATTGAGGCCGCGGAGAATTCGTTCCGGCAGCAGGACGCGAACACCAACAAGTCCGTATCACAACCAGCCAGCACTGACGTGGCGTATCAGCCTGTAGACGACAAGCAAGAGGAAGAGGACGACGACGATGATTACTGGGCTCGTTATGATGCCACACCAGCGCGCACGCCACAGCCAGCCCGCTCGCCAGCACCGCAGTCAGCACCACAGCAGACATTGGCAGCTACTCACCAGGCCGTCGCCGAGGAAGACGATGCATACTTTTCCCAGTACGACAACGTGCAGCCCGCGATGGACAACCACGACCCAGACGAGGCTCAAGCGGCACAAGAAATCACGGGCTCGGCACCTCCCCTGGGCCTGCAGCACCCTGTAGGCTCGGGCACAAGAGCAGGCGAGGACGGCGAGGAAGCCAACGAGACCAACGGGGCGTGGACGCTCGCGCCGTCGCCGGGCGGCAGATCGCAGGAAGAGGAGGAGAGGACGGCATCGCTCGCACACCCCAGGCCGGAGTCCAGCGCCAGCTCGAACGGGTCGAACACGGTGCTGAAGCTGGAGGAGCAGGCGGGGCGGCAGGAGTCGAGCGAGTTCGGAATTAAGCAGCACGTGTCGAGGAGCATCAGGAGCCTGTTCTTGTTATCGCGGGCGGCGGGCATCGACCGGGACGAGTTCGAGCGGATGGTCAAGACGGAGCTGGATGTGCTGGGGATGGTCGAGGATGATATCTAGGCGGGACGCCAGGCGGCCTGGGGCATGGGGCTTGGATCCCAACAGTGCGCAACCGTTTCTGTTTTAAATGGCATTGTCATCGCGTGGGCCGTTCAGCCCGCGTCGGCGTGGGGAGATCCGTGGTGGTGTGCCCACCCGAGCGCTGCATTTCGGAGTCCGGTCGGCGCATTTGTTCATTAGTCTGTCTAACTGAAAGCGTTTCCGTGGCGTGACAACCCACATTTGATGCATTACACCATAGTCTGCGATTTAGGAAATGAAAAGTCCACAGCAGCTTTCTTCTTAATACTGTGATGAGATGCGAACGGATAGAATTATATGTACATGGGGGACGGCTTCCATTGATTGTCCTTTATACCGGACTGGAATCTGTTGGCGGCCCAACAAAACATCTACAGTGGCCGGGGTGTGCTGAACGTCCGGCATCAGCGCCCAGAGCACCCAGGTAGGCCAGGCGCCTCCCGGGCCTAAAAGGACCAGACCAGGGTCTTGTAGGTTGCCGATGTCATCACACCGCATTCACGTGCAAGTAGACACAGCCGATCCCTGTTTCCGTTTGATTGACCTGTTTACAGAGTTTCTATGTTCCATGAATCTCGTGCTTGCTTCAATTCGTGTCACAAAAGTGATCAGATCCCAATGTGGTTGTAGAATATTAACTGAACCGGGAGGAAAGACGTTCGCGGGCTGTTCGTTTGGCCTGGCATGTCGGAGCTGCTGCACTGACTGACCTCATCTGTCGAGGCCCCTCACCGTTGTGGAAAGAGCTCTGTTAGGCCATGACTTCCTGAACAGGCCGAATTCAATGCAAACCAACCTTGACTTGACCAACTTCATCTCGCCCTCCCTCGATATCTCTGAAATCAAGCTTGTCTGCCCTCTCAGGTTCGACTTGGTGTCCTGACTTCCAAGATGGCTCCAAAAGCTGTAGACATACCCACATTCGCGGGCACTCAGATAGCCCTCCTCGACGCCGAGCAGAAGTCTGAGATCGCAGAGACGAGCCACCTCATCTCGGCCCACTCGCCCTCGGCCCTGCAGCGCGCCGGCGTCGCCATCACCAACCTGACCGTGTCGTCGCAGCGCACCGGCCTCGGTGGCAAGACGGTCATCGAGTTGGCCGCGGACTCGGCCGTGTCGGCCTCGGACGGGGAGCTGCCCGAGCACGGCATCCGCACCGGCGACATCGTCCTGGTCAGCGAGCAGCCGGCCGGCAGCGCCAAGAAGCGGGAGGTCAAGGACCTCGAGCGCAAGGGCGTCAAGGGCGTGGTCACGAGGGTGAGGAGGGCGGACGTCGGCGTGGCGCTGGACGAGGACAAGGAGGATGTCGGTGCGGCACTTGGGGGTAGGGTGTGGATCGTGAAGCTGGCCGACGAGGTGACCTTCAAGAGGTACCTAGTTTCTTCGCGAGAATGTCGAATGGCACCCGTACTAATGGCGGCAGGATGAACCAAACCATGGAGAGGCTGAAGGCCATGAGCGACTCTGAGCATTCGATCTTCATGAGAGTCCTGTTTGGCCAGTCGAGTCCCACGCCAATACCCGAAAAGCTCGACTCTGACCCGGATGTTGGAAAATTGGAATGGTTCGACCCGAGTCTCAACGATTCGCAAAAAGACGCGATACGGTTTGCCCTGGCATCAAGGGAGATTGCGTTGGTTCATGGCCCGCCTGGAACCGGGAAGACGCATACGTTGATCGAGTTGATCCTACAGATGATCAAGAGAGGCTTGCGGATTTTGGTCTGCGGGCCGTCTAACATCTCAGTCGACAACATCGTCGAGAGGTTGTCGCCACACAAAATCCCAATCGTTCGCCTGGGTCATCCCGCACGCCTGCTGCCGTCTGTCTTGAATCACTCACTTGATGTTCTCACGCGGATTTCCGAAGCTGGCCAAATCGTCAAGGACGTTCGCGATGAGATGGACGCCAAACAGGCATCGATCAAGAAGACGAGAAATGGCAGGGAACGCAAGGCAATATACATGGATCTCAAGGAGTTGAGGAAGGAATACCGTGTGCGGGAAAAGGGCTGCATCAGTAACCTGGTCAAGGGAAGCAAAGTCGTCCTGGCAACTCTGCATGGCGCCGGAGGCTTTCAGCTCCGGAATGAGGAGTTCGATGTCGTAATCATCGACGAAGCATCTCAGGCTCTTGAGGCACAGTGCTGGGTACCTCTGCTCTCTGCCAAGAAGGCTGTCTGTGCTGGAGACCATCTCCAACTACCACCAACTATCAAGTCGCTGAACACCAAAACAAAGATAACTGCAAAGAGGGCGGCAAAGTGCCGAAGGGGGCAACGCTGGAGACTACACTCTTCGACCGCCTCCTGGCACTTCATGGACCATCGATCAAAAGAATGCTGACCACCCAGTATCGGATGCATGAGAAAATCATGCGCTTTCCGTCGGACCAGCTGTATGAATCCAAACTTATAGCTGCCGATGCGGTCAAGGACCGCCTCCTCAAGGACCTGCCCTACGACGTACAGGCCTGCGACGACACGACGGAGCCATTGATATTCATTGACACCCAAGGAGGAGATTACCCCGAGAAGGAGGACGAGGAGGACACTACCAAGAATGCAAAGGCATCGCTCCGAGGCGACAGCAAGAGCAACGAGATGGAGGCTCTGCTCGTCAAGCAGCATGTTCGGGCTCTCGTGGAAGCTGGCGTCAAGACTGATGACATCGCTGTTGTGACGCCTTATAATGCCCAGGTATGTATAAGTCCCACATCGGATTGTGCCATACGTTGCGGGTCCCCAGGCTTGTTGATGCCATCCATCCCATCTTGACAGTAATATCGCATTGTGTTATAGTTCATGCAGGACGATCACTAACAGGGTATGTGCCTACCAGCTTGCACAGCTTGCCCCTCTCAAAGAAGAATTCCCTGGCATCGAGCTTGGGAGTGTCGATGGCTTCCAAGGCCGTGAAAAAGAAGCAATCATTGTCAGCCTCGTCAGAAGCAACTCTGATGGTGAGGTCGGCTTCCTCGGGGAAAAGCGCCGACTGAATGGTACGTTTCACCCTCCCCGAGGGCTCGGTATCCGCTAGCGAGACCTGGACAACGGTCTAACCCACGGCAGTTGCCATGACGCGGCCCAAACGCTCACTGACTATAATTGGTGACTCGGAAACGGTGCAGAAGTAAGTCGAGACGTTCTTCAGTGACTTCCTTTGTCCGGAAGCAACTGCGATGCAGATGTCAAACAGCACTGCACGGACAAAAGGGACACATGAGACAACACCAAACCCCACAGATGATAATGAGCTGACCCTTGGCCTCTTCTCGGCAAACAGAGGCAGCAAGTTCCTGAAGGAGTGGATGGCTTTCCTCGAGGACAATGCGGACCTGCGCTATCCTGACTTCGCGTCCTTGACAACGGACGCTTGAAGCGAGCCGTTAAAAGAAGTCCTTTTGTAGCGTCATCCACTCAGTCAACCTCAATTAGAAGCCCCACCAAAAGCGGCGGGTGCTCAGACGCTCACAACATTGGACGGACCGCAGGAAAAGGCTGGTGGGCATTTTGCAACGTGCGCCAGCCGGACCGTCTTTGCGGCGAGATGAGGGACCTCGCAGATCTAGTCAGGTCCAGACGTCTGAGGCATCTCGGCTCTGCGAGAACTGCGAGATTGCGTCAACTTGCTCGGTCATTTCGTCCTTGAGGAATAAATCTGCCGGACGGTTGGCCTGGAACTGTTGTCAAACTTACAACTCGGGTTTCCTCGACAATTCTTGCTGCGAACACCTGAGCTGTTCGGGTGGCTGGGAGTCTATATTCGTCCGTCTCGGCCACATCAACAACGGGCATCTCCTCGGTTGCAGGCCACGTGCAGAACGGCGTTGTAGAAATCGGATGAGACCATCGAGCTCACCCCTGCCGTTTCAGACTCTTACCGAGGGATAGGGGTCAGAGCGCCAACAGGGATGAGCTGTCCAGCAGGGGTTGGCTAGCTGCCCGCGGGTCTGGCGTACCTTTTCCAGAATTCTGCGGATACGACCACGCTATGCGGGACATCGCTGATAGCGACATTGAATATGATCTTAGGGAAATTAACACGTCAATTAGTGTCGATGAAGCTCACTCCAATGGGCTTGCGAGGGCTCGCAACGATTTAGTTGACCGAGACTGTCTCGCTGCGTCTGCGCGGTTCCCACTCGAGGTGAGAGCTGCCGCCAGATGCCCTCATTTCGTCTTCCCCTCTGCGGGCCATGGCGCAGCTTTCTGGCAGGATGAGGGGGAGCATGCAGCCCATCTGACCGAGACGTGATAGCAAGCAAATGCAAGTGATAGATGCAGGCGATTCTGACAACAAAAAAACGGGGTTTAGCACGAACAACCTGCGCATTATCACGGACTGCTGCGTTGCTTCGTATTCCTCCTCGTCCGCACTGCAGCTGCAGTTTCATCTGATGGGAGCCTGGCATCTGGCTGGCTAGCGCGTCTGTCGTGTCCAAGATCACCCCGGGGTGCAATCGAGAGGGCCGCGATTGCGTCCTGGACCTGCAAACATGGAGACCCTGGCAACTCGCTTGATTCCACAGTCGCTTCTTATAGTGTCAATGCTCGGGACGCCAGAGTTTAAAATCTGAAGATCAGACGACAGCCGGAAGTTTTTTTCTGGCCGCGATCAGCGTGTTGTCTCGCTCAACATGACCTTCCGGTCCGGAAAGGTGTATGGAAATAGTGGATGCAGACTTGGCCCTTGTTGTCTTTTTTTCGGTTCTCTGCCTTTGCAACCGAGGTCAAGCTGAAATCTCAGATCTCTAACCTTCCAGTAGCTCCAAAGCTAAAATCCCCGCGGCATGAAGACTGATGGTGCCGCATGACGGTTCGAAGATCCTCGAATTAAAGCGGGTTGATATTGCGGATGTGCCCTTTTCTTGGGTAACATGGCTTCAGGCAAACCGCTTGTCGGACCAAATAAACGAGACAGCACGCCAACCCGGAGCACGCAATAAATGTGCGAACACAGATACATGCGCAAGCAGCGTTATCTTCGCCTGCGACGTCCAAACGGCTGATCTGATTTTAGCCATGGATATTTATCTGGCGCGCATTGCGCTTACGCATCTTCGGCGCGCGCGCCGCGCAAGCCGTAGCCTATCCTGATGGACTGTCCAAAGAATGCAGCGGCCGGGAAGGGGCTTCGAGACTGGCTTCATCCTGATTTCTGAACTTGGGCGCCGGAGCCGATTTCAGGCTATAAGATGCGTGATATTATATACTACACAGCAAGCGTGCCTCCACCCGCCGCTAGACTACCCGAAGAGACCTTCTAGATCCATGTCTGGGTCACAAGCTCTCGCTGGTCTAGACGTGTCGACAACGGAAAGCTTCTTGCTGCTGCTGCTTGTCTCGTCACCTCCCCCAAATGCTGGTGGCGCGGGCCAGAAAAAGAAAGCGAACCGGGAGTCACAGCACCACTCGCATTGTTGGATGGCCACACCATCCTGTGACTGCCACAGCTCGCCTGCAGTGCGTCTAAATATGGCCAGCTGGATGTCACGCAACGTGCGCTGGGGGCAGTCCCACGGACAGCCACACTGGATGCTCATTCGTGCTCTGCCCGCGAGAAAGCGACGTGCAGCGACGTGCCGCCCCCAGGATCTCGTCGATAGTCACAGCCAACTGACCCGAGTCGGGGGCGGGGTCCTGAATCAGCTAGCATCAGCGGCATGGGTAGCTGAATAGGCAACCGACACGACGCCATGGCTGCGCGGGGTTGGCTCGCCCACAAAGGTTGCCCCCATGCAGAAGGATGAGCACGTTTGCTTGAGCCTCACGCCACAGGTGCAACAGCAGCTGCACGTCGAAAGGGGCTCAAGCTACAGTGGCCAGCCGACGGTCTCTAGGCGGTGGCCGCCGTTGGGAGGCCCGGATCCAGTTGCGAGACCACTCGCTTGACCGGGCGGACACACACCGTCCGTGCTCACACAGAAGAGATGTGGGAGGACGACAGGCCGGCTGTGACCCAAGGGCCTACACAGCTCTCCGTATCGCGGTGTCGGCGAGTCGCGGGACTTCACTGATGGAGTTGATCACCACTTCAGGGGTGTGATGGACGAGCCGTCGAATAGAACTTGGAGGATGGTCAAGAGTGGCCAGCCCCGCGGCCATGACCCCAACAGCTTTCTTTTTCATCCCGATTTGATCTGCTAACATCGGAACTAACCAGATCTTTTAAGATGTGACAGTCTATACCAAAGGGTTTGAACATGGCCCGCATCGACAACACCTAGAGACCGGATTTCCACCGACGCAGCTCTCAATACTTGCTCGCAGCTTTGATCGTCGGTGAGATGATCCGAATACGCCGAGGCATGCCACAGCGGGAACTTGGCCGGCCCAATTCGTCGTGCAGCAAATTAGAATGACGGCCGCGATGGCAACTCCTCCGAGCTTATCTCAAGAGTCTTTGGCCCGTCACAAGATGCAAGATACTGAGAAGAGGCGTCGTGGGCCAATTGTCGCAGGTGACCAGAACAGTATCAAACGCCGGACGTGCAGCTGCTTGGGCCCTCTTTTCCCACGCCCCTTCTCCACCACCACGATCCCAAAGTAGCACGCCTGGCCCCTCCGACATGGGCACCCTGTCGTTATCCCTACTGCCCATGCAGCATGCTTCCTGGGTGTACCCCAGCATGCGTGTCTCTTCCACTTTTACGGGGGCCACAGGCTCGACGGTCTCCAATTCGTATGCGTGCTCGTTTCACTGACCGCATCCTTCCACCTTCCAAGGGGCAGGTTCATTACATATCACCTTAATGCGCCGCCCATCGCGGGCCGCTCGTTGACCTTTGATGCTCTCTCCCTCTGCCGTAGGGACCAACGCCTGACCAACGCAGGCCGATTCAGCACGATACATGATGCAGATGCTGGGGTCTGCCATGCTGTCCTTCGTTTGGCCATACTCTAGCCCATAATCTCCAAGGTTTCTCCATCTTCAGTCAATTTGCGAACGACGCCACTGACTCGATTGCTGCTCCTTGGGCTGGCGCCGGTTGGCCGTCACACCACCAACGGCGGGCTCGCATCCTGCTCGCACGCATTGCATTGGATCCGGGACCCTCCAGGCTGGCACGCATTGCTGACCATGTGGATCGATGCAAGAGCGAGGCAGAGTAGGAATAGTCGTCGAGCCCACGACCGCGAATCATCCTCACCGCATGAAACAGTCGACATAGGGTCGGCCTATCATTAATCGTAATGCCTCATGGCTCTTCCGAACCGCCATCAATACCAACCTCTAACAACATCAATATTACTAACGCCTCGCCGCCACCCAACTCCTCCCTGGCGGTCCAGAGGTTCAACCTACCCATCGACAACGACGCTACCATGAAGAAGACCAAAGTCTTCGGACCGGCCTCCCCTACCACCGCGAGGCCGAGAACGGGCCACCAGAGCATCCGGGGCCTGAGAATATCAGGTCCCATCCCTCTTTCAAGCACAAACACCATAGAGGACGACGAATTCCCAATAAGAAACCCAGGGACCGGTATCGCAAGTGCAACGCCGCTGGACAGTGAGCTCGTCCCGCAGCACCCACCGCAGCACCCACCGCAACACCCACCGCAACAGGCCCTCGCCTCGCCCGTGACACAAGCCTTCGTTCCTGTCGCACAGTCTGCCGCGACGCCGATCCGTACGGACACAGTCGACGTTCCACAGACTGTTCCGGAGCACCCCGGTTCGCCGTCGCCACACCCGTACTCTCAGCCGCACGCATCGTCCGGGCCAAGCCCCGAGGGCGGCGCCTCATCCGGCGCATCGGCCGCGAGGAGCTCTCCTGCACGGTACCAGCGAACAAACCCGTCCACCAACACACGTTTCTCGACCCTGAGCATCAATTCTGGCAAGACGGGCGACACATCTGGTCACGATGTCTCGAACAGCCCACCCCAGCGCAAGAAGTCGACGCTGCGCTCCGCGCTCAGCAAGTTCCTGAGGCGGAAGAAGAAGGATGGCAGTTTGAGCTCTGTCAGCGAGACCGATCGCCAGTCTGCCCTCGGTGGTGGACCACCACAACATCGCAGTGTGAGCACTTTATCATGGCCTGACTCCGTCAAGGAGAATGTTGCTCGCATGAGTCATTGGCTAACAGTTTCCTTCACCAGGTTCCACCGGCTGCGAGACTTGATTCTGCGCAGAATAATGAACCCGCGAAGCGCGTGGCGTCTATGCCCGTCAACGAGTTCGACCGGGCCCTGCGATCACATTCGGTAGGCCCAGATGACATAACAGCCATAGAGAGCGCGCGGAATTCCTTGTCGTTCGATGCCCTAGGCTCATCGCCAAATCGACGGCGAGCGACCACGGCTACCAACAGCAAACTATTTCTCATGACGGGTCCCGGCCCACGGAGTCGAGGAGAGGAATGGGCCGGCTTGTCGCCCCGGCCGGCAAGCACGCACGCCCGAGGGAGTCGCTTCACCGAGGACGATCCCGAGGAGATCGGCCGGGCGCTTACCAGTGACACTGGCGGCGAAAATGGGCATAAGCGCCGCTCGCGGTCTCTGTCGCAGCTGTACGAGGTGGCGCAAGAGCAAAAAGAATCCCGACGCCGCAGCCGTAGCGATGAGATCCGCTTCTGGAGAGAAAGCTACGATGTACCGGGGCCACTGTCGCCGCTCTCATCGAACCCCAACGAGAACGAGACGGATATTGGCAACGAAGACCAGTTCGATCATGGGCGGGCGTCCATGAGCATAGCGGAGTCGCAGGCGGCTGATAGGGCGCCAAAGACACCGCCGCAACCTTTCAATTTCGGGACGTTGTCTTCCATGAATGAGATGGCCGGCATGAAAATCACGCAGGCCGCAACTCTGGATGAGAGATTCGGTTGCCTTGAGTCTCGCGTGTATAGGCTAGAGCGGGTGGTCAATCAACTGTGCCACTCGGTACCAGGGTTCAAGGGGCCTCTCATGGAGGTCAACAGTGGGGCCGGGAATCGCGGCGGGCTCCAACGTTCGGGCTCTGGGGCAGCGTCTGGATCTGGTGTTCACCGAGTTCCCTCGAACCACCCTACGTACGCATACAGCAATGTCGTACCGCCCATGATTCCCTCCATCTACCAGACCAACAGCCGCGACACCGGGTTGCCACCATCCTCTCGGCGGTCGGTGGACACGGCGGACGACAATACTTCCTCCCGCATGTCCTTTGGTGAGGGACGGACTTATATCGACTCCCTGCATCCTCCTTCCTCCTCTGCAACGCAGAACCAGTCCACCATTGGTGTCCCAGCGCCTCAGGGCCCTGGGCTTCTCAGGCCAACTTCTGAGTCCACTGTCCGCCCCGCAACTAGCATGCCATCACTAGGACCGCGAGCATCTCAATCCAGCAGCGAAGATTACCCACAAAATAGCGCTGCTCTCGTGGCGCAGCTCGAGAACGAACGGGCCGCTCGGCAAGCCCTCGAGGACCAGGTGCGCAAGCTATCGGAGCGCATGAACAACCTGTCGTCCACGATGTTCGCCATGGTGCGAGACCCAGCAAAGTCCAAGTCGAGCGAGCGCTTGCGGCCACAAACCGCGACGTCGGCCGCCCCCACCAATGCCACGCACTTGGCGCCCATCTCGGTCAATACGAGGGGGGCGGCCCCTACCGTGGACCCGTCGAGCAAGGCGCAGAGTATCTTTGGCAAAGACAGCCGCTTTAGCAGCGTCACCAACTCCCCCGCGGTGGAGACCGCCGACGACGAGTTCTCCGAGGCGTTCCAGACACCGAGGGAGCAGCCCGGTGCGACCCCCAACCTGCAGCAGTACGAGCCGTTCGGGGGCGTAGACGAGTTTGGTGGCGTTGCGGCCCAGTATCCCGAAGAGGGAGACGAGGATGAGGCCGACCTGAAGAGGAAGAAGGCAGCCAGGACGCTGAGCCTGAGCCAGCTGACCATGGGCAAGGGCCTGCCGACGAGGATCTGAGCGGACTGTTATCCGCAGCGAGCCCTCTAATCCTCCCACCCGAAGCGAAACGACCTACCCATTACCAACTCACCCCGCCCTATTCCAGATCACTACCGCTACTATCCCAACGACCGAAGCACGAAACGACCACCCAGTGTGTACTTCATAACAACCTCATCAAACCGTACAAAGAGCAAAAAAAATTCCAATGCTTTTGACAGACGAAAGATACCCAGTCCTGCCATTTTCATCTGCTGTATTTTTAGACAAGTCTTTTCCCCATCCATATTGCCAGGGCATCTAGCGAAACAAAGAAGGGGTGCATCGAGCAAGCAAGCGAGCTGCGCTTCTTCGGTGGAGGCACGCGTGTTTCTTGTTTTAATCCTTCAAAACCAGGGTGTTTGGGGGCTGGAGGCGTGCCTAGGCGTGTTCCAGGGGGGAGGAATGGGGGCTGGCAGATCTGATTCCGTATCTATTATTTACTTACTTGTTCTTCGGGAGATGTACCTATACGTTCTTACCTAGACCGGATCAAAGGCCTTGTCATATCTAGTACCTCCTGTCTCCCATGTTCCAGGATATGGCTTAATTTTCCTTCTACCTTTATTCACTTTGTCGAATTTAGCTCATCTTCTCCAGTATATGCGCATCAATTTGCTATTTCTACTTCCTGTATTGCCTTACTTGGCCTATGGCTACCAGGTGTTGGGCGAGCACGCATGCATGTATCTAGCTTGTCTTGGGGATTGCTGGCTGGCCATATTTCACGAGGCCACGCCTCCCGTCTTTTTACTTCGACGTTCCGAGAGCAGAGCGCAGCGCAGCATTGGTCTATTCACGCGAGAGCCACCAATCCTTTTCCCCCTTGAGGCGTACTTGTCTACCTAGGTCCCTAGAAGAGATACCAATGAGACGTAATTACTTGATCAGCGGGCGGTGCATGCGCCTTCAACTTCCCCCGCGGGAAGTGTTGGGTTACCAGGTGATCCTAGGATAGGATGGTCCTCACGACTTGCTGCCTCGAGCACGAGACAGCCACATCAGAGTTGGCACTGATCTCCAGCATCACGCCCCCATTGACCGCACCGCGCCCACGTGCCACCCTGTTGCCCAATGTCCTTCAACCCAGCTGGGACGCATAACACGCTCCAACAACAAGCCAAACAAGACCGACCCCTGGCCCCTCTTGCGTCCAGCCCGCAACCACTCCTTAGTAGTACTTGTCAGCAGGCCTATCCGACACCCGGATCTCGGACTGCTCCGCGAACGAGGGCTGAAGGCTCTCCCCGTCGGCGCCGATGTTGACGAGCCTCCCGCCCTCGAGGTAGACCTCGACCCATGTGAGTGCGACGGTGGCCTCGTCGAGGCGGACGTAGGGGGTCGCCTCGACGTGCAGGGCCTTGAAGCCCTCGTCGCCCGAGACGGCGAGCAGCGACGACACGCCGCGGAAGTAGTACTCGATCTGGAGGTCGTGGTCGTCTATGGCGTAGGGGAGCTTCATGCTCTGGAGCAGGGCGCGGGTGCTGGCCGTGTTGAAGGTCTGTGTCTGCGAGTTAGAGAGGGCCGTGCGGTCCAGTCGGAGCAGGAACTGGGGTGGTATTTATGAGGAGAGAGGGTGGGCACAAACCATCTGGTATTTCAGGATGCCATATTGCTCGCGGATTTTGGCACACTCTGCGCCGTGGCGTCGGGGCATGTAGTTGTGGAACTCTTCCTCGGAGAGCCCCTTGGTCCGGTATTAGGAGCCGGTGAGCCGGAGGACGCGTTCTGGCTTGACCATGATGTAAGTACCCGGTCGGAAGGATGACTTCCTGGTGTTGATTCCAGCCTTGAGTGAGCGAGGCTCGGCCTGGCGAAGATGAGGAGGCAGAGGTTGTCTGCTTGACAAATGAGGCAATCGCGGTCGGCCCCAGCTTGACAGTTATTCACGGATGCGGTAGTTCAAAGAGAACACACCAAATCTGTTGTTTTGAATACGTGGTTGATATTACTGGTTGTTGGGGCTGTCAATATATACCGACCAACAGAACCAACATGCTGACCACCGATAAACCGTCACACATGGTTGGCTGTACTGTTGTGACAAGCTTGTGCAATATGACAGGACCAATAAGTTCAGCCATTTTGACCAACATAATCTGCCCTCGCGTGGCACTTCACCAGTGTCCCAGGCATCCCGAGGGAAATATGGAATCACGAAGATATCAAATATGCCCGAGAACGGCCTGCTGCTGTCCAAGATCCAGCATTTTCCTGTCCTGAATTGCCGACACACGAAGAGAATTGGATCTGAAGTGCTAACAAAGGAGTAGATATTTGTCCCTATAGTTTCCCCTCGTACACAGTCTCGAGGAGTCGCTGCTGTGAATCCACCGCGACGGCTTCGGCCATCTTCGTTTGGGAACATTATACGTCAAAATGGCAAATATCCTCTTCGATACATTAGGCAATCCTGACATGAGTCGTCTCAAGGCGTGAGCGGTCTGCGTGATAGAAGCCATCCGCGTCGAATCGACTCTGCTGGGCCCCTTTTGAACAATATCTGGGTTCGCGGACATGCCCCCATAGCTTTGATGTATTATCTGACCCGCATGGTAAGGCACAGTTCAAGTCTATAATGGCGATAGGCTCCGCACCGGCATTTTTTCATTACTGACCTGAGTTCCAATGCACAGGAGGGCGTCGACCTTGCACATATTCTGGGACCTCTCGGGCATCTAGATGTGTTGAACTCTTGATGGCATTATGGATGTCCATGCTGTCCGAATATACCCAGGCGTATTATCGCGGTATAGCCGTGCCCGGATCATCTTCAGCCTCTGCGGTAGTGAACTGCTGGACGGAAGATAGATTCAGTGGATAGTAGGATGTGGAAAATAGCATAGCACAGTGTCCCTTCACGATACTGTTTGCGTCAATGTAGTGCAATCTGATCTGGGAGATGTTAGCCTATCAAGAAGAATCTGAATGCAGATTCGATCCTAGAGGAAGATTCGGTATGGATTCACATCGGGTCTTGTCCCTGTTTGTCGGGTTGCGATGTGTAAGGAAGAAATACTGTTGGCCAGGGGGGGAGCTGAAGCTGATGTCATTCCGCAGCGCGATAAGCTTATCGGGGGTGAGACAAAGCTGCTTCAAGGAAATGTTGAGTTCCAGGTCCACCCGGTCGCTGTCTCTGGCGAGGCAAGAGACCAGGAGCGTCAATGGTTGTGGGAACTCCCCTTTGCTATGCCTTGAACAATCAGACATTCAGAGGAAAGGCGGGTGAGCGATCCTCAGCAGCAAGAGCATCATCTTCGTACCTTCATCAGGCCGTTCCCTGATCGCGCCCACCTCCCGTCCCTCAGTCTGCACGCAGCTGCTTAGGCATCGCAGACCGCGAGGATCTATGCATGTCTCCCAAAGTAGAGCAGCTCAAAGATGAGGTACGCATCCACCCTCGGTAGCCTCAACTAGGCGTCCCTGCTGACACCAACCCCAGGGCACCCGTCTCCAGGTCGTCACGGCCGGCGCCGTGGCCGGCCTGATATCGCGCTTCGTCATCGCGCCCCTCGACGTCGTCAAGATCCGCCTGCAGCTCCAATCGCACTCCCTCTCCGACCCCCTCTCCTACGAGCACATCCGCGGGCGCGGGCCGATCTACAAGGGCACCATGTCGACCTTCAGGACCATCCTCGCGAACGAGGGGCTCACGGGCCTGTGGAAGGGCAATGTCCCCGCCGAGCTCATGTATGTCAGCTACTCGGCCATCCAATTCACAACCTACCGCTCCACGACGCAGCTGCTGCGCAGGGCCGCGGGCAGCGAGCACGCCATCCCGGGCGCGGCAGAGAGCTTCCTGGCCGGCGCATCGGCTGGCGCCGCGGCGACAGCAGCCACATACCCGCTGGACCTGCTGCGGACGCGATTCGCGGCGCAGGGCAACGACGACCGCGTGTACACATCGCTGCGGCGCGCCGTGGCGCAGATCTACCGCGACGAAGGGCCCCGCGGCTTCTTCCGCGGGCTTGCGCCGGGCCTGGGCCAGATCGTGCCGTTCATGGGCATGTTCTTCGCTGCGTACGAGGCGCTGCGCCCGCCGCTGGCCACCCTCGACCTGCCCTTTGGCGGGGGCGACGCCCTGGCCGGCACACTGGCCAGCGTCATGTCCAAGACGGGGGTGTTCCCGCTCGACACGGTCAGGAAGAGGATCCAGGTGCAGGGCCCGACGCGCGCGAGGTACGTGCACAAGAACATCCCCGACTACATCGGGCTCGGCACCTTGGGGACGATGCGATCTATCCTGCGGACGGAGGGCATCAGGAGTCTGTACAGGGGGCTAACTGTCAGTCTGCTCAAGGCTGCGCCGGCGAGCGCGGTCACGGTGTGGACTTATGAGAGGGTGCTCAGTACGCTCATAAGCCTGGATGGTGCGAGCAAGGAGAAGAGCTTGTAAGGGAGGTTTTTGCATGGGATTGTCCTGGCGTACGGGAGGCGAAAGGAAAGGTTTATGGTAAATATCATGGCACACGCCGTTGCGATGTCACAACATTACTTTCATGCTGGTTTCGCTCATGTACCCAATTGGTCGCGAAACAATCCTAAGTTGAGAAGGGCCATGGTCACAGATGCATTCTTAGCTTAGGCGTGATGAATATCACTGATCAGCCGCCCTTTTTCATGATTCTGGGAACAACGCCGCCACACCGGCCATGTGAATTCGTCTATATTCCATATGATACAGGCCAAGTTGTCAACCCGACCAGGGTTTTCAACCCATCGCTCTAGCCCACCGTGTTTTCGTTTCGAATAGCTGCTTTATTTTCCCTTCCTCACCCACTCCTCCACCGTCTCCCTTGCACCCTTGACCTTCTCCTCAAGCTTGTCACGTCCGAGCTGCGTGTGCACCCGGGCGAAGCTGACGCCCTGCCTCCAGCTGTCCTTGATCTGGAGGTGCCCCTGCGCCACGACCGGATACCGCTGCTCGTACTTCCAGGCCAGGTCGCTCGTGTTGCGCATGGTGTGGGGGATGGCGGTCCAGCCCATGCCCACGCCGAAGGCAACCGGGACCGTGGCCCTCAGCAGGATGTTGCTCCGCCGCGTCACGATGCTGCCGGCCATGGCGGCCACCAGGACGTAGACCAGCCCGGGCATCAGCTTCTCGCCGGACTCGGGCGGGGGCGCCAGGGAGGCGATGGTATCGGTAAAGGACTTCTCGAGGTGGAAGGCGCGGTCCATGGTGCGGTTCACGGCGTCCTCGGCGGTGCAGGCGTGGCGGTAGATGAACAGGCGGACGTCACGGATCTGGGCGGCGAGGCGGTCGGTGGGCGTGGGGCCGTGGCGCTGGTACTGCTGAGGGTACTGCGCTACCTCGCTTAGCGAGGGCGATGCCGGGTTCTCGGGCGCCAGGGTGGCCTCGGACGACGGCGTGTCTGGCCTCACGGCGGCCTTCGCCGGCGGGAGGGTGGCTGTTGTGGGCACGGCGTCGAAGTCATCGTATATGGGCTTCCTGAGCTAAATAGTAGGCTCGGCGTCAGTCCGACTTGTGCTGAGCAGGGCAGACGGCAGGGCACGGCACGGCACGTAGGGGGTGGCATGGGCTGATCGTACGTGAGAGCTGTGTGGTTCTGGAGCTTCGGCAAGGGCCAGCTTGGGGGAGAATGCGACAGCTCCAACGAGCATGGACGCTGCCAACGGCGCGGCGCGCTGCGAGAACAAGAGCGTGGTCAGCGGAGGCCTGGATATCAATGTCAATTGGGTCGGTGGGTCTGAGTGCTCACCCGTTGCAGCAGGGCTCTCGCAGCCATGGTAAGCTCAATTGGGTCCGTTGAGGCTCTGGAGGGCGGTTGAGGGGCTCTCGTGAGCGGCGGCAGTGTCAGGATTCCAGGTGAAGTTTGAGGGAGAAGTAGACTCGTATCCAGGCGGACATGGGTGTGGCCCGCTCGGTGCTCTGCTGCTCTGCTTGTGTCGTCAAACGGCCGCTCACCTCCAGCAGCGGCTCTTTCCGACGGCCGGTTTTCTCGAAAATTTTAGCGCATTTTCGTCATAGCATTACCACACTGCAACGATTAGACTACCACGGCAGAGCCCAGCAGCCATTCGGAGACGGGCTAAAGTCGGCAATCGCGAATTCAGATAGGACAGGATAAGCAACTGCAGGTCTTTGATTGAAAGATCGCCCCTCGTGCATTGTGTTCGTGTGGCATGACTTCCTTCGTTCTGTTCTGTTCGTCCGTACAAGTGTACACACGCAGTGGCTCGGTCCTCACCTTCCTTGCCTGGGTTCTCACAAAGGTTGCCAACCTCGTCGTGTGTAAGGCACAGCAGACCAGACCAGGCCGTGAGATGTGAAGGTCCAACACCAACGCCGAGATCATGATTAAGTTCGCCCAGCGCCAGGCGACAACAGCTTCGGCGTCGTGGGTTTGCTCAACGTGTCTCCGGCGCAAGGCTCAACAAACCATACAGCAGCTTCCTCGGGCAGCAGCCTCGCGATGGCAGCACACTGCCACCCACACTGAGACCGCCCGGCCTCCTCCACACTCCTTCTCCATCCCGCCCTCCGCTACCAACACGACCGCTCGCGCCAAACACGACGATGCAGACCTGCGCCGCATATTCGACTCTCCTTCAGCATGGCTGGCCTTCTCGGGCGCGTTCAAGGGCAAGCCCCGCGTCGGCCTCTTCCGCAATGCCTACCTGACCGAGCCCCAAGGCTTCCTCGCCTTTGCCCAGGTCTCCCTGACGCGTGCCCAACGCATCGTCGACAAGGTCCTCTCCGCCAGCTCCGTGGCCGAGTATAGATCTGTCGTTCGAGACCTTGACCGGCTGTCCGACCTGCTGTGTCGCGTCATAGACCTGTCCGACTTCGTGCGCGTCACCCACCCCGACAGACACATGCAGGCCGCGGCCTCGGAGGCATGGACCGTCGTATACCAGTACATGAACCAGCTGAACACGACAACTGGCCTGAACGAGCAGCTTGGGAAGGCATTGGACAACCCGGATGTCTCATCTGGCTGGTCAGAAGAGGAGAGGGCTGTGGCGGAGATTCTGAAGCTGGATTTCACAAAGTCGGCCGTCAATCTGCCCAGGGAGGAGAGGGATAGGTTCGTCGAATTATCGTCCGAGATAGGCGATGTCGGCCAGACCTTCGTGGAGCAGATGGCCCCAGAAGAGCCTGTCCTTACGTTTCCGAGCAGCAAGCTCCAGGGTCTGGACCCCACGATTGCGCGCAGGATGACCCGGAGGGGACGCGTTTACTTACCAGCGCTGAGCGGCGAGGCTTCCTTGGCCCTACGCACCGTTCATGACGAGGATACAAGGAAGGCGATCTACTATGCTTCGCGGACTGCATCGACCAGGACGGTCAAACAGCTGGAGCATTTGCTCGGTCTGCGGGCTGAGATTGCCAGCCTGTCTGGATTCGAGAGCTACGGTCACATGGCACTTCGTGACAGAATGATGGCCAAGTCACCCGAATCCGTCCAGCAATTCCTAAAAGCTCTCAACAAGAACAACGCGCCGATAGCCAAGCGCGAGATGGAGGACCTCATAGCCTGGAAGCAGGGCAAGACTGGCTTGTCTTCGTCCAACTTACAACCATGGGACAAAGACTACTACATGGGCCAGATCAGGGATCTGGAGAGGTCGAAAGCCAAGCGCGAAGACTTCTTGTCCGCGTACTTCTCGCTCGGAACCATTATGCAGGGTCTGTCAAGGCTCTTCACACGTCTCTATGGAATCCGTTTCGTGGCCAGGGAGACGATGCCGGGGGAAACCTGGCACCCCGAAGTGCGGCGGCTCGACGTCATATCTGACACCGACGGCCACGTTGCCGTTCTATACTGCGACCTGTTCTACAGGGCCGACAAGTCGCCCAACCCGGCACACTTCACAGTGCGGTGCTCGCGCGAGATCGCAGGGTCTGAGCTTGAAGAAGCCGAGTCTGCTGCTCAACAAGCCGTAGCGGGCATTCCGGACTTTGCCTCGGCTGAGGAGGCTGCCAATGACGGCATGGCCATGTCTCGAGGCAGCAACGGCGTCCTGAAACAGCTGCCCACCATCGCACTCGTGTGCGACTTCCCTCAGAGCCAGGCTGGCGGTGACAAGCCCGCCTTCTTGACATACGGACAGGTGGAGACGCTTTTCCACGAGATGGGCCACGCGATCCACAGCATCCTGGCGCGGACCTCGCTGCAAAACGTTTCAGGCACGCGCTGTGCGACTGACCTGGCCGAGCTCCCCTCTACGCTGATGGAGCACTTCTGCGCAGACCCGGAGGTTTTGCGCCTCTTTGCTCGGCATTACGAGACGGATGAGCCGCTGAACTACCAGATGGTCGTTGACAGGATACGGCAATCCCGACGGTTTGAGGGCACGGATAACGAGAATCAGATCCTCCTTGCGATGCTGGACCAGGAGTATCACTCCCCACGCGCGGCAGTCGGATCCTTCGACTCGACCGAAGTCTACCGCGGCATTCAGCTTGAGTATGGTAACACACCCGTCGACCCGCCCGGATGCAGGTGGCAGGGCTTCTTCGGCCATTTGTTCGGGTACGGCAGCACGTACTACAGCTACCTATTTGACCGCGTGCTTGCCGAGCGGGTGTGGAAGGAGGTATTCTCGTCAGGACGGGATGGTGCGGCCATCAGCAGGGAGAACGGCGAGCAGCTGAAGGAGGGCCTACTCAAGTGGGGTGGAAGCCGGGATCCTTGGAGGTGCCTGGCAGACGCGCTGAAGGACGACCGGGTGGCGGACGGCGACGAGAAGGCCATGGCCTTGGTGGGAAGCTGGGGCGCAGGGGCCACGGTCAAGGAGTGATAAAAAGGTGCACGGTTGACGATAGAACAAAACATAGATGATACAACGCCTGTGGATATGAAAGACATATTAAAAACCAGATGCGTATGTTGGCAGACAGAGTCTCTAGAACCAGTGCTGGGCCTGCATCTTTTCATTGGCCCTCTTGAGCAAAGGCCGCACCGATTCGGTTCCCTTGCTGTCCAGGAACTCGACCGTTCTCGCAATCTTCTCCCCCGTCTCGTCCATCCAAAACATGAAGACGTATTCGCCCTCGAATTTCCACTCCTCCTTGTCCTCCTCATCCCTCACGACCTCCTCCCTGAACAACGCCCGGCTCGTCGCCCACACCGTGACCTGGTTGCTGGCCTCGCTCTCGACATACTCCCTCGCATACACCGGGAACCCCGTCATGATCTTGCGCAGCGACGCGCCGTGCTCCACGAACTGCTCCTTCGTGAACGGGCCCGGAAAGGCCAGGGAGGCCGGTGCGAAGTGGTGGGTGTAGTCTGGGGCCAGGACCGAGGCTAGGGTGTCCGAGTCTAGGGTCTCGAAGTGGTTGAGGAACTTCTTTGCTGTTTGTAGACGTTTGGACTCCATGTTGTAGTGTTTTTGAAGGTGGGCTTCTTGCTTGTAATAATCTTCCACGGCGATGGGCGGGCGGGGATATGGTCTTCTTTTGAGTCTACATCCTACAGGATTTCCCCAAGCATAATTCGGATGGCACCCTGGGCTTAAGAATCTTCGGTGTTGTGTTATATCCGATATAAGCTGCCATGCGTGCATCTTGTTGTGACGGAGTTAGCATCCCTCCGACGACGCTTGGAGTTCGGCTGACCACGACGATGTGTGGGTGTGTCATTGGTGACCGTATCCAGCCAATTGAGACTATAGTTTCCGGCCAGAAACGAGCTTTCAATTTATTACAAGGAAGGAGGAGGGCAGTAAACTACCTGATCTCGAACCTCTCGACGCCGTTCTTGCCGACCTCACGATGGAAGCGCGGGTCTTGATCATCCTGCTTCACCGGCTTCAACCTCAGCGTCCCATCTTTCTCCCTCTCGTACGTCCCATCGGCCAACAACCCAGCTTCCTCTACCGCTTGTCCCTGCATTATAGTAGGAATGATACACTCGCCTACGAAGACCCACTTCTGCCCGTCCCCTTCATCCCCAGTGCCATCCAGCGGCCGCAATACATACGGAACAATCCCGCCAAACAAAACAACGATCAAATCCCCGGGCCTCATCGCCGCAGGCCCAAGACCAAGCTTCCCATCCTCGCAGCGGAACACCCTCCGCCCCAGGAAGGCGTTCATCGAGCACAGCGCCCGCTCCGTGGCGTAGGTGCTCCCCTCCTTCTCCACGGCGGCCCAGAAGTCCTTGAAGTCGTCGTGCCGCAGGGCCTCGACGTCCCAGGTGCAGCGCTCGCGCCAGTACAGCAGGAACTCGCCCAGGTTGTAGACGCCCATCTTCTCGCCGTCGAGAGTCTCAGTGGACCTGCGCATCCCGTACTTGCCGGGCATGCCCGTCGTGGCCGCCATGTGGAACCCGCCGCCCGTTGACAGCACCTCGGCCTGCTTCTCCGGGCTGTTGAAGCCGGGTATGGTGAACTTCTCCATTGTGGCGCTCCAGGAGGCGCGGACCTGGCGGTCCGGGTCGTTCAGGTAGGACAGGATGATGAGCATGGCGTCTCTATCTCTGTCCGGCAGGCCGGAGAATGAGATCTTGCCGGCGGTAAATGGCTCCGTGACATCTGTCACCTTGGTGACTTTCAGGCCGGTGAGTGTTAGTGATTTCCCGTCCGCTCCAAAGGTCTCGTCGCCGGGGAAGAACAATTCGCCCGCGTTGGCGTAGTAGCCGTGCTCTTGTCGGAGAGCGAGGGGCTCGGCGAACAGAGACTGGTCCCATTTCGGTAACCAGGATGGAGAGGAACTGTCGATCTCGAGGCCGTGCTGCACGGCACTGAGGAGCCTCAGGTTGGCATCTTGGGAAAGCATGCGCTTTGTGGCATCCAGGTAGACCGACTGCACATCTGCTGCATAGTCCGGGGCAACAAGTTGCTCTTTCTCAGGATCATTGCCCGAGAATGGCATCCCGAGCAGGGCGAATACCCTATCTCTCGCATCTGTCGACTTGAACTTCCCCATCGTCGTCGCCAGGACGGCAGATAAGTCGATCTTGGGGAAGCTCGATATCGCGCTGCGCTTGGCCAGCGGGAGGACGTAGATCAGGAACGCGTTGTACGCAGCGGAAATGGGCCAGTCTGGGTTCGTTGCCCACCCTCTGGTCAGCAGCCACGCTGCGCTGATGCCGACGAGGCCCCAACTGATGGAGTGGCTACCCCAGACTATTGTCGCGTTCTGCCCGAGGACCAACTCCTGGATCACCCAGAACCGAGTGAAATATTCGGTCTGGAACAAAGCTTGGAGAGCAGTCCAGCCGTCTTCGTCAATGCTAAGCCCCTCCTTCTGAGTCTCGAACGCTTCCTTGTAACTGGAGAAATTGTTTGGGTTGTTCGGAGGGCGCCACGAGCGAACAATTCCGCAAACGGTGGTGAAAGCTAGTTTCGCATAGTTCGCCTTGTCTTGTCCAAGCCAGACGAGGACCCTTCGGGCCTTCGAGTAGATGTTCCGCATGATCGACACTTGTTGGCCGCGCTCAGAAAGGTCCGCCTGGTTGATACAGACGGCGTCAGCCCATATATATCGCCTGCGGTCTGGATGTCGAAGCCTCTTCAAGGCGTTCTCGAGGTTCTTTGGTATCATGACGGTCTGGCCTCGGACTCGAAGCGGCACTTGATCCTTTGGGTCCCCCCATGTGTATGACATGGCTTCATATCCCACATCTTTGTCCAAATCCACAACTTCCAGTCGTGTTTGGAGGTCTGGTCCAGCCGATTCGGGTTCCACGATGAGGACCCTGATGCTGTGGCCATCTGGGAGCGGCTCGTATACTGAATCGCTCTCCTTAACTTCCACTTCTAGCCAGGAAGTCGTTTCTTGAAGCCGGTCGACCTCATCATCGACAACATCGAACGCGCATTGCTCAACAGCCTTGCCCGCCTTGAGAAAGATTGCCCTCGCAAGATGATCTGCCTCTGGCACAAACTCAGCCATGTCGTCGTCTGTAGCTTGACCACTGCCACCGTCTGCTGGCTCCAAAACAGTGGTTGACTTGTCTCGCAACTCCTCCTTCGTGTGTACCAGAGGAGCCTTTTCGCAATGGCCCATCACGAAAACAGCCGTTATGCCAGTCTGGTCTCCTTCGATGTCATCCAATTTCGTCGTCATTGTGATTTCCTTCCCCTTGGACCCACAGCCCCTTGGTCCATGCTGAAGGCTCACCATCCGACCAAACGTGCTCGTTACCCTCAACACCGTCCACGCTGAATGTGATTTTGGCCTTTGGGTTGACCCAAACCGGATAAAGGAAAGTATCAGTGCGGAAAGCAGTCTTGTCAACTTTCAGCTTCTCGGCTTTGAGGACGCCAAGAGTCACGGATCCTTCCTTGGAGGGGTCGAACTTCCCGACATGGCCAGTGTCCGGCGCCTCCTTCAACGTCCGCCACAGGTCGATGAAGACATGCTTGTAAATCTCGTAGACCTCCGACCGCCACGGAGACACGACACTCCTCACGTCGTACGGCTCCGCTGCAGCCAGCACGGCCGGGCCGAGGACCCGGAGCTCAGTGTGTTTTAACCAGAGGCCGTGGTCCCACCTGGCCTGCTCGGGATCATCTGAGATCCCGTTGCCAATTGCTTGCGTAATGGCTTGGAAACACGCCTTGAGCGTAGTTTCTTGGAGGAGCTCCTCATCTGAAAGAGGCGGGTCCACGAGCCACAGCCTCCGAAGCATCGTCGACACTTGGCGGACGACCATGTTGTCCGAGAAGTCGATGAGACGAAATACCGGCTCATCGAGTGGCATGGTACCAACATCCTGGGTCGCATGTTCGACAGACATGATTAAATGTAATTATGTCCTTCAGTGAGGCGATCGAACAAATATGTCGTTGAGTGCCGACGACGAAGGCGGGGGATGCGCATCATTGGGGTATGGGCCGGGTTTATACCAAGACCACGCGCCTCCGCCTCCAGCCTTCTCCGCGATCAAGGCGGAGTAAACTCGGTTTGATTTCCTCCATTGGCCTAGGACACTGCCTACGCATGATCATCCATGGATCATCACCCAGAGAGCCCGCGAGGAAATAAGCTTTCACTATTGTGAGAGGAGTCTTGGGATGCTGTGACGGATGCCTGGTGGGTTTGCATTGGAAACCCCGCTCTTCCCGGTTGTTCGGTACAGCACCAATGACATAAAAAAGCAACGTCAAATATCGCAATTGAGATGAGTCAAGAGACACAACCGAATATCAACTTGGAGAGTCTGATAGCTAGTGTACGTCAACGCTTCAAGTAGTGGCTGACATTGCTCGGGCCTTCATCATTCCATATTAACCCAATCAACCAGAACAACATCTCTCATAAATGTCATTCACTAAGGACATGAGTAGCTGGAGTAAAGCACGTTCCGAGAGTGGAGCCTCAATGAAAAGGGGCACTTCAATATCGGAGAGTGGGAAACCTGTGGGCCAAGTGGCCACGCTCGTCTGATGTGTTTCCCGGAATCCAAGCGGAGTGAAAGTGGTCCCTTGCTCTGTCCAGGCATATTCGACTACAAACTCAAACCATGGCCCAAAGATCCCCTTGTTTATGCCGGGTTGGTCCCTAATAATCTGTTTTACAGACGAGTCCACAGGTCTCAATTCGAAAGAAGCACCCCCTTCAAAAATCGGGCCTCTCGCCAGATTAGCAGAGAAGACAACGATATGCCGTTCTGCTAATTCGGATCGCTGACGGCACAAGCGGACGAGTGAGTTGACGTGGTGGGATGCGTAATCAATGACAATGCCAATGTCTGATAGTTGTCGATTCGGTGAAAATCTCAAACGGAAACAGAGTATTTCGGAGTACAGCCGATCACCAATCAGGTATATCTCGGCCTTTATAGTCCCCCATGGTGTTGTCTTCGAAAAGGTCTGCGTCGTCCACAGACCGTTCACGAAACGTCTCCTTTGTAAGGTCCGTTTGATGGGAACAATATCGGTTCCTGGTTGGAAATGCGGCAACTGAGCGGTGATACTAGAGATATCTAGGCCACACGGTGCGATCAGGTGGCCTTCTGCTGCAGCAACCCGCTGCAACCCCACGTGAGAGTGACACGGCTGCAGCTACATGGCTGTGCGCAAGGAGCTGGTCGATGATGACGGCGATCCATTCTGCTTGCTTGTTCGAAATGCGGAGATAATCTGAAAGCTTAACACCGTCGATAGCTGTCCGGAGGAGTCCCTTAACGCGTATGAGGGGGAGAGTTATGTCGCCAGGTGGCAGCGACACTATTTCGATCGCACCACTCTCGCTGTGCCACAGAGACACCTTTCTGGTCATTTCTGGTCGGAAATCATCCACGTGAGGTGGACGCATGGACACTATGTCGCTCTCGTTCTTCGAGATAGCAGGGAGGATGTCCACTTGCTTTCTGGCAAGTCTCGGCCCTCGGGGTCGCGCGCGGCTGTTTCTGAGTGGTACCCTCACGGCATGCGCTGTGCTCCCGACTGCATTTGTAGATGGTATGACAGTTAAAACGTCCATATGATCTTGCAACCTCTTTGCTGTATCTGCAAACTTGACAACTTCAGCCCGAGTAGCAGTGAGTTCATTCCGAAGGACTATCTCGTTTCTCCTAGACTTTGATCAGTGTTGTATCCAGTCTGGGAGAACCCAAGGCACCCACCTTCCTGTAATACCAAGAGCATGATTCACGTGGGAGCTAAGCCTATGGAGGCGTGTGCAGGAGGCTGCGACTTTGTGACCATCCAGGGACCATCTTATGTGACCGGTAACTTGCTGGAACAGACCGAGCCAGCCGCCTGATGAGGACGGGCGGCCATGGTGGATTGCTATCGGATGGGCGAGGCTACGGACTGGGCGGACGTGCTCGATGCATCTTCAAATATACCCAGATGAGAAGAAAAGACAATTCCTTCTCAGATGGTCTTGTTGTTATCCCGCTGAGCATCATATGTTGGGGCAGTGCTGCCTCGCCACAGTGCCTGCGTAGGTAGCTGATCTAAGTGCCGGCGGAGGACGCCCAACCTGCTGTGCTACCCAACCCCCAGGCTCTGCATTGGATCTATCCCAAAATGAGCATGCTGCATGATTCTGGGCTGCTGGCACATTTTGAATTGTGATTTGGGAGACTGCCTTGAATAATCTAAGCTGGAAACGGATTCATTGTTTGCAAAGCCTGTGATGCCGACGAGAATCATCTACACACCGTTATGTTGCAACTACCGTGGGCATCCATCAATACTGCCTGATGACAGGTCCCCATTCTGTAATTTGGTTTTGGAATATTATCTCATCACTATTCACGTTCGTTGGTATAATCGAGTCTGGCGGCACACGTGAGATGCGGGAGGAAGCGGCGTGCACCTCCATTACCTGACAGCCTACCTGGTACAATTGTGTTCTTGAGAAAGTACTACCTGGAACCTTGCTTTGTTGTGCAACCTGAGGTTTTAAGGAGGGTCCGGCGTTGAGTTTGTTCGTGTAAAGTCTTGCCTGTGAGGACTTGAGCCCATCAACTAGCTCCCTTATCAATAAATCCATAACGCACGCACTCCACGCTTGCCGTACCGTTCAGGAGATGACTGCTTCATATTCAAGCATTCCGTGCCCAATATAACAACGCCTAAAGCACCATAGGTCCCAGGCCCCTTTCCTCCAACGCCCGATGAACAGCATTCTTAACGCCAGTAAAGGCATCCATCCACCCCTTCCTCCCCCTGCTGTCCTCGCCGTCGTCAACAAGCCAGTCCAGCCACCGTATCAGCTTCTTGGCCTTCTCCATATCCCTCTCCTCGGTCACGACGCGGGCAAGATACCTCTCAAAGACCTCGACGTCATCCTTGTGCGGCCCCTCGTCCTCCGTCTCCCGGTGCCAGGCACTCAGCATATCCTTCACCTCCTGGATAGAAGTAAGCGAGGTCGCCGTAAATGCGACCTTGCCTGGAGGCTTCGGGAAGGCGATTTTGCTCTGCCCACTGGTCGTCTCCCTCGCCCGGTCCGCGGCATTGCGGCGCCCTGGGCCTTTTAGGTTGAGGCCTAGGCCTGACTTCTGGGCGAGTTTTCGCCGGCGGTGATCGGCTATGACCTCCTTGCGGACCTCCTCGGGCAGCTCGGCTAGGAAGGCCTGGTCGAGCTCCTCGATCTCCTCGGCTGCGTTTTCCAATGCTGACCTCCTGTTGCCCATTGTGACGAAGCTCGTCTGCATGAGTCCAGCGCTGGCGTCTCGCTGCCTCTCACGCGTCCTGCTCAGCATGCCTCGCATTCCACCCCGCCCTCGCCCTCGTTTGGCTGGGCTTCTATGAGGAAGTGGGCGGATAATCCGGTCCCGGCGTGGTGATTGCGGTTGGGCAGGGATGCTCTGCACATTCCTCCTTGGAGCGTATTGTGCAAGTACCTCAGCCTTCATGTCGTCCGGGAGAGCATTGAATACTTCGGGGTCGATGTCCGGCGGAATTTGAGGCTCCAACACGGCTGGACTCTGCTCCCGCGACTGGCGTCCGCTTGTGTTGTGTAATGCAGGTGAGCCTTCTCTTGACAGTACCGAACCAGGGCCTCGGCGTGGCTGCGGTGCCATCAGCCGGCTCCGAATGTCTTGGGGCAGCGCTGCGACGACTTCTGGGTCTGGGTTCGATGGCATGATAAATTGCGTTCCCATGACGTTCAACGGCGTGTTCGCCTTCTCGTCAGCCTCGTTTGCCCTGGATAGCGCAAGAGCAGGGTGGATGGACAGTCCTTTCGGCTTGCGAGGAGTGAGTGGGTTGTCCGAGATAGGGTCTTCAGACACGTCTCGCCGTGTCTGTTGAGCCGCAGCTCTTGATTTCGCAGGGCTACCCGCATCGGAAATGTCATCAAGACCCATGGGTGCCACAGGCGCTACCGACTTCTTCGATGGGTGAGAACCGGTCGCATTCCCGAATGCGCCGAAACTGAGTCTCTTTTGGCTCCCATCAGGCGCTGCTGAGGGCTTGATCGGTTCCAATCTTTGCATCTGGACACCTAGGCCTCGCAGATCTCCAGGGCTTAACTTGAAGGATCGAAGTATGGAGACAGCCTCTTTACCAATCTTCTCAGCATCATGAGTTGCGACGCCAAATACCGTGCTTTTGTTAAAGGTATCGCATTTCCCGTGGCCCAAGTGTTTTGCCGGATCCAACGGCGCGTCTAGAGCTCGCCGCATGATCTTCATGGTGAGGTTTGTGCCCTTGACGCCCTCGTTCAACAAGCGTTTTTCCAGCTCTTTGCAGAGGTTCATGACGAATTCTTCGGCTTCGGGCTGGTTGAGAAAGCGGATTCCCCAGTTGACTTCTGCCGAGACGGATTTGCGGATGGACACGTCGCCCACTTCAGCACGGTCGATGCCTCTCGAGTATTCCCAGATTTTCTCACCCGTCTTCGGACCCAGTACAGATACCAGACGCTCCTTTGAGACCTCTCTGATATCCTTGACCAGCCTGATCCCATTTTCCTCCAACTTGCCGCCGATGCTGTACGCAACGCCGGGCAGGTCCTCCACCTTAAGCTCGCCTAGGAAGTCGAGAATTTCTTCCGGCTTGATTTGGTATTGGCCCGCCGGCTTCGCTTTGCGGAGTGCGACCTTGGCGAGAAGAATGTTTCCACCGATGCCCACGGAGACCTGGCAGCCCGTCCTTTCCTTGATTCGCTTGCGCAGGTCAATGGCAAGCTCATCTGCCTTTTCTTGTTCCCTCCAGATGCTTCCTTCAGAGATGCCTTGGCCATGTGACCCAGAGGCATCGAGGACAAGCGTGGTGATATCAACTAGAGCCTCGTCGATACTGACACTCTGGACAACACCACCCACTTCTAGAATGGCTTCATAGAACAGCCTACTGGCCTCCTCATACGCAGGGAAATCATATGGCAGAACCTTGATGTCCGAACAAAGTTCCAGCGCTCGTTTCATCCACATGCCATTCTTGACACCATATCTCCGCGCCGGATAGTTACAAGACGCAATCTCTGACCCTGTGCCGGTGCCGTGTGCCACCACGGCCGGCTTGTCGATATATTCAGGTGCACTCTTGAGAGAGACCGCGCAAAAGAAACTGTCAAAGTCCACGTGCATGACATATCGTCGGGAGCCAGGCCGCCGCTTGATAGCCTTGGTTGAGCAGGTGCCCTTCTCATTGGCGAGCCTTTGCATCTTGGACTTGAGTTCTGCCTTCCATGTGGATAAGTGATGTAGGCGACTCTCTGAGTAGTATTGCTTCAGAAAGTCCGGGTTTGCGGTTGAGGATTTTCTCAGTCTCGGATCGGACAGGAGCCATGCGTTATGCTCCTCGGAAGTTGGCGCAGGGTTGTGGGGTGCAGGGCCGGGTGTATCATGTGGGATTTCCTTGGGAGGTTGCGAGACTGTCTTGTCTTGAATAGACTCATTCACCTCTGCAGCCGGACTTTCCTCACCAACGGAGGTCACGACATCATCCACGCCTGTCTCTGGCGGTTCCTCTGACGCGGGGGACGAGGTTTTGAAATCTGCCATTTCCAGGTCTTCTAGAACATCATCGCCATAGTCATCTTCGATGGTTTCAGGTGCCTTGAGTCTCGAAGGAGTGTACTTGGAAGGCGTCGGGGTTTGTGTCAAAGCAGATGAGCTTGGGAAGTTCACCTTGGTAGCCGGGGTAGCGGGTTTCTTGAATTGGCTTGTGTAGAAGCTGCTCTGGATCTGGTCATGGTAGCCTCTCTGCGGCGTGTGCGCCTGTGAGGAGATCTTCCCATCGTCTCCGAACTTGATGACTTTCTGCCTCGGACCCTCATCGATCACTCGGTAATCAGCCCACGGTAGCATGCGGCCCGCAGCAATCGAGTCCACCACCCAGGCCGGCTTTACTATCCTGTAGCTGCTGAACTCGGTAGCCTTCTTGGGCGTGAGTGACGAGGCGATGATGTGAGTGGCCATGGTCTTCGAGTCCAGGTACTGGAGAAAACCTGCGCCATGTTCGACAAGCTGTTTGTGCAAGACGTGCAGAGGCGGTTGTGTGTATCCAGACACATGAGCGACAACGCCTTTGAAGATCTGTGGCTTGCTGCTGCCCTCACGAAGTTCGGCGTCCAAGTTCTGAAGCTTGATCTTCTTGCGCCGGAAGTAATCGCCGAAGCCTCCGAAGGCGCTGGGTTCGTATTCCTCGCCGGCTTCGTCGGAGAAGGTGTGATCCTGGATGCGCTTACGCACCGCGTTCGAATTCTTCTCAAGACGGCTACCCATTGTGAATGAAGCTCAAATGATGGACTCGAATATCAGCTCTTCTTTCTGTGTAAGCCAAGGTCAGGCAAAAGCGACCTGGAAGTCATAGTGCGGGTATGCCTGAGCAGGCTTCCAAGCAGAGAAACCTGAGCTCAAAGGCTGCTTGTAAGCTCTCTTGGGGTATTAACAAAGCCAGTCATATCAGCTTGAGCATGCTGTCTGTCGTGTGAAAGGCGTGTTTCAATCACGGTTGCGGGTTGAATTGACGTAACGCGTAGACCCGTCGCCACGAACTCAGCTGACCACTCAAAGAACACAACCCTGACCCTTAATGAGCGGCGTCTGTAAGTTGCCTTGGGGGGGGGGGGGGGGGGGGGTGGGGCCTGTCAACCCCCGATTACTTTGAACTCTGAACGTCCGATTCCATTCTGCATCTCTCACCTCGACAATCCACTCTGTGTCTGGATACTCTTGCTCGGATCAGGTGGTACAACATGAACAACGAGCAATTTCGAAAGCTCCTCCTTGCTAACTCGGCCAAGTCGCCGAGCGGAGCTCAGGATGGCGCATCGCCATCTCCACGAGCGTCCGGAGGCGTTGGGACCTCTGCACTCGGGTCTCGACTGAAGTCCAGCATCCCGATGACACCGTGAGTTTCCCAGTCAGCTTGTTGGATTCTGCCCTCAGACTGCATCACTACATCAAGACTGCATGCTGACAGACTTTCTTCGCAGACGATCCGTTGCTGGTGCAGGTGCCGGCCGTCTCGACTTTGCGCGCCAGCTCGCGGAGCGCAACGAGCAAGACCGGCCGAAGAAGAAATTCCGAACCTCCGCGCCCAAGGGCACCAAGTTTGCAGAGGGCTACGTAGATCGCGCAAAACAAAGGCAGTCAGAGCAGGAGGAGGACGACAAGGCTGTGCGGATACAAGCGCTGGAGGAGTCCTTGAAGAAAGAGGAGATCGATCAGGCCACGTTTGAGAAGCTCAGGAACGAAATCGCCGGCGGTGATCTATCAAGTACGCACTTGATCAAAGGCCTCGACTTCAAATTACTCGAGAGGGTCAGGAAGGGCGAGGATGTCTTCAGTGGAGACAAGCCCAACCAAGACAAAGCAGAGCCGTCGCCCGGGGAGGAAGACGAATCTGCGGAAGACGACGTGGACGATGCCTTCGAGCAGCTTGAGGAGAAGGAGGTCACCGCCATCGAGAGGGAGAAGGCTAGGAAAAAGGGACAACTAGCCACCAGGATGTTGGTCCCCGGACAGAAGCGGACACGGGACCAGATCCTGGCAGAGATGAAGGCTGCCCGTGAGGCTGCCAAAGCACAGCAGGAGTCGGCTCTGGGATCAAAATTCAAAAAGATTGGCGCCAAGAAGGAGCCGGGCTCGAGGATAGAGCGCGACGCCAAAGGCAGAGAGGTGCTTATCATTGTCGACGAGGACGGCAATGAGAAGCGCAAGGTCCGAAAAGTTGCAGCAGAAGTCGAGAAAGAGCGGGAATCGTTCAAGGTCGACCCCAACGCCGAAGTGCTGGGCATGGAAGTCCCCGAGTACTACAAGAAGAAGCTGGAGGAGCAAGCCAAGGCCGACGAGGACGTAAATATGTTCTCTGACGTGGGGTCAGACTACGATCCACTAGGTGGCATATTATCAGACTCAGACGACAGTGATGAGCCTGATGATGACGAGCAGAAGAAGGAGGCTAAGACGAAGTCTCATTCACCAAGGAGCGAGGGCGAGGTTGATTCGGAAGGCCGGGTCGCAGTGGAAGAGGACATACCGCCTCCACCGAAGCCGCAAGCGCAACACCCTCGCAACTACTTCAAGTCTAGCTTGATATCTGAGGAACAGAATGCGCGACCGGCCACGAACGACCCGTCGGTGCTGGCTGCCCTCAAGAAAGCAAAGACGCTCAATGCAGCGACCAAGTCGGAGGAAGAACAGAAGGAGGCTGAGAGGCAAGAGAGGCTCAAGAAGATGATGGCGTCCGCAGATCGTGACGCGGAGGATATGGATTTGGGCTTCGGCACGAACCGCCTGGCGGATGAGGAGGAGCTGGCAGACGACGGCAAGACCAAGCTTTCCAAATGGGGCGATGAGGATGACGGTGAAGATGGAGGCGGCGGCAAGTCCAAGCGCAAGCGAGGCCCCAAGAAGAAGAAGGGAGACGTGAATAGTGTTGCAGATGTGATGAAGGTCCTTGAGAAGAGAAAAGCAGCTGAGTCGTAACGACTTGACCACGGCTCAGGGGAGCAGCTGCTCATTTGCGTCGGTAGCCAAATGCTGAATTGATGATACCCTCATGCACAGCCATATTACTACAAAATTCAATCTTCTCTTTCTATTTTGTGAAATCACCGTGCAGGAAATGGTTCATTTACCGTACTATTGCTCAATGCTGAGTGTGATGCAATGGTGTCTTTGATTCCACAATCTCCACTGAGCTGCTGCACACATGTGATAGAGCCGCAAGCGCGCTTTGTTGCCGGGGGAAGCGCCGCAAAGAAGTGGGCGGCTTTGACCTCCGCCTCGGCGACCGCCTCTGCGATAGACCGAACAACTGGCCGTGGCTGACCGTGTCGTTTGCTGCTGTCCCTTGCAACAAACTCCAGCTACAACTAAGCATTCGCTCTCCTCTTCATCTGCCGAAAGGCATTCTCGCAGCCACGCCTTAAAGCTCCCCTCATTAATTCTTACCCATCCAAGTAACCACACATACATACAGCATCCTGCCGAGATGACTGAGGACGAGAGAGTTCCAGTCTGGCTGGACGCCGACCCTGGCCACGACGTGAGTTACATTTGCAGGCATCTCTGATCCTCAGGCCTGCTCTTTAAACTTTGATAATGGGCGGTCTGAGACAACTTGCGATCCGGACTGATCGTGAGGCTTCTGCACGCCTCCCTCCCACGGGCATAGTTGGAGACGGTCCGCCTTCACCGCAACTCATGTCCCCAGCTCATCCGGAAACTCCTTTGATGACGAAACTTTAGTTCGCCACGCTGACCACAGTCCAGGACGTCTTCGCCATCCTCCTGGCAGCATATCACCCAGGCATCAAGCTTTTGGGCATATCAACCGTCTTTGGCAATGCCCCGTTAGAGTATGTTCACCCCCAGGGTTGTGCTCGTCCCGGACCGCGCCCATCGGAAGGCCGAGAAGCATGAATGGCCCAAGCCTGCGGCGCGCCTCTCTCTCTCTCTTGCTTTGGCGGATCCCGGTCCCGGGGGGGGGGGGGAAGCATACCAACGTTTCGACCATGGAGCAATACGAGGAAAGGGAGGGAGCCCGTAGCTGACCACATCCCGCGCTCACCAGGAGAACGACGTGGAATGCCACCAGCGTGCTCACGGCCATTGGGCAACATGAGCACATCCCCATCTACCCGGGCGCCTCGTCGCCCCTCCAGAGGCCGCGCCTGTCCGAGAATGCCGAGGACATTCACGGCGAGAGCGGCCTGGATGGGACCACCCTGCTGCCCGAGCCGCTCGTCCAGCCGCGAAGGGACGTGGCTGCCATCGATGCCGCTGCTACCGCCCTGCGGGCGTGTAAGCCAGGCACGGCGTGGGTCGTCGCGACGGGCAGCCTGACGAACGCGGCCAAGCTGTTCCAGACGTATCCGGACTTGATTGGTCATGTCAAGGGGCTGAGTCTCATGGGAGGTGCAGTGGGCGATGGCTTCACCAGCGCTGTGTATGGCATTGTTGATGGTAAGGCTCGCATTGGAAACTGGACGCCCTGGGCCGAGTTGTAAGTGTGCTACGTTTTTCTTGTTCTGTTTATGCCCTTGGGATTCCCTGTGGTGTCGCCTGCGTCCGAGATGGAAGCAAGCGTCGAGGTCCTGCCCTCAGCGGTGCTGTAACCTAGCTTTCGTGAACAGACGTGGTCATGGGACAAAACAAGTGTTATGTCTGTGAATACTCCCTTGCCTATGATACTACATTAAACATCCGAGCATGGCCAATGTCACATCGCTAGACCCAGATCTGACCATCTTACTGATCCATGAGTAAATAGCAACATCATCATTGATCCCGAGGCCTCGGCGTTCATTTTTCACACCAAGGAACTCGCAGCCAAAACGACCATCTTGCCTCTCGATACGACACATCTTGTGCTCGCGAGGCAGGATGTTCAGGAGCTTCTCCTCTACGGTGCTGACAAGGTGTCTCTGAACGACTCGAAGACGGAGCCGGTCGAGACCACCGGGCCGAGGATTGGCAAGACCGTGCTCCGAACGATGCTCGTCGAGTTGCTCATGTTCTTCGCAAAGACGTACAAGTGAGTGTAGACTTCGCTTCGGCCAGCCACGATCTCCTTCGAGATTCATCGACGCTAATGACCTTGTCTGTGCTTTACAGGGACGTATTCGGCATCATTGAAGGACCTCCTCTGCACGACCCGCTGGCGGTAGCCGCCGTGCTGACGGGCACCAAGTGGGAGATTGCCTTTGATGAGTGTGACCCCAACTCATCCTCGGACAACCCGAACAAGCGCGAGCGATTTGCTGTCCAGGTCATCACCGAGGGTACCCACGACGACGCCCTACACCGGGGCTCTCAGCTGGGCCGGACCCTCGCAACGTTGCTTCCGGCTGGGGAGGAGGGCGTGCGGATACCGAGGGGCGTCGACACCACAAAGTTCTGGCAGGTTCTCGAGGAATGTGTCCAGCGTGCCGACGAAGCGAACGCTGCCGGCGCCGCCGCACCGAGAAATTAGGTGATCGGGCCCGTGTCATTGAGGGACGGTCCATTACGCAATGAGCCTCCACCGGGCCTCAGCCGCTGCTACGGTGCTGATCAGGCTTTCATCAGGCCTCAAGCAGCAAGCCACAGAGCTGCGTAGCTGGTGAAGGTCACCCCTGCTCTCATACCAGATCTTCTGTAGCATCCATCACTTGATACTGTGTAGATAGCATAGAATCCATTCATCTTTACCGCACCGGGAAGACGTGAGACCAGTCCAGAAGCTAATGGTCGCCAAGTCACACCCAAGCCGGGCGAGAAGCACGCGAGACCGTACGGGATCTGCCCCGTACAGTGATGCCATCCCCCCCCCCCCCAAAAAAAAAAAAAAAACTCTCCTAGCCTGCCCTTCCCTTCCCTTCTCTTCGAAAAGCCCCCAGCCACCCTCTCCGCGCCTTTCCTCTTCGACCCTCAAGGCCTCCTAGCACTATTGAGAATTTCCTCTTCCGTCACGTCCATCGCCGCGCGATGTGACCGTGACCCTCTGGGCAGCCCGGCGCCGATCGCAAGTCTAACGAGGTTCGGGGGACGTGACAAGCCACACCCGTCAACCACTACCGTCACCGGAACGCGACCGCGCTTGGTGGAGGTCAATGGCCTGTTTTTTCTCCCGCTCTCTGGCCATGCGGCTTTCTCCTTGGGTATGGAGCCCCCATCCCGCTGTCCCCCGGTATCTGGCGTCTGCTCCGATCTCAGATAGGCGAGATGTCAATGCTACGGTGAATTAGGGTTTTGCTCTTTCATTTCCCCATCCCGCCATGCCAAAACAGCCCCCACTCCAGCCAGAGTCTCACATTGGAGCCAAAAATCGAGGGATAGCTTTGCGGTAGTCACATAGACAGACATATCACCAACGGCATCCTATGCTTCAGCCAAGTGGTGATAGCAAGGAGGCTGTGCGGCTCCTCGACAAGCCACCCATGAACTCAGTTCAGGAACAGGACAGCTCCCACGACACAACGGCCGAACTGTCGTAATGCAACATGCTATAGGTGTGGCAGGGGGGTGGGGAATTCGCATCGCATGGTACACAAGTCACCCATCCTGCAGGATACATCATCTCACTGACGAGTAAAGATGACGCCTGCGGCTCGGGAGCGTGTGAATCTACGCGAAACAACACAGACTTTTCCTCTTCACTGCACACCGGACAAGCCAATCGCCCGCTGAGCCACTGTCAAGCGTGACCCTGTTTGCTGCTGGACGGCTCATCCCAGGGCTGATCGTCGGCATCAATGTGCGAGGTCGTAGCCCATCTGCAGAAGATACCCCCCCCCCCCCGGGGCCGTCCCATCTCCATGAGCAGCAATGCCAGCCCCAATATAAGCATTGCGCAACACCCAGCACCCAGGTAATGCAGGACAGGGCCCGCGCAAGGGAGGGCATGCGGGAGCACAGGCGTCACGCATCCATCACGACGCGCGACACCTGCCTGCCTCTCTGGCTAGATCGGACGGAATAACTTGCTCAAAACCTCCCATACGCGCACATCTTTATAGTGCGTCTAGGGTTTTCGGGGGAGGGAGTTTGGTCGACGGAACAAAAGAGAGAGCTGTGGGCAGGCTGTACCGAACCGACCCGGCTCGCCCGAGACAAACCCGCAAGGCTGTGCCTGTGCCTTGGTCGACACCTTGGGGAAGGCTTGGAAACCTGGCTGGCCACGCATGAATGCACAGCACCGGACTTTCCGACGGCGGCCTCCGTCTGCAGAGTTCGGGTTGGTCTGGTGATCTCAGGCGATCATATGCACTTTCTTAACGGTCCTGTCAAAGTAGAGTGCGAGGCTGCGAGAGATAGTGATCGTATAGTAGTCAAAAGTCATCCAAGATTTTAGCCTGTTCTACACGTTGGAAACAAACGGGCCACGGCCGCAAAAACAACCGAATTGGGCATTTTGGACGATGACATAGCATCCGTATCTGATTAGCGCTCGAGCCCGGCTGTCATCTTGACATACACAGCGATGGTATCACAAAGGCGTGACACCTTAGATGTGACTCGGCAGTGACGGAGGTTTAAGATTGTCTCCAATATGCGATGCGTCCATCTGAGAACGTCAAACTGCACGACATCCATGTCCACCTCCAGAGAACAGACTCCAAGCCTCTGAGCCTCCCGGGCACCGACACGCAAAAGCCCACCAAACCTGGCTTACGTCGTAACACAAACGCCCGTGCCACCATCTGTCAAATGGCAGCCGGCCGTCAGAAGAGCAGGCAACTCTCCCCGAGATCTCAATCGCGCCCGGATGGCAACCTGTGGTACCCACAGACGTGCAGCACGAAAAAGAGAGAAAGAGGAGAGGAAAAAGCCGTGCACCCGGAGTTCTACCGGATCACCCATTGATCAGGATCTCGTTCGGCGCTCTCGGTCGAAGAGGGAGACCTGAATAGCATCGCCCGCTCGTATCAACATATGTCCTCGCACTTGCAAGGAAACACAATACCGCCGCCATAAAGCCTCGTCAGCGTGCTTTGGGCAGAAAAGCATCCGCGCAGCCTCTGCCCGCCCGAAGGCAAAACAACATCATCATCATTATCATGCCATACGTAGATGTATACGCACACAAACACCCATGGAACATCGAAAAGGTGTTCCAGAACGTGGCAGAACCTCGACCGCTGTGTCGCTTGTCACCGAGGGCGTCCGGCCGGAGCAGACTGCCCACAACGGTACGGTGGGAAGAGGATCCCTCGAGGAGCGCTGCAACGTGCCCATGGCCCTCGGTGTACACACCGGCGTCGAGGTACGCATTTCAATGCGGTCCTAGTAATTGACGGGGGCCACTTCCAACTTTGTCGGAGTCCAAAATAGTTTTGAAACAGCCGAGGCGGGCGGCACCGGCGTATGGGGGGATCTGAGCAGCCTGGTGAAGGGACGGCCGCACTGTAGCAAAAGTCCTCGCCAGCACCTTGCCCTTGGTCAGCCGCTTCGTGGGCCACCAAAGCAGAAAAGCATGGGGTGCCCCAAGGGATCTACGCGTCAACCTTCTCTCCCGATGCTGCTCTCGACAGGGCATCCTGCCCATCACGGCCGCAGGCCCGCTTGGGTTGTTCCGTGATATTGCGATGAGGAGATCTACGGCTTGTGTCCTGACCTGATCTGTCCTGGTAGTTGGGACGATGCTGAGTCGAGCTAAGGCAGGCATCTCCTGGTATTATGTTGACAAGATAGTCCCTGTCGGACAAAGTCTGCTCTCCGCACAAACCTGAGATAAAGCTGCCAATGACGAGACCTGACCGAAGCAGCGTAGCCCCAATTGGCCAGATCGGCAGACACCAGCAGGCGAGCAGCACTTGTGGGCGATTGGGATAGCCCACCCAGCTGAACTCTAAAACATCGGACTGCATAGATTGATTGTCTGGGTTAATGGCATGGAATCCAAGCGACAGAGAGCTACTCGTACCTGGCAGATCCTCCGAACCTTGATGCTGCCGCATCCTCGTCCCAGTGTCCTGGCAGCCAACGAGATGCCAATCGCAAGACACCGTCCCGAGGCGTTGCGTAGCGGGAGGCACGGCCGGCCCCCAAAACGGTCTGCACGGGCTCTCAAGGTTCAGGAAAGCGTCCTGCAGGATCTGGAGAGCACTGTGAGGGTGTGGTGACTCGGGTGAGGGCATAGGATGGCCTCCCCAATGAGAACCCGATCGCGATGCCAAGCAGTCAGCGTGCATATGCCGAGGTCGGGTCCAGACGAACGGGTCACCCCGAGGGCATTGGCATGCAGTGCCTAAGCCTCGCCCCCATCATAATACCTTTGACCTTGGTGCCACTGCCAAATGTCTGCATCGGCCAGGATGCATCAGGATCCCCTACGACCTGCCCAGAAAGGCAATCATCCCCTTTGAGGAAAGAAAGAGGGCGCTGCCTGGGAAGGATGTCAAAGTACAGTACATCGAAACGTCAGTGATAAGGGCAACGTAGCCTATCTTTCGTGCGCGGCGCCGACCAGCCTTAAGCAGTGGTAGAGATCAGCCCCGCCGAGACGCATCATCATTAGGATGCAAATGGGAGGTCCTGCGATCTGCAACTGCGTCACCAAAACCACCCGTTACGTCGAGGCTTGGAGGTTTGCTGCCAATTCGGGCGACAGGGTGGAAACGGCGGGCACAGAACAGGCTCGGCCATTTTGCAATCGAGCCGTCTATTGATTACCGAAGGCAGGCCTAGCACTGCACCATTGCTCTGGGCTACGTCAGGCCATGCCGCCGGGCAAAGTCTTCAACCCGCCCGCGACTCTAGGCCTCTGAGCTGCCCCGAGAAAACCGTAGCCTACAGCGCAGCCTAGGGGAGTCCTTGATGCAGCAAGGACCGCGGCAGACGCCTGTGGAGGTAGAAGTAGTCTACCAGGTCGGGGTCGGGCTCGTACTCGCTACTTGGCCGGCCGTCAATCATGGCAAGAGGCGCAGCTGGAGGGGACAGCCATGATGTCTCTCCAACGTCGACGTCAATATCCCTCTGACGCTGATGCGTGCGAGTCCAGCAAGTGAGCAGCGAGACAGGGTTTCCAGAGCTTCCAGACCGTGAACCGTATCTGCGGTTCCAGCTTTTCGGCGCGCATGGGACAGCCTGCAACATGCGACCTGCACCCCTGCGTTTCCCCCTCAGTTGGCGTCGAGTCTGCTAGCCCGCTCAGCACCCAAGCAGCCATTGAGCTTCCAGTTGGCCCTGCAGTAGTGCCCCTTCTTCCTGTAGCTTCGCAACCACCACGCAGCCAGTTGCAGACAGCACATGGCCGGGTGGTTTCAGGTCTGAGACTTTCCCGCTTTCAACAGCCCAGAAAGAGCATGCTTCTGTCAAGCTTGGGTGATCGCCAACGGTACCCTGAGGAGGACCGATTTCCTCTTATGGGCACTTTCGTCCTAGAGCCGTAGCCAACAAGCTTAGCTGCAGCGCGGATCACAGCAACAGGAGATGCTGCTGCATATGGGAGTGCGTGGCATGTGACATTGGCTGCTTTTTTACCCAGAAGACTACATATGTGCTGCCGTAGCACACCCAGTAGGAGGATTCGAGCTCGGTCCGTACTCCGCGCATCCTGTCTTGGCCTGGTTTCCGACTGCGCCAATGGGCAGTTGATGCATCCGTCCCGAGTGCCACTGCTTGCAACATCCAGGCACGTTCCTGCAGGTCTTACACTGCCTCGATGAAAGTCCATGCGGCAGATGGCCTGACAGGCCAGGCTCTTGCTTTTGAGACGGCAGACAGATTCTGGATCTGAGACACTCCCGGGGGCAGAGAGGAAGCTGTCAAACGGCGGGGTACCCATACCGTTGAGATTGCGGTCCCATCCGAGACAGTCTGGCAAGAAGCAGCATTAGAACGATCGTCGCCCTCGCCGTCCACCGCCTTACCACATCAAGCCTAGAGATGGAGACCCCATCGACGGTGTGCGAGGCAGTTGGGGGAAGAGCCCCACGGCCAGGTCTTGGAAGATTGTCGAGAGGCGATCGCCGGATGCTTCGAAGAACGAGGCCATACGTTATCTCTCGTAGCAGACATCCCAATGCAACCACCCCCACGAAGGATGCGTGTACAAAGTCACTCGTGGGGTCGCTTCTGCGGGATGAACTGTTCTCTCTGCCCTCGCAGGAATAGAGGAGCTGGGGAACAACAGCAGAGAAGGCGGTCTGGTGCCGCTAATGTGTCCCAACTTGCGTTCGCGAACATTCCGCGTGCTACTGCACCGCACACCGACTGTGACGGCCTCCTCTTGCCCTGTTGGCAAGCATGTTCTGAAATCCTTCTAGACTGACCCAAGGCCGCGATTATGTTTTCGATGGAAAATGTCGCTCGGCGTGGCCGCGACTGTCCTCATTTCATGGATAGCGACGGTATGATCGCCGCCTCAGTGTAAACATTGCCTATGCTGCTAGGTCGCAGCATCGTGGACCTCAATAATACTGGCCGGCAGACTATTGGCAGCCAGGGATTGGCTGAATCAAAGCGTCGGGCGATGTTGGACGCATGCGATAAATGAAGTGGATGGCGCGAGTCAAATTGAAGCGGCGACGCAGAGCCGACCTGGACCCCGCCGAGCCAGCAGGCCTACCAGGCGTGCCCACTCTCGCTCCTACGCCGCCTGTTCGAAGCACCTCTCTGCGCCCGCTGAAACCTTCGAGAAGGACAAGGAAGGCTCTGCTAGCCAGGACCGCGGAATTGCCAATTGGTCACCGGCCCCGCAACTCTGCTGCATTGATGGAGACAACAGGGACATCCTTACCACCGTGCGTGGAGCTCGAATAAATCCGAAGAAAGTGCGTGCCTAATGGATGTGTGAAGAGTCAATACAATGTCGCCAGCGAAGGCACTATCATCTCGACAAGGCTCACCGATCAGAGAGCGCACCCACGGGGTTTCCACACCGATCCTCTGCAATGCATCTCTCGTCCGCATGGCATAGTACTCTTCAAGACACAGAGTCGGCCCAGAGCTCACCGCATCGAACTGCCAGAGTCGAGTATGTGAATTGTACGGCGGGGTGACCCATGGACCCTTGCATGGAGCTTAACCCTGTTCATAAAACGTTGTTTAAGTCTGCCGCAGCCGTCTTCCCTCGGCAGAGATTCTACCGCTACTGTGTGCCTGCAAAGCGTGAATTTGGTGGTTTCTCGATCAGTCAGAGGGCTGAATGGATGCACATCGGCACAACAAAGCCATATACTCCTCTTGAATAGTTCCCAATGCCGATAGTGTCTGCGATTGTGCCGCTTAAGTCCGCTCGGTACCTGACAGAAAATGGTCAGGTGATGCAGAGATAGGCGAGTTGGTCGCCATCCAGGTTGTGAGATCCCCACGGTGAAGCTTTCGATGCTCAGAGGATCCAGGCCCGCAGAGATGGTACGACAGATTGCAAAGCCTAGGGGGTCCCTGTCTGCTTCATGCGAGCCAGTGTGGGAATCCGGGGCAGCAAGCTGCTTGGGCCGGGGAGGTCGGCCTTTCCCATCAGGGCCCTCTTTGGGCCGTCTCTCGAGCCACCGACCAAGAACCTGACGGCCACCCGCGGCCCGCAAACCAGCGGTCCGTAATGGTACTAAGCCCCAGCTGGTCCGCACCTCGACCCGAGGATTCGATGTCGAGGTTTCCAGGCAGTCTGGCAGTCCAGCCGTGCATCCCAGTCCACTCGATCATCTTGTAGTAGTAGCTTGGCCGCCACGAACTTGGCCGCCTGCCAAACGTTGGCTCGAGGAACAAGAGACCTGAGACCGTGGTAGTACTTCGTAGCCAATACCACGATACTAGACCACATTGATCATGTGAAAGAGGTATTTATCCAAAGCCGGCTAGCAGCTGTCTGCAGTGGGTACGTCTCTGGCCAAAACGGTGCTTGCAGCGAAGATCTAGCAACGCTGTGGGGAATCATACTGTAGTATGGCACATGTCTCGTTGTCCGTGTTCGACGGGGCTATAGGGTGACTGGGGACACGGCGAAGGCCATCTGCCGGCAGTCGCAGATGGAGCAACAACGCATGGCCAGTCTAGAATTCCCTTCAATGACGTGCCGCCACTACTACCTGATCCATCTGAGTCGTCGAAAAGGTCGACGGACACTTCCGAGAGGATTCAAAGGACGATGGATCGTGGCAACTGGACTTGAGACGATGTTGAGTTGTGATGCGAGACGTTCCAGTGCAAAAACGAATTCGATGACCTCGGACATCAATCAAACTAAGTTCGATCAGCACCCGTCAGCACCCAACAGATTGGTGGCGAATTCGGACCGCGAGCAGGCAATCCATGATAAAATCGCGCTTATCTAGGCCCAGGTCCTTGAGCCCGGCGACGTGGAAAGGCAGCCGCAGATCACCTCCGCCAAGCACTGGCGACGAGGGCCTCGACGAGAGGGCCTCGATGTAAGGGCCGCCGCCTGCTCTCACATGGTAGGAGCTGCTCGACACCACTGGGCACCGTGGCTGGACTTTTGGACCAACGATGGTGGCACCCGTCAAACCACAGCACTCGTTAGCGAGAGCCTCTGCCGGTTCCGGCAGCCCTAGACCCTGGCGTGGATGCAACGCTGTGGTGCAGAGTTGTCAGGTTCCGCTGCTTAGCGAGGCCTGACAGATGGATACAGGACCACGGTTCGCGGGAATTTAGCAAAAGACGGTCTGACGGCTCATGGGCAACGGGAAACGGGGCCGGGCAGTAGTCCCTTCAGCATACACAGTACAGAGTTGCGAATACTGTGTGCAGAGTGAGCAAGGGCTCGGTGTCGGCGAGACTTGAGGGCATGAGGGCCGCGAATGACTCGGGAGAGACGACGGGAGGGCCCGCCGGGTCTGCTGTCCATCTGCGCTCCAGATCTCAGCAAGAGACCAGATCTGAACGTCCATCAGGAACGGGGTGGTCGAAGGCGATTATGAGTTAGCAACCACCAAGAGCTCTTCCTTCAGCCCGTCGTTGCGTCCCAGGCTTGGGCTGCTGGCTGGGGGTTGTCGTAAGACGAGCCGACCGATTTTCGAATTTTCCGCGTTCCGTGAACACGCAGTACCTGCATTAGATTGGCAAGGTTGTATGCAGGTACGAGAGGCTGCCACCAGCGCCGAGGGCCTAAGGTACCGCAGAGGCTGAGCTACATGGTGGCCGCGGATGTACCGACCAGGACGGGGAACTCAGAGGGCGGAGACGACAGGGGGTTTCATGGAGGGGAGCCCAGAAACCCCTCACACAGTCTCCAAACGGACCAGACGGGGCAGCAACCTGGAACCTGACAGATCGACTGGAGTTGGTACTGCGCATTTATGACAGGCTTCCAGAAGGGGACAAATGACCGCCCGCAGAATGAAGCAGGAACGTCTGCATTACGGCTTGCGGTGGAGAAAACGGAGACGATCGGTCCATCGGATCATGCAAACCAACGCAATCAGGTGACAAGACCATGCCCGGCGGGCGCAGGCCTCGCAGGCCCTGCAGGAACACCGTGTGCTAGCTGGTACGACAGTGGGCAAGCTGGCAGGGCATGCAAACCCTTCACCGTGGGCTGGATCGGGAAGGTAAAGACTCCGTGGACGGCAGACAGGGCGATGACGACGGTCGCTTGGCCCTACAACAGCTAGCATGCACTGCACGCACAGCTACATGCAGTACAGTGCTGTACACCGTGGGGTACTGCTGGGTGTCGAGGTCCTGCGATGACACATGTTATCCGTTGGTTCAAGTGTCTCTAGCGGAAAGCGCATCCTTGTCCGGGAGCAATACTGTACGGTAGTATACCCACCGGTTGGCTGTCGAACGAGGATGGGGTCGTCCAAAAGGATCATCAGCGACAGCCGTTTGCTGTGTTATACAGGTAGTATTAGTATAGCCAACCACCTTTGCGGCAAAACATGAAACAAGAACCAGTGGATGGACTGGGCGCAAGTTCGCCCACCCATTTTTTCCATCTAGGCTGGGAGAGTCGCATTGGTCGCCCGATCGAGCCATTTTGTGCATAGTAGTGTCGTTCTGCTCACTCTACTGGTCGAGGAGGACGGTCCAGTTCGGAGACTAGCAGTCGTACTAGGAGGTATGTTTCAAATTGTGGAAAGCAGAGGGCAGGTGGCCGTAAGAGCGCAGATCTGCGTCCCGTGGTCGCATGTCCTCCGTCGCATGTCTTCTGTCGCAGGTGCTCGTACGGTTGCAGTCCTAGCTTGTGACCTATGCCACGGCAGGAGTTGAGACGAGCTGTCAGTCGGGCACAGGAAGCGGGAGCGGGAGTGGGAACGGAAGGCGGGAGCAAGCAGTCCCATCGTGATGCCTTGGTGGAGTGGCCCTAGGGGGATTGATGAGAGTCAGAATTGGGGGTCTGCCCGGCGTGTGTGTGCTGACACACACGAAAGAGGTCTTGCCGTCTCAATATAGAGAACTATTTGCTGAACTAATAGGAGGCAACTGCCTAGTACTTGCTTGTGCCAAACACCGAGGGAAGGTGCAACTAGTTGGTCTCACAGCTGCCACCGCCTGTATCTGGCGGTCCCTGGTCTTATCGACGCATGCACCCCCGCTTGGGGCTTGAGGGCGTCCACATGGACCGGCAACCAGCGCCATCAAAGCTTGAGCGACAGGCAGTCTGGAAATTGATCTCGCCCGCCATACCCGATGCTCTGGGTTCATTTACCACCATGCTGGACTGGCCTGGCCTAGACTAGGGCTGATGGCTTCTGGCAAGCAATTCGACAGACGCCAGCCCAGATCCTGCAACAGCCACAACAAGACTATTACTTGTACAGATCACACTTCGCACCCCACAGACCGTAGTCCACAGTCCACAGCCCACGGATCACAAACCAGGACTACAGATCACAGCGCGCGCGAGCCGCTGACAAGTTCCAACGGCGTCAACATGTGAAGCTGTACCCGTCCGTAAGAGAGGCTGCCGTTGAATATCCAAGCGAAACTGCCGCCCACTGCAACCTGCACCTGCAATCGAGGCTGCCCAAAGCGTTACGCCAAGCACCCAGGGCACCCATAGCCAGACCGGCGCGACACCACCAACGCACGCAAGCCCCAAACAGCCTGAGCAAAAATCCGTGCGCCGCCTTCTGACTGGTCGTGGTGTCAAGTGCTTGCAGCATGCTTCAGGGCAGTGGGCTCTCTCAACTGGCTAATGCGGCTCATCCGGCGTCTTACCCAAGCCTCTGGTTGGCCTCTAGACCGGGGATATGTGCATTTCGTCACATCGACTCTATTTCCTCGTTTTCCTCTCCTCTGCTGGCGCCGCCGATGGTCCGTCATCGCACACTCTTGTTCCCTGTGTTTGGGTACCAGCCAGGCCAGCCAGGCCTGGGAGATGAAGTGCAGAGAATATGCCTCGAGAGTGGGCCGCGCCGCATCAAAAGAACTCCACAAACAGGGCTGGCTGCTATCATGGAGGCAAGATGCGCGTTGCGATCCCCCATTCGTTGCCACCGTTACTTGCAAGGAACCGCCGGCGAGCCTCATGACGCATTGTCTGGCTGAAAGCTCGCGAGCGATGCCCGCTGGCTGCCCGCTTGGGGGGAGGGGGGGAAGGAATTCGTCCAGTCACCAACTTCGGTCCCGTACACTTGACGATGATATGCACGCGCCTCCAAGATGCAGTCATTAGGCCGTTCGACGCGGGTGCGATATCACTCAGTCGACTTATTCTTGGATGCGTCGTCAACAGAGTTTTCCTCCTCCTGAATTGGAAGTGATCCTACTGTTACCGTCACAGTGTCCTTTTTAGACCCTCTGCCGTCAGCGTCGGTCCGAACTATCAAATCTCACTGCAGATTTCGGATTTTTTTTTTCCAAGATCCGATTACCACTGCTAATGCGGCCTTGCGTTCAAATTTGGCTTTGGGTTACGTCTTCAGCCTTTGGTGTAATATATCTCGTGTGCCCGAAGCAACTTTACCCGCCGGGCCACTGCCCGTAACTGGGCAGTCGGCCTCGGTCTCAGAGGACGCAGCAACGTGAGCGCCGCAGCTCTGCGCATTGCCACCTCGTTTTCCATGCGCCACGGCTCATCCTCGGCCGTGACTATAGGACGGCATTCTCAATGCTATTATTGACTCAAGAGGCCTCATCAGAAGATCGGCTGCCGCGCTTGACAGAACAAACCCACTTTGCATGTTTCGACTTCCCGGGTCGACTGACAAGCGCGGTGGCGTGGCAAGTAGCTAGGCATGGGAAGTGCCTGAAGATCACCGACCACGCATGAACTCTAGTAGGGCCAAGTACTGCACATGTGCTGTGCCATGCCGAACAGAGCCTAAACCTCCGGTGCTGTAGCGACAGGCACACCAAGCCATCACACATCAACAGTCACGGTGGCCGCTGGATCGGCGCTTTGAACGGTGACGGCGCGACGCTTGGATGAAAGCTCGTCGGCAAACGGGCGTTTCTGATGGGAAGTGTCTCGCAGTCATCTCAGCGTCACGTTCTGCACAAACTTTGGGCACATTCACCACGCTTAGCGCAGGCATGGCACTTCCAGTCACCCGTGTCGGGGAGAGTCATTGGGCGAGCCACAGGACGTCAGGAAGCGAATGAGTGCGTCGAGTTGCAGTTCTGCACGCGGACAGGCGGACCAGTCAGTCGTCGGGCGCGAGCGACATGCTGAGCGATTATGTGGTAAGCGGCTGTCCTACGAGTACCATCCTATCAAGTGGAGCAGAGCCCCACTTCCTCGCCGGCGTTATGCACAGCACAAGAAAGGCACAGTATGTCTTTTGTGCGGTACTTGTGGGGTTCTGCTGGGCCCGGATCCCAACCAGAAGCTGGGAACAAATTCAAGCACAAGAGCCAGCCTGCACAAATGACAGGCAAATTGTCATAACCCACCAATTTCAGCGCCCTCTCGACTTTGTGCGCTCGGCGTGCCACCCTCCTGCGGTGATAATGGGGTACCTGTGGCTTTCCCACAGTGCCTTCAAAATTGTGAGCGACAACGCGTATGAGGAACCGCATGACAATGCTGCACTATCATTGCACGGAGCTGCTCCTGCGCCCGCTCGTGTCAACTCGAATGAGAGACCGGCTCTTGCCTCCGCGCCCGGAAGCTGACTCTGCCATCTCGACACGATCAACTGAGGATTCAAACGTCAGAGATGCCCACTGTGGCTCGTCTGCCTGCCCGACGACAGAGCCCCCGGGGTGACTGAGGTCTTGCCCCGACGTCTAGTTCAGCTACAAGCGCAGAAAAAGCCTGCGCGGTGGCAAACAGTCATTCGTATGCTGCCGACAGCTGAACATGCCCTGTCCATCAATGCTCGTACTGAGCATGCCACACGCCTCCTCTGTACCGGGCAACTGACCAGTAACCGTGCCAAACGTCAAGCGGTCTGTAGACTCTTGTCTTGAGAAGCTGCACAGTACTGGGGGCCTTGCTCGTGCTGTTCCGTTTGTGAGCTGCGAGGTGTCGTATGTGGTGGGCTCGCTGGGCTCATCATGCACTTAGCAGTAGTGCCCGCCCAAACTTCGACCGGCGGACCAGCACACACGTCCTCTGTCTGGTGCTGGGGTCCTTGCTCTCCACCGCTGGGGCCCTAGACCACTCGGGACCCCGGGACTGCCATGGGACCCACGACCCTGATGGGCCTTGTACCCATCGTCGCGCGGTACATCCGACCTCACGGTCACAGAGAGGTCGCTAAAATAGGATCCGGCTAGCGCACTCTGTCCACCCACCCAGCACCCAAGTTCCTCCCACCATGTCCAGCCCCCTGCCCCAGACATGCGAGCAGGGATGCTGTTTCTGCACCGTCTCGCCCGCCGGGGTTCCGGGACTGGAGCCCTCGTCAGCGGCGGGTGCAAGTGAGACAAGCAGACAAGAGGAAAGGTGGGCAAGGGTGGAGGTCTGGTTGGGCCATGGGCAGGGTCATGGTGCATAGCATCCCATTCCGCGGTGTGGTGGTCCAAGACCAGGGTAGGGACCGGGAGACGAGCCTGTGCCCCCCCCCCAGTCAGTGACCTCCTCTACCCTTTCTAGGCAATACACCCATTCGCTGGTGGTGCTGATCCTTTTTGGGAACCTTTCGACTATACACTTGCCCTCACTCTTTACATATTCTCTGGGGTTTGCCCTTCACCACGCTCATTCTTGTTTCCACTTCGTGATCGGCAGATAGCTAGACGTTTCCCTCTTCCATTTACATATTGGTTCTTCCTTTCTTTACCGGACTCGACTTTGGAATATCCATTCCATCCCCTCTTTCAGTATAACTCGTTCTTGAGACTACGTACAGACGACAACGCGTCCTCCACTCTCTCTTACCGCCTTGTATCCTTGACCGTCAACAGAGTCAATATCCAAGACCCGGTCCCTCCCAGACGAGTTTATGTATAACAGTAGCCCACGAGCATCCAACTAGACAGTTCTCACCTCACCGACTTGAGACTGCCAACCATTCCTTGAACCGGATCGATCCGACACCACACCATCGCTAGGCCCACTTGCCTCGACAACAGCATCTCTTCTCGAAGAGACGTGTACAATACCCCACCACCACGTCGTATACATAATATCGTAACTGCAGACCAGAGAGCAGAGTCGGACAAGGACAAAGATCATCGACCATAGCTTGGTGGGTGGACATCATACCCGGCACGTGTTGACCACAGAGCACCTCAAGGCTGATGCATTGATACAACAGACCAGCACCACCACAATGGAATCCATGATGGCACAACAAGCAATGGGCCCGGCCTTCTTCTACTACAGCCCAGACCCCAACCCAGAGAACAGGCACCACGGGCACTTCATCCCTCACCCTCAGCCTCAATCACACCACGCACACCCATACGCACCCCACGCGATGCCCCAACAGATGCAGATGTTCCCTCAGGTGCCGGTGCTCCCCTCGACACCACTGCCCTCAACGCCAGGCTTCTCCAGGCCCAGCTCTTCATGCTCACAGCCGCCCATGCACACCCAGGGAAAGCACAGCTTCACCAGTGCTCCCCAGCAACAGGTGCTCACCCCTCAGGCGTCCCCAGTCCGGGTTCACCAGGCCCTCCACAGGCCAACAATTGTCCTGGACACGGTCAAGTTCGACGAATCTGAGGGCATGTGCTACCCCCAGACCCCACCACTGTCAGCCGCAGGCAGTGTCATGGGCAGCCCTGGCAGCTGTGATATGCTGGCGACGCCTCTCAACCCCATGTTCTCGGGCCTTGAGGGCACACCGATGGGTATCAAGGAGGAAGTCGATGTTCTGCCCGTTGAGCAGTTCCCCATGCTCGAGTGGAACACATGCTCCTCGCCGCCAATGACACCAAGTAAGTCGAAACCCATCACTGCATTACCCTGAGCTGCGAAAAGTGGACTAGTCCCGTTGTGGACATTGTATGGAAATGACAATGGCATTGTTCTGCGAGACACCACCTCAATTGCGCATAGTGGGTTTGGCCCAAAAGAGAAGAAAACCCAAATATCGGAGCGTTGCCCAAGAAAAGAGAGAGAAAAAAATGGAAAAAAAAAAAAGACGCACCAGGGAAAAGAAAAAGAAGAAGAAAAAAAAACCCTACCGCTCACAATTGCTTTGCACATTTCCTTTTTCACCACAGCTGTGGTGCATTTTGATCGCAAAGAAAAAAGAGTGCTGACAAGTGGCTTTTCCCCTCCACAGTGTACCTGCCCCAGCAGTCGCCATACCAGGCACACGCCCAGGCGCAGGGCCCGGCTCAAGCTCAGGCACAGGCCGCCCAGCCCCAATTCTGCGCATCCGCGCCCGCATCCCCTGCTCCGGGCCACCAGACCGACCTCGCCATCACCAGCTCGTCTATCTCGTGCCCATCTCTCTCCCCCTGCCCCTCGCCCTATGCCGCTTCAGAGCAGGGCCTTGACTTCTGCGATCCTCGCAACCTGACCGTCGGCACCGTCAACCCCACCCTTGCACCCGAGTTCTCCGCCCTGCCAACCTTGTGCGCCGGTGACAACGAGGAGCAAGACCTTGTGCTCAGGGGCGACGCATACGGCCAGCAGCAAACATCTCCTGCGACCTCGCAGTCGGCCTCCGTCACCTCCTTCTCCGAGGTCACTCCCCCGGTCCCCCACGGCCTGCCAATCTTTGACGACTTCTCCGACCTCGACTCCGAGGACAGCTTCGTCAACGGCCTCGTCAACCTTGGCGAGCAGCAGGCACAGGCTTCCCAGGCCAGGTCGCGATCCAGCTCCGGCGCCACCTCCCACAGCTTCTCCGACTACTCCGAATACAACGATTCCTTCGGCATGCCCTCGCCACCCGACTCAGCTGCAAGCAGCGGCGACGGCCACCGCCAGAAGCGGATCAAGACGGAAGGCGCCGCAGATGCCGAGCAGAGCAGCTCAGAGCACCAGCAAAGCACCCCCGAGCACCAGCACCAGAGTGGCAGCGCGGCCCCCGAGTCCACCACTCCCAACAACTGCGGTGGCTCATCTGGCGCCTCCGACAACGGCAGCACCCCACAGGTTCCCCCTTCAGGCCCCAACCGTCGCGGACGTAAGCAGTCCCTGACCGAGGACCCCTCGAAGACATTCATCTGCGAGCTCTGCAACCGTCGCTTCCGCCGACAGGAGCACCTGAAGCGCCACTACAGGTCCCTCCACACCCACGACAAGCCCTTTGAGTGCAACGAGTGTGGCAAGAAGTTCTCGCGCTCCGACAACCTCACCCAGCATGCACGCACCCATGGATCGGGCGCCATTGTCATGAACCTGATCGATGACCCCAACATGGCTGCCGCGTACGGCCACCCACCACCAGGCATGTCCTACGCGCCTGCCATGAGCGGACCCCCAGGCCCAGAGGAGTACAGCCACTTCGGCAAGGTCCTCTTCCAGGTGGCCTCCGAGATGCCCGCCAATGGCAGCGACATGTCGTCAAATGATGAGGACAGCAACGGCAAGAAGAAGAGGAAGCGATCCGACTAGATCAGCGTCGCTTCCGCGAGCTTGCTCGCTTCTGTTTCCAAATCTCGGCGGCTCTACTAGGTCAACAAGACGCTGCATGACTGAATGAACTTTTTTCACGAATCGGCCCAGCCCGCTACCTTTATGCGGAGCAAGCCACCCTAGGGATAAAGGGATGGATCGCTCCACCGTGGGTGCTGGCTACACCCAGCAAACTTACGGCGGGCCATGAGGAGTTTGATCAAAAAAGGCTTTGCGAAGGTGACTTTTCAACTGCTGCATTTACAACACCCCGGCCCTTCCTGTATCACTACGAGGTTTCTTCGGTGTCGAATTCGGAGTTCTTTCACCTTGGCCGGGGAATGCATGATGACATCCAAAAAAGGGAGGACCAACTGGTAGCGAATCGTTTTGGGGGAAAGCAAAAAAATCCGGGGGATGAGAATACCTGATCCTTCAAAAGACGGTGGCGTGTAGGAGTCCAGTGTATGATACCGGGACCGAAGACGTCTATTTTTTCGTGAGAGCGTTCTCGCAAGGGCAAGGAAAGGGGAATGGACCGGAGCGACGGCATTGTGCATGGTCACAAGAGCCTAGTCTGGACAGGCACACATGATGGAATCTGAGAGCGGATGTTTGTAGCTTGCTTTGCCCGAAATCCAAGTACCTTTTACTTTTGAAAGTCTTTTTTCCTCCCTCGGCAGGTCTGGAGCGCAGGTCTTCTCTTCTACGTTGGTTGTAATTCGTCGCAAAGCAGTTATCAGCACACACAAGAGACGGGAAGCAGGCCGACCGTCATCCACCGCAGCTGAATCCAAGAATATCAGACTGAAGATCGTCAACAAGCAGCCAGTGCGTGCGTGCCCCACAAGCCCTAGGGCTTCAATGTTCGCCATGCGCAGTGAGACGAAAAGTGAGATCGGACTCTGGCTGCGCGCAGGTGGTCAGAATTCGATGATGCAGTGCAACTGCTATGAGCATCCGATACTACGTGGGTCTGCCGAGCGCGATTGGCCCCAGGCTCCTGCAAGAGCCTGGCACGTATCGCGGGTGGTCATCGTTGGGTGGTAGTCTCGCGATATCAGGAAGAAAAAAAAAAACTAGGCTGCAAGTCCAACCACACACTTACAGCAGGAGCGCTCTTCCGAACCAACCGAATTTGGCCCCCGACTCTCACACCAAGACCCGTTCCTGCATCCTCTCAGCTGACTGCATGCGAAGATGCCCCCTCAGGAAATCTTTTTGTGCAGCTCTTGAACCCGAATGGAAAAAGGGCAAAAGACCTGCCCACCACCCCTCCTCGCCCCGCCCCTGAGATCCTGCCGGAAATGACACCATGTCGTGCATCTCGACATCTGATGCGAACTTCTCCTCCACTCACTCCCCCTGCCTCCGTCCCCGCCCCCCTCCTCATCCTTCTCCTTCCCATGACACCCCACGTGAGTGGCCCAGGCTCCAAGGCCACAATCCCTAGGCATCGGCAAGGAACGAAACGAGGGGTAAAGTAGGGCGTGCCTGTGCGTCCTGACAGACGGGCAGGCAGACAGGAAGACAGCAGGCGCCAAGGAGGGGGGAGGGATCACCATGTGTCCCTCCTGCCTCTCGCGTGTGGACCCCGTAGGGCTAGGTGCCACGAGACAGACAAGACAGGTGGGCGTCCGGGTGCTCTGAGAAGCGGCCGAATCCCGTGAGAGGGATGGGATAGTACGGGATGTGTGAGTGTGTGTGTGTGTGTGTGTGTCTTGCGCGGCCCCTCGTGTGTTCCCTCGCTCCTGGAACCATCCGAGCGAGTGAACGGCAGGCGCAGCAGCTATCTTGTCTTGTCTCTGCCTGTCAGATCTCGTGTGGGATCTATCTGGTCTGATCTGGGTCTGTTGGCCCCGATGTACCTCCCGCCCAGGAGTACATTGCCCACCTAGGTACGCCAGCCTGGCCAGCTACAGCACTGATGGTGGTGGTGGCGGCGGCGACTGTTTGGCCTGGCTGGCTGGCTGGCTGGAGCGTTGGGCCAACCCACCGCCCCTTCGGCTTGGTTCCTGCGTCGTGGCTTTCTTTTTTTGCCATGTTGAGATGGCATCGATCTTCAGTGGCAGAGACAGACGTCAGACTCTCGATGGGTGACACCGTGTGAGACCATCTAGCTGTCTTGGGCTGTGAGCCCCGATTCAGTGTGACCTGGAAGACTACGAAATTTTCAAGACCGTGTAGTACTATCGTGGCAGGCACTTGTTTTTTGGTCATCACGGCATTTTCATCACTGGTAGATCGTGGTGGCTCCTCAGCGAATGGTGCGGGCATGAGCCAGTGTTGGGCACCGGTGATCGACCTAATGCAGCCAGGAGGTTTTGGAATCAGCCAGCGTGAATGGCAGATAGCCTCTGGTCTCTTCCTGCTCGGACCACGCCGATCTTGGAGGCACAGGCGGTGCGCTTCAGCATCTGCAGAACTCGTTGATCATTAGTTTGACTATTGGCGACCATTGCGCACTGATTGAAGTCTCCAGGTCAGTCAGGCCCAAGGTCGACTGTCCAGGTCCTTGCATGCCCCAGTACACCACATTGGCTGCGTATGCACGTCAACGATCGACCATGACCCCATACGCCGGGCCCCATCGCTCAGGGTTGAACCCTTGGCTGGCCAGACCTCACCATCTGTAGAAGGCCAAAAACTTCACCCACTCGCGGGGACGCACCGTCAAGGTAAAACTCATCCACGGGGACGAGGTTTGGGGGCCCCAGCTGCGGACCCAGATCGACGCCAAGCCAGCCCGAGCAGCACTTTCGGAACCCGACGAGGCCTGACTCGTCACCAGCGCGCCCTCGTCGTGAGTCGTCGTCCGGCTTCAGGCAGTATCAACCTCAGACAGCGTTCCGCTACTATTTTAGAGAGCGATCGTCAATGGGCTGGAGGGACTGACTACTCGGATAACTTCGGACTGGCCTGACTACGAGGCAGGCAGCCAGCAACCCTAGGGGAACAAGAAGGCATCATATCCTTGGCCACGCACCTGTCATCGTTGTCGCCGTGCGCACCCGTGGGTACCACGACATACGACACGAATCGATACGACCGCGATAATCGGGACCTGGCATATTCCGTGCCACAGTGCCTGTCGTCTGCAGCGAGGCTGAGGGCTGCGACACGAACAGTCCCGTCCCTGGCGGTGGAGATCACCTTTTTTTTTTTTTTTTTTTTTTCTGTCTGGAAAAGACAGAGCCTGAACGTGTCCGCTGGGGGCCACGCGATTCGGTGTCGGCCTCGCAAAGGAAGAACACACGGACATCCGGCCATCCCCAAAGCTGGGGGCCCAATTCCACCCTGTCAGCGAGCGCTCCGCCGCAGGCCTGAGCGGGCTGGCAGGAAACCATGGCGCCAACGCCGCAGACTGACGGCGGCCTGAATGCCATTGCTCTGATATCTGGTGGCAAGGATAGCTTCTTCTCCGCGCTGCACTGTCTGGAGAACGGCCATCGCATCGTCGCCCTGGCGAACCTGCACCCGCCACCGCCGCCGTTGCCTCCGTCGAAAGCTGCCAGTGGCAAGTCGGGCTCTGGCTCTGGCTCTGGGCCCGCCGCACAGTTGCCCGGCGGTAGTCGCCATGAAGGTTCTCAGCCTCCTGACGGCGGTGCTAGTGGTGATCCAGGCTCCAGTCTGGCACAGCTGGAGCTGAGCAGGGACCAGCCCCAGCAAGATGGCGCGAGCGTCAGTGATGACGAGGAGACGGACCTCAACTCGTTCATGTACCAAACTGTCGGGCACCAGGTCATCCCACTCTACTCCATAGCCACGGGAATCCCGCTGTACCGTCAGCCCATCGTGGGCGGCGCCGTCCAGAGCGGGAGGGACTACTCGACCGCCTCCACGACCACAGACGACGAGGTGGAGTCGATGCTCCAGCTGCTGGAGAGGGTCAAGGCAGCCCACCCAGAGGCCAACGCCGTCAGCGCCGGTGCCATCCTCAGCACGTACCAGCGCACCCGCGTCGAGTCCGTGGCCACCCGTCTGGGGTTGACGCCGCTGGCGTACCTTTGGAAGTACCCCACGCTCCCGCCCCCGCCGGCGGCCGCGGCGGTTGGTAGCGTGGACGAGGCTCAGCTGCTGTACGACATGGGGTCGGCAGGGCTGGACGCGCGCATCATCAAGGTCGCGTCGGGGGCGCTCAATGAGAACTTCCTGTGGGAGAACGTCGGCAGCGCTAAGGGCACGATGAGGCTCAAGGTGGCCGCGTCGAGGTTCGGTGGCGAGGGTGCTGTGCTAGGCGAGGGCGGCGAGTTTGAGACCCTCGTTGTTGACGGGCCGAGCAGGCTGTTCAAGAAGAGGATCGAGGTGGGCGAAGAGGACAGGGTGGTTGTTCCAGAGGGTGGAGACACTGCGTGGTTGAAGATCCGAGACCCCAAGGTCGTGGACAAGGTGATCAACGAGGCTGATGAGGATTCCTTGGTCATTAGGAGACCAGAACTTCTCGATGAGAGGTTCCTTGCGACGCTCGAGAATATGCAATCCGTTGATGAGACGGATGTGACCGAGGTTGCTGAAGTACATGTTCCTACCTCGAGCATGAAGCCTACACTTCAAACTTGGGCATTCATCGGTCATCCACAACACGGCGAGCTCTCGATAGAGGCAGATACCAGCATCCTGATAGATGCAATCCGCTCTCGACTCAAGCAGCATGAACTCGCGCCGAGGGACATTGTCTCAACCGTCGTCATCCTTGGGTCAATGTCTGACTTCCAAACCATCAACAAAGTCTACGGCTCTCTCTTCACCGATCCCAACCCGCCGTCCCGCGTCACTATCGCGTGTGGTGATATCCTACCACAAGACACAAAGATCGCCATCTATGTCTCTGTACCAAACGGAGCAAGCGCAGCCGACAGGCAAGGCCTGCACGTACAGTCAAGGTCATACTGGGCGCCCGCCAACATCGGTCCCTACAGCCAGGCCATAACCGTACAGCTGGGGCCCACGAAAGAGCTTGCCAACGCGCCCCGGGTGGCCCACATAGCAGGCCAGATCCCGCTCGTGCCGGCGACCATGGAGCTGCCGGCGGACGGCGGGCTGGAGACGCAGCTGGTGCTCTCGCTGCAGCACCTCTGGCGCATCGGCGTCGAGATGGGCGTGCAGTGGTGGACCAGCGCGGCGGTGTACTTCCCCCGCGCCAGCAGGTCCAAGTACGACCTCCCCGCGCGGGAGAAGGCGATGCTCGCGTGGAGGGCGTGGAGGGCGGCGCACCTGTGGGTGTCGCCGAGTGTCACCGACGACGCCTCCGGGCCGGATATGTGGGACAGGAGGTTCAATGCCAAGTACCTCTTCTACGGCAACGGCGAGGCGGACAAGGCCAAGAAGACTAGCCTGCCTTACTACGCCGACACCGCCGGGGCCGCGGCCGGGGAGGACGACGACGAGGACGGCGACGAGGACGATGGGCCGAGAACTAGGAGGCCTGTGCCGTTCTTCCTCGCCGCTGAGGTCGACGAGCTCCCCCGCTCCGCCGAGGCCGAGTGGCACGCCCACGCCGGCCTTATCCACGTGCCGTGGGAGGAGGAAGATGGTGCGGGCCGGTTCGCGGTCTACGACACGATGGACAGCGGCAGGTGCCATGTCAGCCACTCGGCCGTCGTGCTTGAGAAAGGTGCGGAGGCCCACACGTACCTCCACAGCGCGGTGGCCATCGAGCCCCCTCAAGGCAGCGATGTCGCGCAGCAGCAGCAGGCCGCCCCGGCTCTGGCGGCGCAGATCGAGGAGGCTGACAAGCTCATAGCCACAAGCTATAAGAACCGCTTCGGGTGCGCGCCGTGTGTCGGGGCTGGAGGGGCGGAGACTGAGCGGGCTGTACCGTACCTCGTGTATGTGAACTGCGAGGTCTTCGAACCCGCGCAGATCGGGTCCGTGATGAGGGATCTGGGGCTGGCTGCCGTGCCATGCGCGTCTCTCTATGGTGGGCCTGGCGGTGGAACTCAGTTCGCTTTGGTGGCGATGTATAGGACTTTGATGGGGTCAGTTGTGGATGAAAAGCAACAGATCTGAGAGGATGGATGGAACGTGTGCACATGTGCACTTTCCATAGGTACCCCGTTGAGGTGAATGGTTGAGGTTGCCTGGAGGAGGTGGAACTCACTTCCACGATTTACGGACAGAAGCTGATCTCGGAGGCTGCGAGGATGGCATCGACTAATTGTCAGAAATTGTTTCTCCAGAGGAGGGAGGGTACAGGCTCAGAAATGTGCATCCGATTATGAACAAAATGTCTAGTATAGTGATACCCAACCCATGCGCGCTATGCAAAGCTCCTCATCTAATGTTCTAAATAACATGTATTACATGTCCTCCGCTCCATTTCCGCTCATGCAGCAGATCTTGTATATGTGCCCGCCTAGATTACTTCGTGGCCCTACTCCATTTCTATATCGATACCTCACCACTCAACCATCATTAGTATAAAATCTTCTTGCGAGTCTCGCCCTGATCCGGAGTCTGGCCCAGGGGCAGATCCACCCCCTCGCCCCTCTTCACCTTCTGCTGCGTCCTCGGCGCCAGCCCGGCCCAGAACTGGCACCGCGCGGCCTGGGCGGCCTCGACGGGCTCCATGCGGACGTTGTTGGTCTCGAGCACGATCCTGGAGCCGTTGCCGCTGCTGACGAGCAGCGGCGTGCCCCAGCTCTCCCAGATCGGGGCGCCCGCGGACCTGAGCGGGTTGGGGTCGCGGGTCTGCACGAAGGAGAGGAAGTAGTCCATGACCACGGGGACTATGGGCGCGTTGTAGGTCAGGTAGCTCTCGGGGACGTTGTTGGAGGCCAGGTTGGTGGGGCCGAAGACGGCGTACGACTCCCACAGGTGCGGGACGCCGACGCCCGCCGCGGCGTTGTCGTTGTCAATCACGTTATACCGGTACAGCCACATGGACGAGGCCGCGGTGCCGCCCGGCGAGGCCTGGGTGTAGGCGGAGAAGAGGCTGATGGCCGGGCAGATGAAGGTGGCCTCGCCGTAGGCCATGCTGTTGCTGGGGAACCAGGCGTTGTGCTGGGCCACGGCGGGCATGAGCGGGTACGTGCGCTGGATGGCGGCGGTGTCGTCGTTGGTGAGCAGCGGGTAGTTGTTCTGGAAGAACTCGGCCATCTCCTCCGGGGTGGCGGCGTTGGTGGCGAAGTAGCTGCCCTCGTCGTTGTCGTTGCCGAACAGCAGCGGCACGTCGATGAGCTTGCCCTGCGCGAGTAGGTTGTACGGCAGGTCCTCGAGAAAGTCGCCGTCGATGCACGGCGTCCAGTAGAAGAGCGGGAGGGGCGGCTCGGTGCGCCCGGGGAAGATGGACGGGACGTTTTGGGCCTGGAGGGTCTTGGTGTCCAGCGCGCGGAGGCACGCCAGCTGGTCCAGTTGCGCCGCGCAGTTGGTGGCGTTGACCAGGCGGTCGAACTGGTACTCGAGCTGGGGCACGAAGGGCTGCGCGGGAAAGAAGACGGACTCGGCAATGCCCGCGGAGAAGAGGTTGTCGTTGCGGCCGCCAAAGGCCATGAGGTGCAGTGCAACGGACCCTGCCCCGGCCGAGGCTCCGTGGATGACGACGTTGTTCGGGTCGCCGCCGAAACTCGCGATGTTTGACTTGACCCACTCCATGACGAAGCGCTGGTCAAGCAGGCCGGCGTTGAGATTGCCGTTGGCTTGGACCTTGGAGCTGGCCAGGAACCCCCACATGGACACGCGGTAGTTGAAGTTGACAAAGACGATCTTGTTGCCGGACTGGCGGACAACCTCCTCGCCGTCCCAGTTCGCGTTCGAGTTGGAGACGTAGCCACCGCCCTGGATGAACAGCCATACCGGCAGGTTGGACGTGGTGTTGGCAGTCTGCGGGGCCCAGACGTTGGCGTAGAGGCAGTCCTCGTCCTCGTAGCTGATGGGATACGAGACCGAGATGCCCAGGCAGATAGGCCCAAACTGCTTGGCCGACTGAGGCGACGTCGACGTCGGAGGGGCTACGGGTGCCCTCCACCTCAGGTCTCCCACCGGTGGTGCCGCGTAGCGCATCCCGAGGAACCGGTTGATGCCTCCATCGAGGGTCGTCCCGACATAGGTCGCATAGCCCAAGTTGACCTGCGGATCTTGGCCCGGCTAGTTGTGATGTCAGCAATTTGAAATGCGGCAGGAGAACAAGAACGGCAACACATGCGGGCAACGCGATCGCAGCGTATGGAGGATGCTCGAGCAGTGGGGGCTACATGAGAATTAAAATAGGTAGAGAGTGAAGACATGAGAAAAGCAACGACCCTCCCCCCTTTCCAGGAAGATAGGTCACAAAAGACATTAGCTCCGTCGGACCCATGGACAGAACGGTTTGACGCCAGATCAACCACTGCAACGTGACAACTCTCAGCAGCGTCCCGGGAGCGCCAGGAAAAGACCACAAGGGACAGGCACCGGCATGTCATTGCGTATCTTACAATGTTGAGCGTTCCTAGATTGGTCGGGATGGGAGTAGCAGCATCCGGTGTCACGGTTATTGGAGGGGGTGGGGGAGCAACATAAGTGAAGGTGGGCTCAGAAAGAAGAGGGATAGTAGAAAGAGGGTTTGGCGGGCGTTGTTCTGAATCTGACGAAGCCTGTTCGGTGCTGTTCCGAGTAGAAAAGGAGCCTACCTTGAGGTATCCCAGCAGTCCGAGGGTCAGCAGCACGACGAAGGCGACCAGCAGCACGGCGGCGACGGCGAAGGACGAGATCGCGACGCGCCTCCTCCACCACGGCCGCTTGCCCTTGCCCTGGCCCTGGCCAGGCTCAGGCTCAGGCTCAGGCTGCTGCTTCTGCTGCTGCTTCTGCTGCTGCTTCTGCTGCTGCTTCTGCTGCTGCTTCTGCTGCTGCTTCTGCTGCTGCTTCTGCTGCTGCTTCTGCTGCTGCTTCTGCTGCTGCTTCTGCTGCTGCTTCTGCTGCTGCTTCTGCTGCTGCCGTTGCCCCTGCTGCTGCGCTCCCAGCTCGGAGGCGTCGTGCTGGCGGGCATGGTCGCCGTCGTCGATGCTGCCGGCCCGCGGACCAGACCCGGGAAGCGGCCAAGACTCGGGGTGAGACTGAGCTTGGTCCGAGTCCGAGTCCACAGAGGATCCGACCTTTGGGGCAGCAGCTGTCATCTAGACAGGCGACGGTGCTGGACGGCAGGTCTCCTCACACACAAGCCCCATCGGCTCTCATCTCATGGTCCTGCAGCTAAATCCGGGCCGGGTTCGGTCGTCGGTCGGTCGGTTCGTTCGGAGGCTTCGTCTTACGGGGGAAAGGGGGAGGAAAAGCAAGACGTGAAATGAGGCAGGGCCAAAAGGACTTATACGAGCAAGAGCGTGGTAGTATTGCCAGTCGTCAAACACCTGAGAAGGCGCAGGGGACCAAGCAAAAAAAGCGTGTGGGATGATAGGAAGTGTTTTGGGAGGTTTGAGATGGGACGAGCACGAGGCGGTAGCGCCCACGGGGCTGCGCATCGGCAGCCGGGGCAGCAGACAAAGGAGCTGATTGGGAACGGCGGAGAGCGAGAGATGGAGAAACAGCGAGCTTGGCAGCTCGTGCCCGGTGCCTGTCGATCTTCCGGTCCTGCAGCCTGCCATTCATTGCTGGGGGGTTGTGGGTGTGGGTGCGCAGCCGTCACCGGTCCTCTGTTCCAGGTGTCAGAGAAGAAGAGACCAGGTGGGGAGGGCACACGGACACAGACTTCAGACACGGATACATCCAGTACGCGTGTACTCGTCCACGTCCACGTCCACATACCTATGTCGGACACGTCGAGGGGCCCGGCTCTGCGGTTCAGCGCCTGCAGCACGAGATCGACATCGAAGCCTCTTGCGTCATGCGCATGATACACGTTTCTCCAGCAAGGCCAGGACATGTGGAGATCCCCAGGGAAGAGCTACCCCTGAGACCGAGACACCGCATGGCATCGAGGCTTCGCGGCTTCACGGCACCGGGGTTAGCTTTGTCTTTGATTCTCCCTTTGTCCCAACTCCCAAGCAGCAGCCGAAGCAGCCCGTCAGGCTGGGCACACGGGCCGACATGCACTTGGTAAGATACCAGTGCCGTCGAATGAGGTCCATATGCCACACCGAGATGCACCCCCGCCCCCGCCCAGCAACGTATCAATGGAATAGTCTTTACCCAGCCAAGTACTCCCCACCCCCAGCATCACAAACAGGCCTCACCCGCCGGACGGGACCTCTCTGGCCCGCCATCCGAGCCTCCCGCGTCCATGCCTTCCCTCTTCCCGCGTGGCCACACAGCGAACGTTTCAAGCAGCCCCAAAACACACCCAACTTAGCCCACACAACACACATCAGATGAACAACAACAACAACACCACACGAGCCTCCCCTCCTTCCCTCATCGGGAAGCCCAGCGGGGCAGATCCCACGCCCAGCCGAAACCCAGATGCGGGAACAGATCCAAAGCAGAAGGCCCGCATCACCACTCTGTAATAGGAACCTGTGGCTTGCCGCGCCCCGCCAGCTTGAGACATCATGCCAGAATGTAGATGCCCACATCGGAGGGTTTTTGAAGACTAGTATCGTTTACACGGACACACACAGGAGACAGACACACACGCACACACATTATCTCTGTTCCTTGCCCTGCTCACGCTCCCCTCCAAAACCTTGCCGCCCGCCTCCCGGATCCCGAGGTAGCCCCCGTCCGAAACCAACCTGCCAGAGGCCCCCCCTCGTGAAGTGTGCCATCTTCCGGAGCAAAGAGAGCCGGGGTTGGTCAAGCCATGTAGTGTAATTCTGTCAGTGTAGTCCAGTCACTCCACACTGAGAGGTGGCCAGAGCCGGGTTGTGCCATAATTCAGAGCGTCTGGGAGCCCGCTTGTCTACCCGCCCGGCCCCTCCTTGTGCAAGCAATCCAGGGGGGGGGGGGGAGAGAATTGAGGCGCCATCCAGCAAGGAGAGAGTTGCCTGGTAGGCAGTAGTAGCAGAGGGTATCTCAGACCGACAGTCAGGCAGAGTTTCATCCAGCTCCCTTTCCGAGGCGCACCTGCCTGCCTTACCAGACCATACGAACCATGGACTCGATCTGTGGTTGACCAAATCATATCATCAAATGTATACTGACAGCACCATTCCGCATTGCTTGTGTAGGATAGCGTAGGACAAGACCACAAGGTTGTTTCCGCAACAACCTATTTGACGCTTGCAAACACTAAACACCAACACCGCCAACCCACCGAACAAGTATGAACGACCAGTCCCCCAAGGATAAGAATCACAGCTACCGTCCTCATTGCGAGCGTCGTATCAGCAACGGCCGTGTACTTGGGACATGACTCCATTTTCCGCTCTAGAAGTTGCGTTCTCATGCCCCTCCCCTCAACCTTTTCACCGCCAAAAAAGGACAAAAAAAGACCTCCCAATAGAAGCACACTCCCACCACCCCGGGAAAAAGCCAGCAACAGCTCAACTAAGGAACTCCATCTCCCCGACCCGGTCCTTCGCGAACTCGTCCTTGTACCGGTCCCAGATGGCCCTTAGTTCCTCGACGTACAGATCGTGCAGCCGGTCGACCTCCACGTTGTCCGGGTTGTCCGCCTGGACGACCTTGATAGGCCGGCCGACAACGATGTTGAGCGGCCGCCGGTACGGCATCATGCCCACATCGTAGTTGAAGATGCCCCGCCCGTGCAGCAGCGGCACCGTGAACTTCCACACCTTAAGCACGTGCCGCTGCAGGCCGTGCAGCCACGGGTGCTTGTGCGGGTCCAGCTGGTCGTAGAGGTCGTTCTCCCCGAACGCCATGACGGGCACCAGGTCCGCCCCCGTGCGCATCGCCAGCTTGACGAACCCCTTGCGTTCGTTGATGATGAGCCGCGTTGTGCGCGGCTGCGCCTCGAGGGACTCGCGCGCCCCGCCCACCACGATCGTCACCGCCCGGCCCATGCCCTCGCCGTTGCGGCCCCCGCGCGTCAGGATGTTGGTGATGGACTCCTTACTGACCGAAAGCATGCCCATCGAGAAGACGTACTCGCGGTACAGCGGCAGCCGGAAGTTGGAGTCCAGCGTCAGCAGGCTGTTGGTGATGCCCGGGAACTTGTCCGAGAACCCCAGCGCCTCCGTCGCGAACGCCGCCCACGCCCCGTGAGAGATGATACCGTGCGGGTGGTATCCGAAGATGTACTTGCGCGTCGGGAGGAGGTCGTGCGTCTTGTGAAGTTTGGCAGGGTAGTACTCGGCGAAGGACTTCCAGATGGGCAGCCTGCGGACCCACTCCTTTCGCCTCCTGAGCTTGCCGTCGACGGCATCTGTCGCGAACAGGATCGACACCAGGTATATTATAACTAGAGGGACTGTTAGAAATTGACACCACAAACGTATAGTTACTGAACATGAACGACTTACGTAGAGGCCATAGCAACGGTATCGCACAGAATCCGAAGAAGATGGACAGCGTGGTTCCCATACACAGACAATGGAACAGGACTGCCAGGGTCTGCAGCCGGCGCTTGAACGGCACCCTGAGCGGAGCCCACCGCAGTCCAGCGACTTCCTGAGCCTTCTCTTGGTCAAGCCGCCGCTCTGCCTCCTCCCCACGATCTTCAGCGTCCGAGGGGATGTCCGGGTAGTCGACAGCAGTAGAACCCTGGCTGGAATGAGCAGATACGTTGTCCTGCTCTCGCGTGCTGCTCTTCTCAACACTCCTAGATTTGACGCTATCGTGCTCCGTAGCCTGGCCGTTCGTCGTAGCCGTGTCTGGGCCCTCCTTGACTGCTTCTGCAAATGTCAAGCTGCCGGCTGCTGTAGGCTGGTCGTCCTTGTTGTCGCCATTCTTTTCTTCGGTGCCTTTGGCATCTGGCCCACTCGCATCGCCGCCAAACTCCTCTGTTGTCGGCTGTTCCGCGTTGGTCTCTTGACTCTGACTTTGTCCGTTGCTCTTCTCTGTGGCCTCCCCATGTCCTCCATTCGTGACGTCGGCTGGGTCCTCCTTGACAGCCTCGGCATACGATGCGGGCTGAGAGGCCTGCTGATCATCCCCATTCGCCTTGTTCTTCTCCTTCACGCCGTTGGTCTTTTTCGACTTGCGCTTGCTCTTCTTGCTCGCGTTCGAATCAGCGGCCGGTGCCGCGTCGTTTGCCGGCTGTGCAGCTGTAACACTGTTGTCAATATCTCCTAGCCCTTGTCTCTGATTGCCGCCCCGGGAAGACCGGCTCGTGCAGTCATCGATGAACTTGTTCAGCACAGCCCCAGCATTGGCAGCAGGCCTCTGCGGCGGCTTCTTCCCGCCCAGGTGCATGGCCAGCGGTGACCCCAGCGGGGAGAATGCGGCTGCCATGGGAGAAGGGCAGACATTCTCCTTGCCCGGAGTTACAACCCCGGATCCTCCTGCGTGGGCAGCTACCGGAGAAGCCATGAAGAAGGCCGGGTGCGTGGGCGGACTGCTGCTAGCGCTGCTGTGCCTGTAATCGTCCATCTCAGGCTCGAGATCTGGGTCATGGTCCGGGTCCGGCGGCGCGACCGGCGGTATGGGTGTTGCTGCTGGAATCTCACCTGCATCGTTGGAGGGAGCCATGATAGCTAACTCTGCTCTCGTATTGGCCTGGGGTTTTAATTTCTGGAGCCTTGCCCGAGATGGTTCTTGGATGCGTTGCGCAGTCAGTGGTGGGAGATGGCAGGGGCCCGCAGCTGTGAAGTAGCTGGGCAGAGCTCGGGAGCTAGGGTCACAAGCTCTTGCTTGGCTGCGTCAATTGGGTGGGATTCCGGTGAGCATTCACATGTCTTGACACCTTGTACAGAGGGAGAGTAGCCAAGCTCTAGCCAAGGCGAGGTGATAGGGACTGAAGGAAGAGAGAGGACGAAAGCTAGATTGAAAATGGGAATGAGAATGAGACTGGTCAGTTGCGATCGTCAGAAGATTCCGGGCTGTGGAAGGGCCCGTCAGCAAGGGGCGGCGCTCAAGCGGCGCACACTTTAGCCCGGGGTGACGGGGCGTCTGCTGTGGCCTCGTACTAGGTACCGGAATGACGTTTTGTGTGAGATGCCGCCCCAGATGGGAGGTAGCTAACGGCTGCTCTTTCTGCTTGGGACTCCACTTTCACATGCTGTGGTGAGACACAGCAGCGCCCACCCCTGCCCCCTGCCCCCTGGCCCTGGGCCCTGGCGTGACACTCCCATGCCTAGGTAGCTGCAAGAGCCGTCCCTGCCGAGCCGAGCTTCCAATCCACCACGATGAGTGTCCGATGCCGACGCGCCCCACGCATGGTAAGACCACAAACTATAGGACCACATCCACAGAGCAGTGCACTCCCCATGTTCACAAATTGTTCGCTTGTTCATGTCCAGAGCGTACTTGCAAGAGGGGACGAGAAGGAGAGGAGAGGAAGAGAAGCTTGTGTAGATTGGACCAGCTCAGTCGCAGACCAAAATTAAATCGCTTTCAAAGCTTGAGAAAGCCCCCTCCAGTGCCAACCATCTTCGACCACCGTCGTTGGGCAATATGTCAAAAGGTTATGTTTATGTACAGTGGTAAACAACCCTGAGGTCAATCTTCTCCCACGCCAGCCCAGCTTCTCCTCCTTCTCTGTCTCTCTGTCTCTCTCTCTCTCTCTCTCTTCCCTCAGTATCTTAAACACCCCGAGATCTTTGTACAACATGCCACGGATCTCATGTCTCTCGAGACATTGTTCCAAAAATTTCGAAGTAGCCCACGAGGAAGATAAAAGCAAGGTCTTTTGGCTTAATCCTCTCCTTCCAGGAACGGGGAATACCAAGAAAAGCAGCGAGAGAAGATAACAAAACAAAAAGAAAATTGAATGGAAAAAAAGGCAGGCCCCGCTATGCCCTTGCGGTATCTCAAATTGTGTTTGTTGTGCCACCAGGTAATCCCGTCGAACGCAAAATGCCAGGAAGAGCAAGGAATTCGTTAATGCTCGTGAGCAAATCTGCCAATGCCCCTCCCCAAGGTTAAAGTAGAAGAAAAACTCCTATATGAGAGGTAGAAAGGAAACATGGTCATCATCATGAAAAGAAATTGGCGATTTTCGCAGGTCCAGAGCAGCCAAGGGATTACGGTGCGCCGGTGGTGGTGTGGGACCGAACTTTGCCAAAGAACCGGGACTTGGACTTGGATCGCGACTTGGTGCTCCTCGCATCGTCGTTCTCCTCGTCCTCGTCCTCGTTGTATTTGGGCTTGTGGATCCTGTAATTGCATATTTAGCCTCAGGTCGGATCTCAATAATATTCACCGGAGGCGCAAACTTACCAGCTGTTACCGACCATGCTCATACCCTTGGCCTCGGCCGCGCGGTATAATTTGGCCGCCTTCTTGAGGTTCTTCTTGCAGCCAACACCTTTGGCATAGCAGAAACCTGCCTCGGCAAGAGCATCAACATCGCCCCAGCCTGTTCAAGGTTGAGTCAGTGGCGCTCCTAGTTTGAGGGTAGTGGGGGAAACACTCACTTCCGGCGATTTCGAAGCAACGCAAGGCAAGAGCTTTATCCTGCTCAATGCCCCATCCGTTCATGTGGCTCACTCCAAGCTCATAGATGCTCAGGGCCAACTGCGCTTTACGCGTCTTGCGCCCTGCTACATCCACATGCTGGCCCTCCTTGGCGTTGTTCTCGTCCTCTGCAATTTCGACGCCCGCGCAGTCGGCAGCCTTGCGAAGCCATATCACAGCTTCTGCCTGGTTGGGTCGCATACCCCAGCCGTGCCGACATGCCAGTGCAAATAGCAGCATTCCCACAGGGTCGCCCTGCTTCGCAGCATAGCGAAGGTGGTAGGTCGATTCATTCACCTTGCCCTCTTCATGCAGTGCAATGGCCTTGCTAACATGCTCTTCCGCTGGAGTATCTGCCATCGTCGTAGCGATTGAGTGCTGAGAACGAGCCTTGATGGTGCTTGCGTCACTGGTTGTCGCGGTCCCAAGGCGCTTTTCGCTGCGACCTCTTTGTGCGTCCTCGGAGGCACGCCCGTCGCTGGTAGCCGGTCGATTTTCGCTCGGTGACGGTTGCGTTGTGGGACGTGGTACATCCAGGCTCGTTTCACCTGAGGGTCTCCTCAACTCCCGACTTGCACTTGCAGAGCTGGAGGGCCTAGTGGGCGGGGATGGCGGCGCCTGACCAACGGAGGGAATCGTGTGCTCATCACTAGGAGCACCGGTGGGCTGTTGCCACTGGAAAGTCCCTGAGGCCGGTACTCGATCCTTGGAATTCGACCGCTGCATCGTCTTTCCTCGGGGAAGGTTAAACTTGGAGTAGACGTATGTGTTCGACCCTGGTTTCCCATCCTCTGCAATATCTGGGAACCCCTCGCTGTTCATGCTGACGGGAGTGTTGCTTGCGTCGTCCGCCAAGAAAAAAGAAGAATGGCTGTCGGAGGATGGTTGCCGCGCAGGCGGGTCCAAACGTGATGTTGTCTCCAGCCCTGGTGTTCCTGCCCGGCTCATCGGCCTCGAGAAGTTGAACGCTGGACGTGGTAGTTCAGATATGTTGGAGCTTATCGATGGAGATCGATGTTGGTGTTGGGGCGAAAAGACGCCGCCGCTGCTCGAAGAGAGCTTGCGTGATCGGTTAGAATGGAAGGAGGAGCCCAGGACGTCGTCATCGACACCATCTTCTGTCGTCTGTGACTTGATGCTGGATGTCCTGGCTGGGAACGTAGTCCTTGGAGGAGCGAGAGACTCGTGCGAAGTCTTGTGTTCGAGTTTGCGAGGTGATGACAAGGCCTGACTGGGGTTCGCTGATGGCTCGGCCAGCAGCTCCTGTGGTGTGGAATCCGCTTCGGCGGCTGCCCGTGCATCAATACTAGCACTGTCGAAAGACGAGGGAGAGTGTTCCCTCCTAGCTCCAAAGTAGCTGGTCTTGTCATCATGGCTGCCCAGTGGCCGACCTCGTAACTGCTCAAAGGAGTTTGGTGTCGGTATGGGGATCGAGGTATCCGGAGTCGGTGGAATTTGGCTCATTCGTGGGTGCATGGACTGTGGTCGGTCGGGCGACTCGGCCAATTCTGCCCTCATCGCAGGACCAGCCGAGTGTTGTTGAGGTACGTCGCCATCGGCGTCAGAACCAGACTCGGCCGACATTGACCGGAAATATTCGGATCTCCCTTGTACAATGAGAGGACTCTCTGTCGTCAATGGAGGCAGGCGGCTCATTCTCCTACCGGCCTTGGCGCTCTCCTCCAGCTGCTTGGCCAGCAGCCGGCTCTGCAGAGCGAACGCATCGAGAGGCGAGAGCTCCGGCGGATGCTCCCCGGCGACATGTAGGCGAGGGGACCTTAGTGGGCGCGGGATGGAAGAAGCTTGCGACTCGGAGCGTATGTCGATGAAATTGGGTCTCGTTGGGGTCGACATGGTGAACTGCTCAAGTCATTGAACCTGGTGCAGCTGAGTCTCCAAGAAGGGTTAAAAGGTCGCGTTCGGGTCGGGAGCGATGCGCGAAAAGGTATGACGTCGGGGGAATGATGCTCTCCTATCGAGGAACGCGCGCGAGGGGCGGCGCTCTGTCGGCTGTGGCGTCGACCTCCAAATATGGCGCTGGATCGGGGGTCGAAGAAGTTGCCCTTTAATGAAAGAGGGGGGAAAGTCGGGATGAGCGCGATGACTGTATTCCCTACGTCAATCAGAGGCGATAGTGTATCACCTGGCAGACGTGGACAAGTTGTGCAATTGGTTCTGGGCTGTCGAGCTCGGTCTATGGGCAGCGGCGCACGAACAATGTACACGACCCCTGAAAGCGGTAGAGACGCGGGGGTTAAGAAGGTTGAGAAAGGATGCTATGTTGTCAGGAACGATAAACGAATCCGTCGCTGGGGCCGAATCTTTCGAAACTGCATGCAAAAAAGCTGCCGGCAATCGGAAGACGCGTAGAAAGATCGTGAAGTGGTTAATCCAGTTGGAGGGCTGGTGTCGTAGTGGCGTCGGACCCCTTTTGATGGGTGTCCTGCTTTGGGCCCTGGGCGACGGTAGCGAAGGACTCTTTGGCTGGCCTGGTCGGGAGTTTCCCCAGAGCTGCTTGCACCCGTCACTCAATAAGGTTGGAAAGGCCGTGGAAACCCGTTGGTCCACAAGACCGAAACAATTGGAAACCCTTCAAACAACGAACGTAAGGGCAGAGGCAGACGAGGGAGTGAGGCTGGGAGGAACGAGCGTCTTGCTTTCTCTGTCTGTCTGTCTGTCCGTCTGTCCGCCTGTCCGCCTGACCTGGAACCTCGGGGCCTCTGGAGAGACGCGAACAAGCAGGCAGGCCGGAGGAGTTGCTTGGCGATGAGGTGACCCGTGGGCACCACCGCAGCAAAAAGTCAAGCCCAGTCAATGCGATCGTCGATCGTCTCCTTTCGGATGACTACTGACTGCACTGCTGCCGACGACGCTGGAGAGACGGACGGGGAACGCCTACCAGGGAGCACACCAACAGGAAAGGAACGGGATGGTGGTGGTTGTCGTGGTGGAAGGTCATCGAGAAGGGGAAACCGTGAACTTCAGGAGACAGGCGCACCAAGGTCAATTGAATTGGCACCCATCGCTGGCCCAGAGAATTGGCATGAGTGAGAGACCCTCCCGACCCTGCGAACGGCCAGCCAGACAAAAAACAGCCAAGGTGCCTGGGTACCTGAGTACGTGGGTACATGGGGACATGGCAGGCATGGGTAGCACCGCTAAGGCCGTCGCTGCAGGGGTGGCAGGCTTTAATTGGAACAGCCCACTTGTAGCCCACCTCGCTAGGCCAGGCGCAAGGATCACGGAGGCGTGGTTGGGAAAAGACGGACGAACCCTGGCGTGCCTGGAGTCTTCGAACGGCCCCCCCCCTTTCTTGCAGCCTTCCAAGGTTGCCTTTCCCTGGCTGGCACCCAACCAGGCATTCAGCCATCCATACACCCAGCGATCGTGGCAATATTTACGTCCCATCTCAGCTATTGTCTGAGGCCAGATCAAGTGATCTACAGCAGATGGGAGGCCTGTTGTTGACGTCGTCATCAGGTCCGAGTAGAGCAGGTACAGGCCTCTTTTCTCCTTTTGCAGACAGACAGACCACGATGCATCCGGCGACGAACCCGCCTTGATGCCTCTTAACAGCATGTGCAGTATCTATCCGGATTATCTCATCTTGCAGACGGATGGATTGATGGAGGGCCATAGCGAGCATTTCGGACTTTGAGCGCAGGAGCGCAGGGAAAAAGGGGGCTTGGGGGCGGACAAGAGGACAGAATCCCACAGGCGACTCTAGGCCTGCTGCGCTGTGAGGCTCAGTCGCCTTGGACGACGTAATACGAGATTCTCTGCCTGCTTGTTCCTGCTTGCTTGCCCCAGGCGATCCACGGGATCGATCAGCTGCTAATCGAGGGCGATGGGAGATCTCTCTACCATAGCGGTATAGTGTAGCGTACCACAGTCCATGTAGTGATGGCAGACGCAGCCAGCCTTGCGTTCCAGAACACATGGGCCATGGATGCTGCCTCTAACCTGAGCGAGACCATAGACCGCTCTCGCCCGGTTCTTCGGGTCTGTCGTCGCACTGGGCCTGCCCGGCCTGCAAGCAGCAGCAACTACGCAGCTCCAGGTCCACAGCATCTGGTCTGCTGCAGATGGTGTTGTCGTCCAATACGAGCCTGTCAGGGCTGCCTACATGCCTAGTACGGTACTCACAGCACTTGCATACGCACGTACACGCCCGGCTGAGTATCACGAGCCTGTGAGGCGGGGAGGATACAGCCAGCGATCGAGTGAGGCACGTATCTCATCGGGTCCAACTTGCACCTGCAGTCACGAGACCAACACTGACTGCCTGGCTGCTTTGCCTGCCCTCACGGCTCCGTCGCCAACCAACGCCCGCCCAGCTTCAACGGGCTGACTGGCTGGGCTCTCGGGGCCCATGCTTGAGCATTCCAGGCTTGAACCTGGATCGGGCAAGATTTCAGAGTTGCATCCCGGGCCAAAAACCCCCGCTCCTCCAGTCTTCACAACGGCTGTCATGTCTGCATTGGTTCCATCACTTTGGTTGAGCCAGCCTGGCCGTCCAAACTATCAGAAACCATCAAGTCACCTGGCGCGTCAAGTCCTGGTCCTGCCGGGAGACGCAAGCCACCCATACTACCTCGCCTCAGCTTGTCACAAATCTCACAAATGCCACCATCGTGGGCAGCCCGTGAGCAGTCCACCCTCCGAGGCTAATGAAGCTTCCACCCCTCGAACTGAGATGACCGACATTGGCTCGCCGATCCCGCCGATTCCAAGACGCGTCCGCCCTAAAACGATCCCCCCGAGCTTCTTCCCTCGACGCAGTCGAGACGAGAGGGGGCCTGGCCGCGGGCCCCCTTGTGGAGAAAGGGCTGTTTAGCCTGGGTGGTACCCACCTCGGCCGACATTCCCCGCGGAAATTAGGCTCGAAATGAGGCCGTCCCCATCACAGCAACGTCTGCCGGGCAGCCAGTCAGCCAGCCAGCCAGCCAGCCAGCCCCATCACGTAAACAATGCACAGTACCGGCCACTAGAGAGGGGAGGAAAGAAGGAAGAGAAGGAAAAAACGGGCGCGGCGCAAGCCACCGTGTGGCCCCGGCCACCAGACTCCACGCTCACAGTCGAGCCCTGCGAGGATCATTTTTTGTGCATTCGGGGTGGGCTGGCTGCACTTCTCTTGTTGTGACGAAAAGTCCCTGAAATTGCACCGTCGCAGCCTCGAGATGAAGCTTTGCTTCTCCATGACACATACATACACATCGAGCTCTCGACTTGCCGGGCATCAGTCAACCCAGCCCCGTGCTCCCTCCCGAACCCCAGCAATTACCATGTGCTGCAGTTGTTGCTGCTGCTGCTGCTAACCGGTGGGTACCGCCTGCAACGGCCCGGGTGCGCCCATCTCGCCCATGTCTCGGTGATTGAAGGGCGCAATTTGGCCAGGCTTGATCATTCATCCGCCTGGGTGCTGCACCTCCTCGCGCGTCCGGTGCACACACAAGCACGCATACACGGCGCACGGGGCACAGCGTACTTTTTCCCTTTTGTTATGTCTGAAGAAATGTCGGGACTGCCTTCGCTCCACTCCGCTTGGGCCCGGCCACGTGAGAGCGCGCGCAGAGCCGCCTCCTCTTTCTTCCTCCCTTGCCGGCATGCCTGCTATGCACGTGTATAATTACGGGCTCGCCTACCACTCCCGGACTAGGGACGCGTTCTTTCGTGTCTGTCTGGCTGCCCTTCCGGGGCGGACCCCGGTTCCGGTAGGCCCCCATGTGTCCGGATCGAGCTCAGCTGCTCATCTGCTTTGCTCGCGACGCTGTATGCATTTCGTAACAGAAACCGAAGACAATAGTACTATAGGGCAAGTCTAATTAATGCCCGAGTATTGATTATTACCATGTGTTTTCAACTGCTACCGTATTGCCGAGGTAACAAACACAACCTGGCTGCCGAATATCCTGGCAGCGAACCGACTGGAGAAGACGCGAGCAGCCGATGCCATGCATCTGAATCAAGACGCCATGACCCCATATTCGATATTGAGCACGCCGCATGATGTATGTTTAATTGACGGCGCATCGCTGGCAGGCTGGGCGCACACTTTCAGCAGTATTGCCCGGGTAGGCCATATCATGTACAGTGCTAGCTGAGACAAAGTATCATAAGCTTCGCGACTAGAGCAGCCGGCCCTTTCTATATACCAATATGGCCACGTTGACTTTACTTTTTCAAAATCATTCGGCGTTCATCTATTTTGTCGTGTGACGCCCGCGGCTAGTGCTCGGTAACGTACCCGGGGACTTGCGCAGCGCGCTTAATAACACGCAGCAGCTGGGGGAGCAGCCACAATCGCACTCGCCCACACCTGATATTGTCTGGCACGCATACGTGGTGCGGCGTACTCACTGTTTTTGTGCTTTTTTTTTTTTCCTTCTTTTTTTTCTTTTTCTTTATTCGCTGTGAAGATGTTGCACTGTTCGTGGATTAAAGACCGAATCTGCTACTTCCTCAGCAATGTTCTCGGGTAGTGCGTCTTGCTCTGCCATGTGGACAGTTTAACGAATAATTATTACGTATTTACCCAAATATCTATCTGTATTCTTCAAGCTATGTATCTTCCACCTCGTTGCCGGTTCCGCCCTCGAGATGAGTTTGAAACATGATCCAATCATCCGAGTTTTCGAGCTTGGCGCTGTTCTCTGGGCAGCAAGCGGTCTGTCAGGGACACCTTTTGATGGTTGTGTTGGGAGGAGGGGCTTCACTTGAAGTGGACTCTTACGTATTGAGAAAGGAGCGGGTCGAACTGAGAACAGTTCAAGATTCAGAAAGAGTGCAGGAGAAGGTCAAAAGGGGAAAGGCGTGGGTAGACTGCAAGAAAGGCACAGGACACCAGCCAGCCT